CTCACTTCCGAAATCCCTGTGACTTGTTCTCTCACTCTCTGCTTTCAAATTCTATCCATTAACCCATCTCTTTGACTGTACCTTTAGCCATTTCCTCCCTACACCTCTTCCACCCAGCTTGGGCTACCAGTCTGTAAAATACTTTAATGCATTCTCCTACACGAAAGATGGCTGGATAAATGCAAACTTGTTGTTGTAAAAGTCCAGAAATGTAAGAAAGGTGACAAGATTGTCTCTTTTATTTTATTTTTTTAAAAACAGCCCCTTTCAAGTTCTTAAGATGTCCATTTTGCAGTGATGTCAAACAAGAGGGCAAAGGTTCAGGGTGGTAAAGTGCAGTTTCCTGTCAACGCCTCCACACCTCAACTATCCTTACTACCCCACATCCATGCCATGACGCATTCTGCTTTCCCCCACCTCTGCAACATTGCCCAGGTTCACCACCTTCTCACACCGCAGGCTGCCAAAATCCTCATACACGCTTTCGTTACATCGAGGCTTCATTATGCAAACTCCTTGCCTGTCAGCCTCCCCAACTCCTCCCTCCACAGGCTGCAGATCATCCAGAACTCTGCAGCCGGTGCCCTCTCCTGCACTGGGCTCCGTGACCCTATCACCCCATCCTCGCCTGACTCCACTGACTTCCCATCACACAGAGGATACAGTTCAAGATCCTGGTTCTCACCTTCAAAGCCCTCCTTGGTCTTGCTTGCCCCTACCTCTGTGACCTACTACCATCCTGCTCACTCCCTCTGCTCAGTGGACTCCGGCCTGCTCCACACGCCCCGCACCCTCCCCCCCCGCCCCTCCTCGCTCACCCCACTATTGGTGGGCAGGCCTTCTACCACTCTGCCCCCAATCTCTGGAACTCCGTCCCACAGTCCCTCTACCTTGTCCCCTCCCTTGCCTCCTTCAAGACCCATCTGAAGACCCTCCTTTTCAACTGTGCTTTCGATCTCTTTGCTTCCCCCCCTGCCCTCCACCCTCCCTGATCCCAAACTCCAGTTCAGATCCGAAACTCTGTCTGTCCAACGCCTTGGGACATCCTCCCGACTTGACAGACGCTTTACAAATGTAATTTTGTTGTTGTTGTTTCAGGTCATATATGAGAAGGTATACACGAAGGGCAAATAAGGATTACTAGGAAGGGTGGTTGAGACCAGGATATAGACTCCTTTAGGAAACAGCTCAATGCTGTACTGAGAGTTTGTAGCTCATTGGTTAGAGCGCACGCTTTGCAAGCGAGAGACCTGGGTTTGATTCCCAGCAGAGTGAAATCTTGAGCAAGTTTCCTTACTCCACATGCCTGATAATAATCCCTCAAGAAAAAAACCTAATAATAAATTGGTCATTTCAATCCACGACTGTTTGTAGGACACTGCTGTGCGCAATTGGCTGCCGCATTTCTCCCACAAATATAGTCAATTCACTTTACAGTCTATTCTGTGAAGTGCTTTGAGATGTCTAGAAGTCGTGAAAAGTGCTATATCAAATGCAAGGATTACTATTATTGTTGTTATTATTATTATTCAACGGGTTGGGTATTCTGGGAGAATGAGATCAAATGGGCCAAAGGTTTTTCTTCACCTGAACCTCTCTCATGATCTTCTATAGGTGCCAGGCTCCAGCATGAATGGAATGAGATGGTGAGGCTAAGAGGCTAACAACCAAATTATATATGTTGACAAATAACTTTCACCATCAAAAGCGTAGTAGAAATTAAGTCTTCTTCCATATGACATTTATTGTTAAAATTTCATTTTAAATCACAATAGCTAGATTTCCCTGAGTGGATACCCAGTGCTCATCACTAATTACTTACAAATTTCTTTGTTTTTAATTGTATTATTCACTCAGTGGTACCAAACATTGTCTTTTGTTACACATCAGGGACAGTCTGGAGAATTAACAAGTAATAAAAAATTAATCTTGCCTTTAACATCATGGTTAATCAACTGAACTGTGTTTAATTAATTAAAATCCTTTTTTTAAAACTTATAAAATGTTAACACTACAGCAAAGTCTTGTGGAAATCTTATTTTCAGATTTACACTTACCAATTCTTATGGGAGTTGTCAGATTTAATTTGATTATTGTTATTAAATCAATGTTGTATCATAGTAGATAAGAAAGCATGAAGAAGAAAGGCTCCTCTAGGATATCAAAAGAAGAGTTTCTCCTGGTGTCCAAGTTAATAATCCCCCAGTTAAAAATGGTCACTCATCCCATGGCTGTTTACGGGACATTGTATTATTGCTGAGTACTGTGACACAGTACTTTCCAATATCTGGTTACAAGCAATATTTTGCTAATAAGATGTAAGCCGGGCACAGAACCACAACACTTCTCTTTTAAGAACCTCAGAAAACTTCCTCCAAAGTTAAGACTGAATTTGACAATTTTGACCAATTTAGCACATTCTGAAATGTTCAGAAAATAGAGCAAATCTGGACAAAATTTGCTTAGGATGGAAGAAAAAAACAGTGCAAGTGGCTTTCAAGCAGGAACAAAAGTCATGATTTATTGAAGATAAGATGTTTTTTCTTTCATTTTTATTTTGGTCTAAATAAACTATCGTTATCAATTTTATGGAAGTCAAATATTGAAACATTATCTCCCAGATATTGCTCTTTTCATGTCTTCTAGACACCTCAAAGTGCTTGACAGAATATACTGTAAAGTGAATTGACTGTATATTTGTGGGCGAAACGTGGCAGCAAATTGCACACAGCAGTATCCCACATGCACATAACAGTCATGGATAGAAGTGACCAATTTTATTGTTGTTTATTTTTTCTTGAAGGATTATTATCAGGCATGTGGAGTAAGGAAACTTGCCCAATGTTTCGCCCTGCCGGGAATCAAACCCAGATCTCTCGCTTGCGAGGCGCGTGCTCTAACCACTGAGCTACAGGTCTCCACGTTTCCACCATTTAGCATGGGACATGTGTATTTTTTGCTACAAAAACAGGTAGTACAAACCCAAATGAATGAGTTACAAACCCCCATCAATTGCTTAAATTTGAAGGACAACAAACAGCTCTAACTGCGGAGATAATTAAATGCTAATTAAGATAAAATTAAGTGCCATTACCCCACTTAGCTTTAAAGACCATTGTGGTTGTTCACCTTTGTATCAACTGATAGATTATGACCTTGCAAAACCAGCAACTCTTTGAAAGCATCTTTCTAAAAAACACAAGTAAAATAAAGGTAAATTTTTCTAAATTATTATAAGACTAGCCAAAGATTTGTTATTTAGAAGTAAGTGAATGCTTGCGCACACACACACAATCTGACTAATCCCTCCTCCCCATCGGAAATTCCTCTCCACAGTGTGACTGATGACCTTTGATCAGTTAAGATCCCAAAATCACAAAAGTAGGTTCAAACAAAGAAGGTCTTTCTGCAAATTTGATCTCATCCTTCCGGAATCCTTGGCCCATTCGCTTACAAATACACAGTCACTACACTATAATCGTACAAAGTGCTTTGAGACTTCCCCTGTCATGAAATATAATATATCAAATTTAAGGATTATTATTATCATTAAATATTTTGTGTCAGGAATCTTATACCTTGATTGAGTCCTGTAGCTCAGTGGTTAGAGCACTCGCTTTGCAAGCGAGAGACCTGAGTTCAATTCCAGGCAGAGGGCGAAACCTTGGGCAAGTTTCCTTACTCCACACGCCTAATAATAATCCTGCATAAAACCAAAAACAATAATAAATTGGTCATTTTCAATCTACGACTGTTTGTGGGACATTGCTGTTTGCAATTGGCTGCCGCGTTCGCCCACAAATATACAGTCAATTCACTTTACAGTGTGTTCTGTGAAGCGCTTTGGGACGTCCTCCCTACGTGAAAAGCGCTATATCAAATGCAAGGATTATTATTATTATTATTATTTCAAATGCTTCATGCTTGGAAGACCCATAGCATGTTGATTAGAACTCTCGCTTCTCAAGCGAGATGACCTGAGTTTGATTCCCAGGCAGGGCAAAGAGTTAGAAGTAAATTTTTTTGACCAGACTTTTTTTTCTGAGTTTCCTACAATGTTTAATTTTCACCTTGATTTTCTTCTGAAAAAGTGCGACTGTAGGATACTGAAAACAATTCGTTAGATTTAATTTTTATAGTATGATAATAATAATAATCCTTGCATTTGGTATGGAGCATTATCAAATCATCAAGATGTCTTAGAGTTTCCTTCATAGGATGTACTGTAAAATGATGTGATTGTGTACCTTGTGAGTGGAAATTACCAGCCAGTTTTGCCCACAGCAGTATCCCACAGTTACCGAGACCAATTTTATTTGGGGGATTGTTTTAAAACCATAATACGGGGGGGGGGGAAGGGAGGCATAGGAATTAAAAAAGAAAAACAATTGCAGGTAATAGTGTTCAAAATATTGAGAAGGAAGTCGATGGTGCATTATTGATCTAAAAGCTTTTTGATACATATTGATAAAGCATAATAATCCTTGCATTTGATACAGCACCTTATCACGTCTTCGAGACGTCTCAAAGCGCTTCGCAGAATAAAGTGACTGTATATCTCGTGGGTCAAATGCCACTGGAGTATCAGGATTTGTGTTTAAAGGGACTGTTGTACATATAGTGTTTTTTTTTTCTCTTTCCCCCCACGCCCCCCAAAAAAAAATTGATGTGAATTTTTTTTTGGGGGGGGGGGTTATCATTAAAATTTAGCTTGAAAGGTTGGAGACTTCCAACGAGGAGAGCTGTGGGATTGGGTGAACTACTGTGCTGACAGTTAGATGAACACATCCCCCAGAAGACTCAACCTACTGACTGATGTGCTGTAAGCAGCTGATACGATTTCATCACTTTCCAAAAAAAGAGAGAGAGAGAGAGAAAGAGGGAGGGAGGGAGAGAAAGAGAGACTCCCACAAATCGAACCGAAGTGAATTAACCCAAGACACGAGGTCGATGCCTGCAAACCATTAACTTCAGCCACAACATCAACCAGGTCATCAAACACAGTCAGTCACTGCTACAAAAGAAAGGCGACTCATCCCTTGAAGCACTGGGCACAGCTGTGTGGCTGTTGTATTTTGTTTTGCAGCAATTATTATTATTGCTGGTGGTGTTGGGGGGGAAAGAAGAAGAAGAAGAAAGGGAATTATTATTCTCCCCCTAACCCATTACAAAAAATACTACTAAAGAAAATCAAGCAATAATAATAATACCCCCCCAAAAAAAAATCTGAAGATGACTAAGATCCTGACTGTGTGCAACTTGTTCAAATCCCTCAAACAGGGTCTCGCAGTTTGCAATAAAGTGCAACGTCCCGTGTGGAGTCTGAGCAGCTCTGGAGTCAGATTGTTCAGTGTCAAGGTAAATAAAAAAAATTATTATAATTGTAATCATAATAATTCCTTTACGTTTGTGGGTTCGAAGCTTTACGACTAAAACGAAGAGAAAGAAGGAAAGAAATGTGTGATTGAGAACTGTGATGGTAATTATGTTATAAATGTGATTGCAGTTACTGTCAACTTTTTTATATATATCTCTCGATCTGGATGTGTGGAGCCTTTAGCTGATTGATGTGATATTGACAAGTGTTTAATCCACATTTTGGGAAGTCTATTTTCCTTCTCCTCCTCCTCCCCACCCACTGAAATGAACTTGTCTTTGCAGGTCTGTGTGGTTGGGCTGTCTGGGATCTGTGCAACATGTTATAAATAGTTTTCTTTGGGTTTGTTGAGCAGAGTCCAGGGGAATCCGATGACATTTGGTTTGTAGGATTGACCCAGGCTCTAAGCCTTGTATTTTGGGGACTTTTCTCGAGTGCTTTAATAATAATAATAATAATAATAATAATCCTTGCATTTGATATAGCGCTTTTCACGTCGGGAGGACGTCCCAAAGCGCTTCACAGAACACACTGTAAAGTGAATTGACTGTATATTTGTGGGCGAACGCGGCAGCCAATTGCACACAGCAATGTCCCACAAACAGTCGTAGATTGAAAATGACCAATTTATTATTGATTTATTTTTGGAGGGATTATTATTAGGCGTGTGGAGTAAGGAAACTTGCCCAAGGTTTCGCCCTGACCTGCCTGGAATTGAACTCGGGTCTCTCGCTTGCAAAGAACTTCTTGCTTTAACTTGTCTCTGAAGTCAATAACACAGGAAGATGATCGGACCTTGTATTTGCAGGCAAATACTTTTTTTTCTCCCCATCCCCCACCAAATGAACACCATTTAGCTTCCATTTCCGCATTAGGACCTGGTTAATGTGCCAAATCAACAGAGCGACAAAATACGCTTGAGGTTGTGCCCTGTGGCTGAGGCTGTGTTGTGTCTGTGTTGTGCTGGGCGAGTGGAATGTGCCGACTCAGAAATCTCAGCTCACTCACTCACTCATTCACTCACTCACTCACGCACTCACTCACTTACTTACTCACCCACCCACTCACTCACCCACTTACTCACCCACCCATCCACCCACCCACTTACTCACCCACTTACTCACTCATTCATTCACTCACCCATCCACCCACCCACTTACTCACCCACCCATCCACGTACTCACCCACTCACCCATTCACCCACTCGGGGGGGGGGGGGGGGATTTCAGGGGCAAGACTGGAGCGCTCTACCGTTTAGGGCAAAACTAGCCAACCTTACTAGAACAAGAGGAAGAGAGGGCACGTTTGGAAATCAATTTTTTGCCCCCCCCACCAAATAAAAACTTTTAAAACTGCAACTATTTTTTACCCAAAAAAACTCATTTTAAAAAAACTGTTTAAATATTTTAAATCAGGAAAAAATGTAATTCCCCCCCCAAATAACTTTTAAAACTTTTTTTACAAAACCTATAAATCCCAGGGTAGACTACTAATTCAATATTCAATAATTCAATGAATCAATAACAACTTTCCAAAGGGAATTAGATAGATACTTGAAAAGGATAAATTTGCAGGAGGATGGGGAAAGGGTGTGGGAGTGGGACTGATTGGGTAGCTCTTCCAAAGAAACGCACAGGCACAATGGGCCAAATGGCCTCCTTCTTGCTGTGAGCGAGAGACCTGGGTTTGATTCCCGGCAGGGTGAGACCTTAGACAAGTTTTCTTACTCCACACGCCTGATAATAATCCCTCAAAAAAAGATAATAATTGGTCATTTCAATCCACAACTGTTTGTGGGACACTGCAGTGCGCAATTGGCTGCTGCATTTTGCCCACAAATATACAGTCTTACAATATACAATTTACTTTATAGTCTATTCTGTGAAGCATTTTGAGACGTCTAGAAGACGTGAAAAGCTCTATATCAAATGCAAGGAGCGCTTTGGGACGTCCTCCCGACGTGAAAAGCGCTATATCAAATGCAAGGATTATTATTATTATTATTATTATTATTCTATGATTCTATAAATGGAAACCCTTTGAAAGGCATTGTTACCATTGATGTATCATAATGTTTATTACAGCCTTAGCCCTAGGGAATGAAATAATCGGCATGGGTAAGATTCGTTAAAAACAGTAGCAAGTCTAACAGTTTCCAGAATCCCCACTTTCCCCAAATTAATTTCCGTATTATTGGATATGATGTACCTACTGACCCCATTCTCTTCCCCTCCTCTGCAAACGGAGAGCTTCTTTTTCACTTTTTAGCTATAAAAATAAGTTGTGCAACTACAGTTGTCTTTATAGATAGCAGTTCACTTGTTCCGCTGATTAGATTTTGCATTGCAGCTTTGCATTTTGTTGATAAGTTTGCAAGGTAGTCAGTCTTTGCAACACAGATCAAGTTGTGACCTCGGGCAATGCCCTCTTGTTTTTTGGCCTTGTGATGTATCACTGAAAATGGTAGATGTTCAATGGACATTAGGTGTGATTACGTCAATGATGTTCCTGCAACTGACCTTGACTTAAGCAATGTCAATATCTTCTAAATAGTTGGCTCTGGTTAATACTTTCCAATTTCCTAATCTTGTCAAATTGAAAAGTTAAGGGGAGATGTGTCTTTAGGAAAGAACAAAATGCAGTGGTGAGTTTACATTGTACAGTAAACTCCTGATAACTCACCCCTGGCTTAACTTGCAACTATCATTTGGCATCATGCTGTCAATATCTCAGCCACATCTATATGCATTTATACATAAGCTTGAATCATCACTGGATAACTCTTGGAGTGTTAGCAGGATTATCGAGTTATCAATTGGGTGTCACGTTTTGCCCACAAATATTAGTCAATTCACTTTACAATATATTTTGTGAGGTGCTTTGAAAAGTCTAGAAGGCGTGATAAGGCGCTATAACAAATGCAAAAGGGAATATTATTATTATTATTATTATCATGAGTTTCTCTTACATCCCTAAGTTATGGATCCAAATTGGAAGAGTTCTGTTTGCTCCTTGGCTCAGAAATGGTACATGGTTTAAGATCGGTGCCATATAAATGCAATTTGTTGTAAACTTGCATATATACATATATGAGAGAGAAAGGACTCGAGGGGTATGGGGGAAGCTAAGGAGGGGACATAGGGTAGGTAGAGGTTCATGTAGAGCTTAAACATTGACACAGACTAGTTGGGCTGAATAGCTTGTTTTGGTAGATTCTATGTAATTCTATATTTCCTATCAGCACATACGTAGGCCATATAATAATAATCTTTAAATGGGATACAGTACCTTTCACGTTGGGAGGATATCCCAAAATGTTTCACATGATAGATTGTAAAGCGCAATCAGTGGCTGTGTGTTTTGTGAGCAAACACAGCACCCAATTTGTAATCAAAAATGTCCCAGGAACAGTCATCCAGTGAATGGCCAATCTTTTTGGGGGTGGGTGGCATGTGATTGTTGAGCCAGGACACCATGATCTTCCCTGATTACATCTGCATGAGACATCAATAATCATGATCTTTTGAAAAATAAAGCAAAGTACTGTGTAACTGCTCAAGTTCTTTTCACAGGAAAGAATAGATGGTGGAGAGGATTGGGGCACTAGGCTTTTCAGTTTGCTCGCTTAACTGATGAAATGGAAGTTCTCTGTTTCTGATGAGTGTGAGGGTTCGAGTGTTATGAGCTTGGGAAGTCTCAAACAAGCTGCAAGTGAGCTCCCCTCCACACAACATTTCCTCAAATTGGCTGTTATCCAGAGACCACAAGTTGGAGGAATTCTTCACACAGGGATAATAGGAGATGCCTTTCTGAAATTGGATTTAAGGAATTTTAGTGTGTACATTAGAGGGTATACTCTTTACTTTCAAGAGGTATAACCAGTTTTATTGGATTTAATTTGTGTAGAGGAGCAAGCTAAAATATGGGTGGCACTAGATTAAGGTTAAATTTTGTGTGTGTATCTTTAACTTTCAATTTGATTATTGCTAATTTAAAGTTGTTTTACATTTGAAGTTGTTTGCAATATATGGGGGGGAGGGGAAAGGAATTCTCCTGATCACTATGGCACCTCACCACATTTGACTGTAACTGAAACTAACTTAAACTAGGAAGAGGTGATCCAGATATTTATAATGCTGAGTTAATGAGTGATGTAGCTTTAAGCATTTGTCTTTGAGCCTGAGAGTAGAATTGGAGAACACAAGGGTTTGAAATTAACAAGCTGAATTGTGACTGAACCAGTTTCACAAACAGTAACTGATACTGGGTCACTTTGTTATAATGCACTCCAGTTTAGCGGCTTTACTCACAGAGCAGATGTACTCAGGGCACACACTACACTGGAAGTGTGGTGGCTTCTGGTACTGACTAGCTTCTGGTTGACTTCCTGCACAAAGCCCAGTTGCATTGTAATTAGGTCACCCTTTATACAGAACAGACCCTAATCAAGAGCAGCTAAACCTGCATTGATTAACTCCAAATTGGAATAAGTATTTACTGAAGAACTGGATAAATATTCTTGGGAAATGTGTTGGAGGATATATGGTATATGATAAGTGGGAAAACTGGTTGCTGTGGTGCTGGGACCATAGTGGAGTCCTGTAGCTCAGTGGTTAAAGCACTCGCCTTGCAAGCGAGACACCTGGATTCAATTCCAGGCAGGGTGAAACCTTGGGCAAGTTTCCTTACTCCACACGCCTAATAATAATCCCTCCAAAACAAAAAACAATAATAATAAATTGCTCATTTTCAATCCATGACTGTTTGTGGGACACTGCTGTGCGCAATTGTCTGCCGCGTTTCTTCCACAAATATACAGTCAATTCACTTTACAGCATATTCTGTGAAGCACTTTGAGACGTCTAGAAGACGTGAAAAGCGCTATATCAAATGCAAGGATTATTATAGAGAGGGTGGATGGTATGCACACATATCATCTATCACAGAAAGCAGACCGGGATTGATTAGTGTTAAGTGGGGGGAGTGATGGATATACCAGAATTTTAACCTGCACATTGGAGATCAGGAATTCTACACACAAGAGATAGTGTGGTGGTGCAGAGTATGTAATAGGGTAGATTTTACACAGCATTTGGAAGGAAGTGCTTAAGGCGCTTTTCTTACTCTGTTTCTCTGTCTTCTCATGATTCAAATACATCTGTTGTTCAGGCAAGATGAGACAAGAAACTTTTTTACTCAAAAATTGCAGACATAGAAATTTGGATATACTGCAGCCAGTGCGGTCAGGTGATACCTTGGAACAATTAATTTTGAACATGAAAAGAAGGATTAACTGAATAAAGAAATAAGTTAAATCACTAAAACACAGTGACAGAGAATAGCGCCATTAACCTTTCCCCTGTATCCTCCTGTCTTTTTGACATCATGAGAATGGAATGTAAATCCACAGTTCTTAATTCCAAATTAAGACTGAATTTAGGAGGAGGTTTTAGAACAAAAATCTGGTATCCGTTGATGGTTTATGCCCATGAAAATATTCATGGCTCTCGTGCCCAAAATGTAAACTGTTCTTCAGATAATATATTCTGGATAGTCGTTTTTTTTTCTACAATTCTTAACTGTTGTAAAGAATTTCAGAATAAAATTACATAATAACCTTAGATTAACGTCTTGGTTACCTTTGCATTTTCAATTTTTAAAAATAAATCACTGGTGACATTGATGAACCAGTTCAACTTAGGTTTTAATAATCCTTAAATTTGATATAATGCCTTATCACATCTTCGAGACGTCTCAAAGAGCTTCACAGAACAAAATGTGAAGTGAATTGACTGTATATTTTGTGCGCATTTTGGCATAAGGTCCTAATTTGGATTATTGTTTTGCAAACCATGATGATATGGCCCATCTTTCCCCATCAGGTAATGCAGATGCTTTTAGGAAGAACGTTGAAAATTGTGCTGCAATTCTTCCATTATCATGATGCTTTTATAGTCGGAGTAGTCAGTGCATGATATGAGATAACTGAACAAATTACTGTCTCTTTAGGCACAGACAGCACATTTGATTCTCGATGATGGGACAAAAATGAAAGGATTGTCCTTTGGGCACCCTCAGTCAACTGCAGGTGAAGTAGTCTTCAACACAGGATTGGTCGGGTAAGTGCAGAATGGCAGAAAGATTACCTCCTGTAACAATGCCATGCCACTATTCCCTTAAAAAAGAGCTGACTTCTAAAGTAAGATTAACTTGAAGAACTTCGCACAATTCTGTGCAATCTTAATTTTTAAGAGAATGTTGTGGTATTTGGTGGTGTTTTAGACTGGTATAACCAGTGAGGAGTCGATTTATTTGTTGGTTTAGAAGAGGATCTGTAAACTAGGTCAGCTTACCCCCAAGTACAAGACACATGAGCAAACCATCATTTGTTATTTACCGATCAATAAATCAACAACAGCTTGCACTTTTATCTTTTACTTAAGATAACACGTTAAAGCAGTTTATGGAGATAAGAGTGTGTAGTATTCCATGTCTCCCTCCACTCCTTGGCATTCTATTCTTCAGCATTATCCCTTGCCTTGCTTTCTATAGTTGGTGTGACATCCCCATGGTGTTAATCTATTGACTTCTAGTTGCGCTTCTTTCTCTCTCTCTTTCTCTCTCCCTGCTCCCCCACACCTGCTTTTGCTTCCCCTTTTATCCTAGAAATAAAAGGAGTGTTTACGCAATTGATAGCTGTAATTTGTTGTACTTTGCTTTTAAAGCTACCCAGAAGCCTTGACGGACCCGAGCTATCGAGGACAAATCCTGATTCTCACATACCCCATGGCAGGCAACTATGGGGTCCCAAATACAAAGGAATTGGATGGATTAGGCTTAATGAAATACATAGAATCTGAATTCATCCAGGTATTGTCTTCTGCTATTTAATCATTCACGTTCACAGATCTGTTTGATGTTGAAGCCTTTGATAAACAATTTGATTTGTCATTTGCCATGTCTGTTAAGATATCAATTGGTAACCAAGCAAGGATTGAAGTATGATAATGCACCATCACTGAGTATAAGTAAAGTAGGGGAAAAAAAAGAGTGGATGAATAGAGGACAAGTGGCCTGTCACTTAATGATCTCTTTCTCTCCCGCATTGGCATCGGCTATAGAACAATACTGTTAATGGCATTTGCATTATCAGGTAGTTGATGTACTCATGATTTGTCAACAGCTTGTTAGCTCAGCACCAGAGAAAGGTCAGTACATGCATTGAACCTGCAGTAGTGGAATTAATCGTGTTTGCAGGAATCTAAAACCTTTAAATGCTGCTTCATTTCAATGCAGCCTCTATTTTAGGTTCCCGAACGCCATGTAATATTCACTGATCAAGAGAACAGGCAAAGACCTGCCTTCTAGGATTCTGCCAGCATCTCTCTCTGGGGAACTTCTTTAGCTAGGTTATCAGAGTGACCAGGCATAATTTGTTCCCTCAGGTTAACTGAAGTTTTTTTTCTAAAAACAAAATACTCCCTCCCAAGGAGAAATGACTGTCATCTAACTTGGTGCCTGGTTTCTCCAATACAATGAACAAAATTGAAACTTGTGGGTTCTACCATTCCACAACTCAGTGTGACCTGCCAAGCATTCTGGCCATGTTAGACCTACGCTAGAAGTGTTTGTTGCTGACTCTGGGTGACTGAGTGGAAAAGCAATCCATTCCATTCACTGATGTCTGTCACTTCGATGTGCACGGAAATTCACTTTAGGGAATGGAAGGAAAGAACGTGAGAAAATACTGAAAATAATTTGTTTTATTATTATTTTATTAGGTATCTGGATTGTTAGTTCAAGATTACAGCCATGAATATAGTCACTGGAATTCGGTCAAATCCCTCAGTCAGTGGCTACAAGAAGAAAAGGTATGGATGTTGCTTAGAATCTCACAGTAATTTGCATGATTTATTGTAAAACGTAGTTAACGTATATTTGTAGATGAACATGGCAACCACAACAACAACAAAATTACATTTTGTGGAGTCCTGTAGCTCAGTGGTTAGAGCACTCGCTTTGCAAGTGAGAGATCTGAGTTCAATTCCAGGCAGGGCGAAACCTTGGGCAAGTTTCCTTACTCCACACGCCTAATAATAATCCCTCCAAAAAACCCAAAACAATAATTAAATTGGTCATTTTCAATCTACGACTGTTTGTGGGACATTGCTGTGCGCAATTGGCTGCCGCGTTCGCCCACAAATATACAGTCAATTCACTTTACAGTGTGTTCTGTGAAGGGCTTTGGGACGTCCTCCTGACGTGAAAAGCGCTATATCAAATGCAAGGATTATTATTATTATTATTATTATTATTTGTTGAGCGCCTTTCACGTCAGGAGGACATCCCAAGGTGCTGGAGCCAATTTACCCACAGCAGTGTCCCAAAACATCCATGAAAGGGATTGTTAGCCAGAACTATAGGAGACTTTTCTTTTTGAATAGTGCCAAGGGGTGTTTAACATCCACCTGAATAGGACCTTGGTGTAATGTTCCATCCAAAGGACACTGCTTCCAATGTTTTGGAATGTCAGCCTAGACTGTGAGGTCAAAGCCTTGTCGTGGGACTTGAATCCCACTTTCTGACTCAAAAGAGAGATCTAAGCCAAACTGATACCCCCTGCCCCCCAAAATGGTAGAAACTAGGATGACTGGACCTGCGTCTGGGGGGCACTAGCTAGAATTTGGAGAAGTTAAGACTTGGGCAGTGGGAAAGGTAAGGTGGGATCTGACAAATTGCAAAATTTACAAACTATGTTTTCTCATTGAACAGATCCCAGCCCTCTATGGAATAGACACGAGAATGCTCACAAAGATTGTCAGAGATAAGGTAACTGTACTCGTACCTGTTGGAAACCCACACGGCCAATTTGAGTCAGAAAAAGTGCTTTACGTTGTATTTTTTGTTTCTCTTCGCAGGGTACGATTCTTGGAAAAATTGAGTTTGAAGGTGATCCTGTAGATTTTGTAGACCCCAACTTGCGGAATCTGATGGCAGAAATATCAACCAAAGTAAGTATTATACATAGCTGGAAGTATGTTCTTATGATCAGCAATGCAGTCTTGCGACACATTGATCACAATTTTGTAACTATTTCCACCTATATTTGCTTTCCTTAAGATTTATTTATTCTTACCTTTAGTTATGAGGGCTGATCTTATAATATTGGCAGCCGTCATCAAGATCATTGTAGATGAATAAGCACCTGAGCAGTGAAACATTTAGGGATGAAGGGAAAGAGCTGGAAATAAGTTTATTCCAAACGCATTAGTTGACAAATTGAATCATAGACGTGATAGGTGCAGTGCTCTGGAACTCGAGCCCCAAACCACACAAGTGTGAAAGGAGAACCTTAACAGCCACTCTCAGGATGGTGTAGCACATTCTAATCGTCAATGTGTTCAATGTCACATGCAAATATACAGCATGTCCTAAGAAGAAGAATGACTTGCAAAATAAGCCAGTGGGGATATATCTTATCTATTGGCAGTGAACATTCTACTTAAGTAAAAGGGTGCTATGCGTCTAATAAATCTATCTTATTTATTCAACAGGAAATTAAAGTCTTTGGAAAAGGGAATCCAATCAAAATTGTTGCAGTTGACTGTGGTATAAAGCATAATATTATTCGACTTCTTGTGAAGGTAATTATGTATCTGTTTCTAGGCTTAACTTCATGCCCACTTTCTCCACATAAGCAAAAGGATTCCTTTTTTTGCATTAGTAACACAATAACAGCTTCAGGCAAGTGGATCATAGGCCCCTCTGAATCTACCAACTTCCCTTTCTTTAATACGTCCATCTCATCTTTGAATAATCCTGAGTCCTTTTAATCTCGAGAAGCCTGTCTAGTTTTTTTTTGGAGGAATTGGAAACATTCATAATTGTCGTGGAAGAATGGTGTGTGTGAGTGTGGTGTGCGTGAGACAATGGTGATCTTTTCAATATATCTTTATAATAGGACATTTTGGTTGTAAATACAAATGGTTGTTTAATACTGGAGTTTCATATTCTATTTTTGTACAGCTTCCTTTTTGGTAGGAGATGGTAGGGCTTATAGATGACCCACTATCGGCTATCAAACTTAGTACGTAGGTGCCTCCCCTACCCTGAAACCCTGATGTCCTCCCGACGTGAAAGCCGCTTTACAAATATAATTTTGTTGTTGTTGTTGAAACGCCTTATGTGGAGTCCTGTAGCTCACTGGTTAGAGCACTTGCCTCACAAGCGAGAGACCTGGATTCGATTCCTGGCAGGGTGAAATATTGGGCAAATTTCCTTACTCCACACGCCACTGTTTACCAAGCAGTAATTAAGAACCTGGTTGTTAGTTGATTAGCAGATCGCTTTGCCAGGGTTAATAATTCCTTAAAAAAATAATAAAATGGTCACTTCAATCCATGACTGTTTCTGGGACACTGCTGTATGCAATTGGCTGCTGCATTTCGTCTACAAAATATTCAGTCAATTCACTTTACAGTATATTCTGTGAAGCTCTTTGAGGCGTCTCAAGGATGTGCACTATATCAAATGCACTATATCAAATGCAAGTATTATTGTTCACTCAATGGTAAATCCATCATTTGCAGCGAGGAGTTGAGCTTCATTTAGTTCCATGGGACCACGATTTTAGTAAGATGGAATATGATGGACTCTTCCTTTCCAACGGCCCAGGAAATCCCACTTTGGCGCAGCCTCTGATTGCAAACGTGCGGAAGGTAGGATCTTTATGCCATTCTATCTAAGCAACAGATGACCAATCGAAATAAAGTCATTTTTAATACCATAATTTGCTTGTGTTGCATTTCTCAGATTGTATCAGGATGCATCATTTTGTTAAACACTGGACATGAAATGAAGAAGACAATAAGCTGCTCTTTTATCCTGTGAGCATGTTACTTATGTATTTTTGTGTTCGGTTTAGGTATTGGCAAGTGATCGAACAGAGCCAGTGTTTGGTATCTGTATGGGGAACCAACTGACTGCATTAGCTGTGGGTGCAAACTGCTACAAATTGCCTATGGGAAACAGGTGAGAAGAATCCTTTCAGTCCCATTATTCCTGCCCTTCCCATACTCTTGGGGTTTATTCCTTTTCAGGTATTTATCATGATAAATGCCTGAAAATTTGGTTATGAAATCTTCCGATCACATATTTGTAGGTCTCTCTGGGATGCATGCAAATGATATTCTAGTTGCTGGATATTAAAGCGCTTTGCACGTCTGTAGACGGAGTCCTGAAGCTCAGTGGTTAGAGCACTCACCTCGTAAGTGAGATACCAGGGTTCGATTCCCAGCAGGGTGAAACCTTGGGCAAGTATCCTTACTCCACACACCTAATAATAATCCCTCATGAAAAAAACACAATAATAATTTGGTTACTCAATCCATGACTGTTTGTGGGACACTGCTGTGCACAATTGGCTACCGCGTTTCGCCCACAAATATATACAGTCAATTCACTTTACAGTATATTCTGTGAAGCGCTTTGAGATGTCTAGAAGACATGAAAAGCGCTATATCAAATGAAAGGATTATTATTATAGATACCTTTATAACTACCTAGAACAGGAAGGTTGCTCTGTGTATTATTGCAGAGAGAGGTGGCAGAATTGTTGAATACTGTGATAAACTAAATGTCATCAATCTGAGAAGTTTGGTTTTCAGATTAATGACACTTTGTTGTAAAAAATGCAAGTTGCATCACTGGCCAAAGGTCCAAAAGCACAATTTGGAGACTCAGCCACAGTAGAAAAGAGCAAACTTTGCCAGAGGACAGGATAGAAGAATGCTTTAAATTAGTCTCGGAGGGAGAAACCTCAATTCCGGAGTCCCAGATGGCTTTCATCTCATCCATCTGAAGTGAAATCAAAACTGAACTCCCAGAGGTGAAAGGACAGGGTGTTGAGCCAGTACACCATCCACAGCCCTTCATTCTTAAAATAATATCAACCAAAACTGAGGAAATGGCAGAGATTTAGTGGAGAATTGCCAACAGGAACTCTGACCTGTGTACCTGACTAGCATGCAGCCAGCAATACTATTTCTTCACTCAGAGGGTAGTGAATTTTTGGAATTCTCTACCCCAGAAGGCTGTGGATGCTCAGTCATTAAACATATTCAAGACTGAGATCAAAAGATTTTTTTAAAAAAAACATAAGGATATGGGGTTAGGGCAGGTAAATGGAATTAGATTAGAAGATCAGTCCTGATCTTATTAAATGACGGGGAAGGCTCGAGGGGCCAAATGGCCTACTGCTGCTCCTAGATCTTATGTTCTTATATGGTTCCTGGACAATCCTTTTGTGGTTGGTGAAAATTCTCTTTCCTTATCACTAAATTAATTTTAAGCCACGTCCTGAAAGTGCTCAGATATGGTGGCAATTGAATTTTTCGTTAATTTTATACAAGTTTTAATTTTCGGTTCTCGCATTGTTTAAACTAGCACTGTCCTGATTCAGGGATCCTCCCCACTTGACCTTCCTTGCTAACCCTGCAACCCAAATCCTAATGAGTAGGGCTGTCCTCACTGAATAAGCAGTGGAAAAATTGCCAGACAGTGCCCTCAATTATCAGCAATGTGGTGTTAATTGGCTAAACTCCAGGAGTACATCAAGGCACACACTTGGGTCCCAAGACCATGAATCATGCAAACCTGTACCTAATACTCCCTGGAATATGCAGCCCTTCAAGGGGGGGAAAGTGCTAATGAAGGGAAATTTCATATGTAAGTGGTATACATGTGTGGCACTGTCTGATTTGGATACTCTTAAGCATGGTGTTGGGTTTCCACATGAGTTAGGCATCTGACTGATCCCCCAAAAGTTCAGTAGTGTGGAATAGCACTGCATTGCTGGAGATGTCCTTTGAATGAGATGTTAAACTGAGATGCTGTCTGCCTGTTCAGGTGGATATTAAAGATCCTGCTATTTGGAAAGAGTTTTTCCTGGTTTCCTGGCCAACAACTTTCAGTTAAATTGGTCATTCCATTCATGGTTGTTTTCGAGATCTCACTGTATGCAACACAAATCACTTCACCAAAATGTTGAGTGTTCTTGTTATAGGTAGTGTAATAAATTGCAAGGATCATTATTAAGAATGCCTAATGGTCACTGGCATTTGTTGAACAGTGCATCATAAATCCTTACATTCAATAGAGGAGGGAAAACTGCACTGATAATGATTCACCCCTGAAGCCCACCTAACTATAAGAGCACAAGGTAGTGCAAGCCATAGTCTGGATTGTGCATTGCACTTTATCCACATGGGTCCAGATTTACTCCATTTATAGAGCATGTTAAAAAGTCCAGAATTTAGCAAATTCTTTTAAAAGCTACTGAAAAACAATTTCAAACCGTAGACTAAATTCAACAATTTGCCAAATTCTGGCAGTTCCAAAGTGCTATATAAACAGACCCAGGTGGAATTTCTGCTCATGTGTGCCTTGTCAAATTAAGACCTTCTGCCCTTTTTAAGTGCAGTAGCTGCTGAGCTGGTTTATTTGATAGNAAAAAAACATTGGAGGAAAGTGGGGGGGCGGTGTTAGCATACGCTTAAGGTTGCTGCCTGAATTTACGAGGTGCTTTCTATGCTAATTGTGTGTTTCTCTGGACAGGGGACAGAACCAACCAGTGGTGAATGTCATGAACGGACAGGCTTTCATCACCGCTCAGAACCACGGATACGCCATTGACAGTTCAACGCTGCCAGAAGGATGGAAGCCAATGTTTGTGAACGCCAATGATGAAACCAATGAGGTAAAGGAGACCTAGAGAATGAACAACAATGTATTATCTTTTAAAAGTTTTACAGAGGGACCATTCTGCACTAGTTTGGAGTCTGTCTGTGTAAGAATGTTCTATCTATGAGATACCCTCAATTGAGAACAATTTCTTAATGCATTAAAAATAATGGGCACTGTTGTAAATAGATGCAAATTTTGCCCACAAAAATGCAGTTGGTACACTTTACAGTAAACCAGTGAAGCGCTTTGAGGTGTTGCTTCTCTGAGCACTTAATAATGGCATAGCTTGACTCCAAGGCAGAGAAAAGGTGGGCAGGTAGGAGTGGGGGGGTGTTGACTGTAGAAAGGGGTCGAAGAGGAATACTTCTTGATGTGAAAGGTGCTATATCAAAATTTAGTTTCAAAATCAGCATTTTACACAGAAATGTAATGTATTTAGGGGATGGTTTATACAATGAGTGAGGACATGGGATGGTAATCTGCATTTAGCAACATGGAAATATCACCTTAAGGACCAGTTTCTGTAAAACTGATCCATTTGCTGCAGACTTCGTGTTGTGAAACCAACCTTAGCAGAAGGTGCGAGTTACAAAATAAAAGGATGTAAATGTTCAATCTGACAGTAACATTTATTAAAGTTGATTTACTGCTTTTTAAAATAATCAAATTCTGCCGTGTGTATTTTTTTCCCCTCTCCATTGCATGTTCTTCCTTCTCAGTGGAGCATTTAATACAGCATTATTTCTGACAGCAAATCATTGAGAGCAACCTACAGGTTTGAGACTTGGCGCTGGTGGGTGATATAAATCCTTGTATTCCATCAAGTGCTGTTTCCTTGAATAATAAATCTGAGCGTACAGGGAATGATTTTCATTCTGTGGAGCTTCAGTGCCAAAGAAATTACACAGCGTAAGGATCATAAGTTGAGTTAAATGAAAAGGGAGGATGAATGTGCTTGATAACGTCCTGACACTTCTAAATTCAGAACTTCTTTGGAACTTTTTCAAGGGCATGAAGCACTTATTGGAGATAGCAGTGTTTTTTTTTCCTCCCTGCTATTATCTGGTATTAACCTAAACCTTTTCAGGAAGTGGGAGTCATTGAAATATGAATGCTGTGCGTGTTCCACTGGAACTTTGTGCCAGGATTTGAATTGCAGCAGCTGATGTTTTGCATTTGAATTAACAGCGTTTTATTTTAATGAACACAAATTTGGTTATTAACTGCGACAAGTTTTTCATCCAGCCATAGTTTGGGAGTAAAGATTGTGAGCGTTTCATCATCTCCTTACTGATATGTGTGCTAGTTAGATTCCCATCGGACTGGATGGTGTATAAGCAGCTGATTTAATAATAATAATAATAATCCTTGCATTTGATATAGCGCTTTTCACGTCGGGAGGACGTCCCAAAGCGCTTCACAGAACACACTGTAAAGTGAATTGACTGTATGATTGTGATTTGAACCTCTTGTCAATTTCTGACCCAAACCAGATAGGTGGTGCCTGCTTTAGACACAGGGCTTTGGAAACAAAACTAGGCCCTTTGCTGGGAGTTTTATTAAAAAATTCTGGGCAAGCTGCTCTCCATCCAGTGCAGCGGGAATCTGGATTGAGAGCCCTGCTGCACATGAGTTTGATGAAAGAAGAGGGCAATCTGAGAAGCTACATTTTTTTATTATTTGCTGGGCTAAATCATGAGATCTGGGAGAAGTTTGCCCATCACCTTGCTGATTGCAGGAGATGCATCCCCGAAAAAGGGAGAAAATGAAAGAAAAAGTAGAGGGATTTAGCGACCTAATGATTAATATGGCGCCATTTCATATTCCGAGTCCATTGTATGTTCTTGCAAGTTTGTCAGCAGGAGAGGTATTGAGCAAAGCTGAGGAAGGGAAAGAAAACAATCATAATAACTTGCCTTTATATAGTGCCTTTCATGTAATGTCTCATAGCACTTTACAAAGGCAGGTAAGGGGGAAAAGAATGGGGCTGGCAGGTGTGGTGAGAGAAAGATAGTGAGAAAGAGTCATCCCTGGGCTGCGTGTAATATTTCATAACAATTTGTGTTTACATAGCCCGCTTCACGTAAAAGTGCTTTCTAAAGGCAGGGTTTGACACCAAGTAAAGGAGAGGGGGTGGTGGTGGGTGGGAGAAGTATTTACAGGCACAGTCATAGAGGTAGGTTTTAAGGCAGGATTTAAAGACAGATGGGGAAAGGGTGAGATGGGGAAGGGAATTCTAGAGGTTAGGGGTGGCCTATCTATAGTAGCTTCAGAACAATAATGGTAGAGATTGGAGCAAGGGATTCACTCTTGAATGGTGTGATCAGGGGAAAGGGGGGAAAAGACGTGACTTGCGTTTTTAAATAAAATTAAAGTAAAATAATAAAAAAACAACTTTTAAATGAAAATAATAATGACTTACATTTTGGCTTTGTTTCAGGGAATTGTGCATGAGACCAAACCGATCTTTACTGCCCAGTTTCATCCGGAGGCTAAGGGAGGCCCAACGGATACCGAAGTAAGTAAAATCCAGGATGTGCAGGCTCTACACATTGCAACGCACAGAGAGACTCTTGGCAAGCTGGCCCTTCTCCCAACTTGCACCCCCCACCTGAGCTCACATACTGTGCCATCTTCTGCACAGATTAATCCCGTGTGACAGTGCTTTTCCATAAACACAGTCTTAGTTGATTTGCAGGGCAATTTCTTGGTGCAGAAATTTGCAATTGGGTTCTGATTTTCAAATAAACACTGGGCTTGATTTCTTTGTAATTATCCCTATTGGTGCAAGTTGTAAATTATTACTACAACAACAAGACTTTGTACTTTTATAGCGCCCTCCATGTAGGGTGGCATCTCAGAGTGCTTAATAGTGGCGGAGCCTGACTCCGAGCCGGGGGGAGGTGGCTGTAAGCACGGTAGAAGAGGAAAGTTTTCTGGCTGGACCTGAAAGTGGGGAGAGGTGGGTAAGGCGGAGGAATTGAGGGAAAGTGTTCCAGAGTTTTGGGGCGTAGTGGCTGAAAGCACGACCTCTGATGGTGGGACGGAGGGTGCAAGGGATGAACAGGAGGCCGGTACCAGTCGAGCAGAGCTAAGGTTATTCTACATCTCTGAGTTGGAGCAAAGCTGCAGGTACATGGGAACCTAGCTGATGACAGTGCTGTTTTTGGAGCATTAATTGCCATCTTGATAACTGCACCAACAGGTGTGGCCACAGTGCCATCACTTTTCTTTGACATAATTTTTATACAGTTATTTTATCCTTTTTCTTTCTCTCTCTCTATCTCTAAGTAATTTATGCAAATAATAGTAACCTAGGGAAATGCTTGATCTCCATTGAGCAAGTCCCTCAACTACACTCAGCATCCCTCCCATCTGCTCTGCAGTATGCCAGCCCTTATACACAAACCCCAACAGGGTGGTGAGAATATAGATCTCACTGTCGGGAGCTGTGGTTGAAGCAGAAAACATCAGTGTATTTAAGAGGAAACTTGATGCCTATGTGAGGGAGAAGGGAATAGAGGAGTATGTGAGAGGGGATTTGTAGGGGTGGAGGCTTATGCGGAATATAAACACAAGCAATGACCTCAATGCCTTAATCTTTGCTGTAGCATTCTAAGGTGGTCATTGGCTCCTTGATGTTTTTTCCTTATCACCAAGCGTGCTGTACACTGGCTGCCGTGATGTCAAGGGAACCTGTGTTTGTTATCGATTGCCTGTGTCTAATGCAGCTTCATTCTCTTCCAGTTCCTGTTCGACGCTTTTATTTCACTCATAAAGAGAGGCAAAGGCACCACCATCGCTTCAGTCATGCCTAAGGTTCCTCTTCCCCCTGAGAGGCTGAAGGTTGGTTTTCTGATCCTGTTTATTTTGGTCAATTGTGTAAGTTCACACCTAGACACTCACCACCGTGCTTAAGAGTCTCTAAACCAAACCACTGTCCACATGGGTATGTTTTCAGTTTGTATGATATAGAGTGCACCGTCTCTCTCCAGAGAGAGTCCTGTGGAGTCCTGTAGCTCACTGGTTAGAGCACTCGCTTTGCAAGCGAGAGACCTGAGTTCAATTCCATGCAGGGCGAAACCTTGGGCAAGTTTCCTTACTCCACACGCCTAATAATAATCCCTCCAAAACCCAAAACAATAATAAATTGGTCATTTTCAATCTACGACTGTTTGTGGGACATTGCTGTGCGCAATTGGCTGCCGCGTTCGCCCACAAATATACAGTCAATTCACTTTACAGTGTGTTCTGTGAAGCGCTTTGGGACGTCCTCCTGACGTGAAAAGCGCTATATCAAATGCAAGGATTATTATTATTATTATTATTATTATAGATGTCCTCATTCTATAAACCTAATCCTTGTGACAGTTTAGAAGCAAGCCGGCAAGAGCCAAGTCTTGGGTATCCCAGAGTATGCACTGGGATACTATTCGAGATGAACCTGATTGTTGCAGAGCACTGAATAAGCAAAGTAAACTTCTCTTTGCTTGCCCACTCTAACCATTAGGGCTTTGACTTGCAATGTTAACAGGAGTTGAGTGAGGAAAATCCCAGCCCCCAAGACTGGTCTGCTTCTCCAAGTTCTGCTAATGAACCAGGCTGGCTGGCCTGTCATTAATGACAGTGGTGAGAAGCTGGAACTTGCTGTCAAGCTGTGGTGGAAGCGAAAAAACATCATTAGCTTTGGACTCGCTTGTCTCAAGAGCCTGACAACAGAGATTGCAACGAGGATCAACTTGATTCTGAAAGCTTAGTGTGTAGGTTCAGGACATACTGATTAGCTGATCAGCTAGTTTTATTCTTTGCTATTTTCCTACATTCCAACACAGCTTTTCAATATGCCCTTCTGCTTCAGACCCTCTATTTTATGCCTTAATTGACTCTGTGGCATATTCTGACACATAACTGGTTGAGCACTATATTGCAGCCACTGTAGAATTTTATTACTTCAGTAATTCACCATTATGCAATACCTTGAACCCAATAAAACCGCGTCAGGTTTTACTTGGGTGTGAATAGTTTACTTCCTATTGACCTATTTTATCAATTTGTTTCTTACACGCTTTCATAGCTTATTGATGACTCTATTGTACTGCACTTGTTACTTTCTCTATCCCAACAATTCCTTCATGTTTTCTTTTGCTACAAAATACGCAGTCACTACACTTCTGTTAAATGAAATGATTATTATTACTTTTCAGTATCCTGTGAAACACTTTGAGACATCTTGACAATGTGATGAAGTGCTAAATCAAATGCAAGGGTTATTATTTTATTTTGCTGGTTTCAGGTTTCCAAAATCCTTGTGCTCGGCTCAGGAGGGCTCTCAATTGGTCAGGCTGGAGAGTTTGACTACTCTGGATCCCAGGCTATCAAAGCATTGAAGGTGAGTCTTCTGATCTATGCTTCACTGATCCAGGATATTCAGTTAATGAAGTTCAAAATAATCCATGTGGTTTGCTTGAATTCTTCCCATCTCTTTGCCACTCAGTATTCTCAACAAAGCACCTGCCATGAAAAAATGTCTGTAATCCAAGGTTTTCTTCAGACAGCATAAAACCTTTGTTGAAGGCTGGCTTTTGAAAATGTCTCGTAAAACCACTAAGGTACCAGTTAATACTGCTACCTGTGTCACTTTTCTGCTCTACCTTGTGCTGAAAGACTGGTAGTCTGGGAGTGAATTACAAGGGTCTAATCTAATGTCAATCAGGTGACATGATAACTGATGTGAATCCATGACCATTTTTTGCCATTAATTGGAGTGTTTCACAAGTGTAAGAGTCAACCTGGCTCAGTTGGTAGTACTCTTACCTCTGACTCAGAAGATTATGAGGCCAAGCCCCATGTTACGACTTTGAACTCACAGTCAAGGCTGATACTCCATGCAGTTCTGTGGGAGCTCTGTAATGTCAGAGGTTCCGTATTTCAGACGAGATGTTAAACTGAGGTCCCATCTGCTTCTATGGGTGAATGTTAAAGATTTTATGGAATACCTTGAAAAGAAAAGGGAGTTTCCTCCGGTGTCATGGCCAACAATATCTCAGATAAAATTGTTCATTCACTTCATGGCTATTTCTGGAACATTGCTGTGAGCAAATTGGCTACTGTGTTCACCTACAAAATACATACAAATCACTTTGCAGCAAATATTGTAAAGCAATTTGAGTCATTTTGGCGATGTGATAAGGTGCTATATAAATGTAAGTATTATTATAATGAAAATACTCATTTTTTAAAAAAAATTGATTTCTCTTTTAGGAAGAAAACCTAAAAACTGTGTTAATGAATCCAAACATTGCATCCGTGCAGACGAATGAGGTGGGCACCAAGCAGGCAGATACGGTTTATTTCTTGCCAGTTACTCCAGACTTTGTGATTGACATTATTAAAGCAGAAAAGCCTGATGGCATCCTGTTATCCATGGGTGGACAGACAGCCTTGAACTGCGGTAAGTTACTTAGAGGGAAAGTATCAATTCATTTTTTAGGGTCAGTCGGGTGTCTTAACACATGCGGAAACCCATCACTGTGCTTAAGAGTATCCAAACATGACTGAGAATTCCATGAATCCCACGGAAATTCCAGAGATTTATTCCTCAGTGAAGAAATGTCAAACGATTTACATTTACAGGCTATGCATGCTAATCTGCTGGAGTTGCTGCTCTAAACTTCACGGCTCTTTGTGAGCAGAAAATTGTCGTTCGCAAATTAGCTGCAGAGTTAGCTTCCAAATGTACTTCACAGTAAATCCTGTGAAGTGCTTTGGGATGGCTCGATGATGTGCTGAGGCACTACATCAAATGCAAGGATTACACTAATGTCAGTTGCATTGCTCTGATGTTAAAGCTTTCCCTGGGTTTTGTAAACTGGTAAAAGTTCTTGAACTCTCCCCGATACTTGTCTTATCCTGTTCAACAGTCTGACTGTTTCCCCCGCACCCTCAAGCTTTGTCCCCAACTAAACTGAGTGAAGAAATCGCAAACGCAAAGTGAAAGATGAGACAATGTTGCCCTTGGTAAGCTTCTCCAAAGACTCCTCTGGTAAAGCTAATCTGCCTTTAAATCTCCAGGGATCAAAAGGCAACAGTGAGGTGACTGATTTCCCTGCACCACAGCTGTATTATTGCATTTTAATCTTTTATTTTCCCTTGTGAGGGATATGTTCTGGGAGGAGGGCACACGTGAGTTATAATGTGGAAAGTGTCATAATTGCAATACCTAGAAGGTCGACAGGTTTTTACTGACTAGCAGAATCTGTCACCTTGATGTGCTGTCAATCTAGCTCAGGAGTTGTTGACCTGCTGCGTTTCTTCCTCAGGGGTGGAGCTGCACAAGCGAGGGATCCTGCAGGAATATGGTGTGAAAGTGCTGGGAACACCCATCACCTCTATCATGGCCACTGAGGACAGGCAGCTGTTTGCTGACAAACTGGTGGAGATCAACGAGAAAATTGCTCCAAGTTTCGCAGTGGAGACGGTGAGACACGGCTGAGCAACTGCTGAACCCTCTGCTCTGATTTCTCCTTTTTATACCCTTGCACACCACTGCTTAACAGATCAAGCCACCTGCTTCCACGTCTCTAACATATACTCTTAATAAATGGCATTTAGAAAATGCAGGAGAGTAGCTTGAGCTGTTACCCACTTGTTCCCTTCTATCCTTACAAGATCACACGATTAATTTGGATGAAGAAGGCCCTTTGGCCCATTTGATTTTATCCTTTCAGAACGCCCACTCTACTATTTCCCCCAATAACACCGTCAAGCTGTTTTTCAAATGAAAGTGAATGCTATGGGGAAACGTGTGAGCTTCCCTCACAGATGCACTCTCAAAATATCCAATATCTTTTCATTGGTGATTCAAGAGCTGACGCCTTGAGGTGCAAGTCATCAATGAGGTTCATAAACAAGTGGGTGAGAGAATGAGCTATATCAATGAATCATCATTGGGTGATGGATGACCTTTAAAAGTTGTCAATTTGTATAGGATGAGATGAGATTTACTGCAGATGTCCTAATAATAAAATATTCGCTTTACGTCACTGTAGAGATCTAAATAACCCTAATCTTGTCACATTAATACAAAATGTTTGATCATCAGCACTTTTTTTTCAGTAGTTAATGATCCCGTTGATGGCTGTCTTACCACCATCTGCTGTGTTTGAGTAGATGAGCAGACAGACTAAACCTTGGTTTGATGGTTTGACGTCAGACTCGAAAGACAGCATCTCCAGCAGTGCACCCACAGCACTGTATTGGAGTGTCAGCCTACATTGTAATGGGTGCTTTATTGAATGCAAGCATCAATATTATCATAAATAGTTGTTTCTGAAAAGTGCTCATGTTCTCACCACCATTTGGCCCCCAATAACCCACTGACACTGGTAACAATGTTTTCTCCAATAAATTCCTCTACATCCCATTGAATCAGTAGCCTCACAAACCTCTGTGTCTTTTGGAACATGTTAGACACGAGTGTTGATCTCCACATGATTTTAAACCCCTATAGTTTGCCACAGCAATCCTATCACGCATGTAGGCTACATGTTTTGTGGCCGCGAGTTTCTTGTGTGATTCAAGAAGATGCTTTGAAAGGGAAAGCATTCTCTCCCTTGCATCCCATTTCATCCCATGTTTATACTGGGTTTGTTATATCCCTTGGAACTAACATCCCCATTACATTATGGAGAATCGTTAGCAGATTTGCAGAAATTCAGCACAAGCTAAAGTATACCAGAAAGTACTGAAGGCATTTCCGCCCCAGAATGAATAAATGCCAAACCATTGTTGTTCGAACACACAGTTGGAAGATGCCTTTGTGGCAGCTGAGAAAATCGGATACCCTGTCATGGTGCGGTCAGCTTATGCACTCGGAGGTCTTGGGTCAGGTCTGTGTGACAACAAAGAAAAACTCCAGGAAATTGCTGAGAAGGTAAGTGAGTTCAGAAAAGCTCTTTATAATGGGGCATATTTTTGTTCATTAGCCCAGAAACCATGTGAGTAATGGAACGTTGTACGGGTGATAATTGGCATGAAATTGCATTGATCTCAGAGTTGTTGGCTGGGAACGTGCCACACTGAAAGTCATCCTGGTTTCAACTGGCACACATTGCCCATGTTGGTGTTTATTTATCAGTAAGCAGGACTTAGGGTGGTAATGATACTAAGCTGCTATTATAGAAATGCAGAACACTGGAGCCCGATGTGATCAGCCCCAGTCTCGCTCACAAATCATTTGAAGAATGAAAGGGTTTAGTTAAGGAGCTGCAGAATCCAGAGTGTTGTGAATTCCCTCTGCAAATGTGTATGAATGGACATTTGACTGGGGGAAGGGCATCAGCTGAACACTTAGTCTCACTAATAAACCCCTTGCACATCAAGTTCTACACGCTGGAGCTACTGTTACCGCCCACCTTTTACTTGAATACTGTTACAAGGTTAGCAACTTGGGCTAACAAGTTGGGCAGTGGATCAATGTACATCATATCCAGTTCTGTTTCGCCCTCCATCGGCACCATAGAGCTTTGAATTGCAATGTTTTGTAAGATTGAGGTTGTGTAATAATATATATAACCCTCACGTTTGATAATGCCTTATCAGGAGGATATTTGGAAGCACTTCATATGATAAACTGTAAAATGTAGAGATTGTATTTTGTAGATAAACCGATTTGCATGCAGCAATGTCCCAGAAATGGCCATAAAGCGAGTGATCAATTTTATATGGGATTATTGGCCTTGACACTGGAAGAAACTCCCATATTTTTGAATAGTGGAGATCTTTAATGTCCTCCTAAACAGGCATCCAAAAGATAATTTAATTGTGTTGGTCTGTTTCCGTAAACCATTTATATTCTCACAAAGAGCCATGAGGTGAGTTTTGTTTGGGAGAGGATTAATGATGAGGACACCAGAAGAAAACCATTGAATTATTTGCTGAGCGGGTGATTCTAGAGGCAATTCACCTCTAGAGAGGCACTCCTCAACTCCTCTTCCGCCCTAGGAGGGTAAAAGTATAGTCATTGAATTTACCCAATTGCATTTCTTTGAAGAAAGCTTGACACACTTTTTTTGCATTGTGACTTGGTCAGCCGTGCACTTGTGCTTTTGGCCCAAGAGTAGTTTTGAACAAATACCACGATATACGGCAGTGATATAAGCTTACATTAAATGAACATAAAATATACTGAGCGATTCACGAAAAAATTAGTACCGCCCTCAATCAGTAAACTGTCTCTATGCCACAATTTTTACATGAGTATGAACAATTATCCAGTACTTCCTCTACAGTTAGTGATGATTGTATTTAATCTATAAACTGCAACAGCCAGCTGTCACATTTGGGCTGAATGCCACCTTGCTTGGTGATAGGAACAAATATATTTGCAATAACCATCATTTTTCAAGTATTACTGAACTCTCAAGTGAACCAGGCAACACATTTTGCCCCACCAATCCTTTTGCTGGTATTGTGCAAATTCAGTTTTTTTTAGTCTCAGGGCAAGAGACCAATATGTAAACAGAAGATCCAGAAGTTTTTAAGAGGTTCACAAGATTTCTGTATGACAGGTGCCTGTGATGGATTGGTTTATATGCTTCAGTGAACCTCACTGCTTCTGCTGGGAGCTCTTCCAAGCAATCCCAAAATACATTCTGAAAATAGGACAAGCACGAAATCTGAGCCAAGATCTGGGTCTCGTTCTATGAAAACCTTGTACATTATTTTGAAAAATCTATTACTTCTTGTTAAGTTTTTAATTTGGCACTTGGGGTAAACTTACTAAAAGTAGTTTGTGTGTGTGTATATAATGTGTGTATATACATACATATATGTATAGTATACATTATATATATATACACATGTGTGTATATACTGTGCGCATGTGCATTAGGAAGGAAAAGTAGCTGGATAATCTATTAGTGAAATGACATTTCTTCAGTCACAACTGAATTCTTGAGTATATCTGTAGGCTATTAGTTTTAGGATGTGATTGTGACTCTATACAAGCTATTAGTGAGTCCACACACATGTGTTCTATTTGGCCATTGAAGAGTGATTGACTAGTCATAGGCATTTTTAAAGGTTTCGAGAGTAACTCGGATTGTTTTTGTCCAGACTATTTTCCCCACATTTTCTCTCCACCTCCACTCCTGAAGATTCACAAGATGAGTTTGACTGAAGAAAGCCCTGCAGCCCATCTGATCTCATCCCTCTAGAATGTACACCCTATCATCTTGCTGTCACAGCGTCAAGCTGATTTTTGAATGAATGCATTACCCTGGTTTCAACCACCCTTTCTGGCAACCTGACCCACTCTTTAATTACTATTTGATTCTTTTTTCTTTCCACTGTACTTCAGTTCAACATGTGCTTTCCTCAAATGATAATTATTGATATGTGATTCATGACAGTGAATGTTGGCAAGTTATTTGACCATAGTGGACACAGCCAAACCTGATTTCACAGCCAAGCCCTATAATTTAATCACACAACGTCCTTACATGCATGACCTTTCAAGAGGGGTCCGTGGATAGTGATCAAAAGCAGAAACCCTGGCTACATAACTGGGGCATTGAAGCAAATTGTAAGCACCTCAACTGCTGACTGGATTGATTTCGGTTAACTCAGCATAGTAGTGGCGGCTCCCGCTTTATATAAGGGGACGCTAAAAAAAACAAATTGTGCTAATATCTCAGCCCGTTTTTGAGGCTACAAGCACTAAGGGGTTGGAATTCCATCCTGATAGCAAAAAGAAACCGAGGGGGGGGAGGCTAGCTTACATAACCTCCTCACACGGGCCACCACTGCCAGGGATTGGGGGAGGGGGGGGCTAGTCTTTGAATATGATCTGTTGCTATGAAACAATATGGTGTAAAAGTGACCCATCTCTTGTTTTGAAAGGAATCAGTGGTAGAAATGTGTCCATTGGAATGGGGAAGCCATTCAGCCTGTTTTCAGACAGCCTGGTGTACCGCTACTCTAGCTCCAAGCTTCCTCATGAAGCTGAAATACTGCAGAAAGAACACAGTACTGAAACATAGCTAATGCTGTTTATCGCTGTTCAAGATCAGTGGACTGGAGCTTTAGATCACTGGAGTTTCTCTCTCCTCCCAAACTTTTTTGTCGTTTGTATAATGCTGCACTTTCTGTAAATTCCTGACTTTTTTTCCTAATCCTTTCCATAAAAACCTGACATTGGAAAATCTTGAGCACTTGAAAATATGGTTACAAAATAGGAAGCCATAGAAGTGATTTACACCAAGCTTCACGTTCTTGAAGGATCACTGATCCATACTGATTTGTGGCTGGTTTAATGTAGCCTCACTTTCCATGATGAATTCCCCACATTCAGCATAATGGCACTCGCACACAGTATCTCCTCGTCTGTGAGCAACCTCTGTGATATGAAATCCCAAACTATAAGTTTGATGACTGGTCGGGATCAGCATTGAGCTTGCTGCTGGACTCAACAATTACAAAACATTGTCTCGATCACACAGTGGAAGTCCAGCAGACTATCCATATTTGTTACCAAATGGAAAAGATCTGATTTATATAAGTTATTTTTGTTGTAGTTAAAGCATTTACTTTATGCCTTTGAGTATATGCCCTCCAAAAAATATTTTGTTGAAGTGGCTCAAACTACAGCATCCTTGTTTCTTGGGGTGAAGGGACTTGGATTTAATACAATACAATTTACATTTATATATCGCCTTTCACGTCGGGTGAACGTCTCAAATCGTTTGGTGAAAGGCTGTGTAGATTTGGGCTACGTTCCCTGGAGCTGAAATGGTTAAGGAGTAATCTTTGAAATCGTAAAGGGAATTGACAAGTTAGATAGTAAACTAAATTTTCCTTCTTTCAATTCAAGTGCTTCGCCATAGCATTAAAAGTCCTTTATTTGTTGTTGCTCCTAACTCATAAAAACGGTACATGGAAAGAGCAGAGCCTCCCTAGCTCCACCATCCATAAACTAGTTGTCACCCATACCAGACTCTGCACGCCCATCACTCTAGTCCTTGTTAGAGTCTACTATCTCCTGATGGATTGACTTCAAGATCATCACCTCTAAATCCCTTCATGCCCTAGCGTCTTACCCACTTGTTATTAAAAATTGAGCACAATAATGAACAAGGACCACTCTGGTGCTTTTTAATTGTCTTCTGAAAGGCAGTGCAATGTTTCTAGCTTCCTACAAAATCCCTGTAATTTACAGTAAATCCTGTGAAGTGCTTTGAGATGTGTCGATAATGTGATAAGGAGCTATATCAAAAGCGAGATTATTGTTATCACTTTTTTTGTATGTCTTTTCTCCTCCAGGCTTTTGCTATGACCAATCAAATCCTTGTTGAGCAATCGCTGTTGGGTTGGAAGGAGGTCGAGTATGAAGTGGTGAGGGATGCTTCAGACAACTGCGTCACCGTTTGCAACATGGAGAACTTCGATCCCTTAGGAATCCATACGGGTAAACCATTTGCAGTTGCAGTTATAGAACATGACAAAGCCTTTTCCCTTCAATACTTACCTGGCTGTGCTGCTGTGTGAGTCCCTCCACCTCGCCACCTCTCTTGCCTGCTTCAAGACCACTCTCAAGACCATCCTCTTCGACCGTGCCTTCAGTCACCCTCATACCCCTAGCCTTCCCACTCTCCACCTCTCCTAATCCCAACCACCAACTCAGGTGCAGATCCCTGACTGTCCGCCGCCTTGGGTCGATCTCCTGACGTGAAAGGCACTATATAAATGTCATTTGTTGTGTGAATTTTTCAGTGAATCTTTGAATATCCTGATAGTTTTAAATAAGTCTGTTTGCAGCTTCTTAACGATTGACTTGGTAAAGCCATTGCCTTGTTTGAAATAGGCACATAGACAAGGAAAGTCTTAGATTAGATTCTGGTCTCCCATGACTCAGTTGATCTCTTCAAGGTGACAGTAAACACTAGTATTGACCTCAGTCACCGTGGGCTGTATCAGCCATGGGGAAGCAATCAAACTAAGGTCTTGTTGGGAGAAGCGGGAGGGAGGGAGAAAAATTGCATACAATTTAAATTTTTCTATTTTTTTTTTTAAAAAAGCCCTCTCTACTCAAAACTATTTCTGTTCTCAGTGCCTGCAGTTTGAATTCTTCTTATGTTATGTGTCTGTTTTATGTATTAGGTGACTCGGTGGTTGTTGCTCCCAGTCAGACCCTTTCCAATGAAGAATATCACATGCTGCGTGAGACAGCCATCAAGGTGGTGCGTCACCTGGGCATCGTAGGCGAGTGCAATATTCAGTACGCTCTGCACCCGACCTCACTGGAATACTGCATTATTGAGGTTAATGCTCGGCTGTCTCGCAGCTCCGCCCTCGCCTCCAAAGCAACTGGGTAAGAGTGCAAAGACACAAGTTTTATGGCTGCTGATAAATGTACTGTCTAATGGAGAAAATGGAGGATTATTATATAATATACGTGAAGCGCTTTTGAGATGTCTCAAGGCCGTGATAAGGCGCTACATCAAATGCAAGGGTTATTATTATTTAAGACTCTGAATATTGTAGTTTCTAAAAGAAAACTGCTCCCTTGTAGGTAATTCGGAGACTATGTAGTTTTCAGCCATGATTGGAGTTTTCTATATGACCAATTCACAGCATTTACTGTAAGGTGTAGTAACTGCATATTTGTAGATGACCATTATTTTCTTCAGCCATGCTCTTTCTCTTCAGGTATCCTTTGGCCTTTGTTGCCGCCAAGCTGGCCCTGGGAATTCCGCTGCCTGATATTAAGAATGCTGTTTCGGGGAAGACAACTGCCTGCTTTGAGCCTAGCCTGGATTATATTGTAACTAAAATTCCACGGTGGGATCTTGACCGATTCCACGGAACCTCTCGGGAGATTGGTAGCTCCATGAAAAGTGTGGGGGAGGTGAGTTGGCTGTTTGAATTTATGGCTTTAGGCATGTCCTGTAATATTTATTCTGTGTCTTTTGGGAGACTCTATAGGTCTGTCCGTCCATCCATTTCAAAGCAAAAAAAATCCTCATTTGTCAAATTGTTTTTAGAAAAAAAAGCTTATTTAGTAACTTCTTTGGATATTCTGGTACAGGATAACAGGCATTTGCTTGTAAATTGTACATTAAGGAATATTATGAAGGAGAACTTCTAGTTGGGTCTAGATTTATTTTATTTGTGATTCCGATTATGCAAAATTGAGCGAATATAAGCACACTTTGAATCACTAATAAAACAAGACAGCTATTCAGTCTTAACTTTGAAGCTGGTTTTCTGAAGTACTTCATTCTTCGTGTTCCTTATACTTTGAAAACTAAAGCATAAAGAGACATATCTAATAAAGGTAGTCGGATATGGACCTATTTTGCTCAAATAATAACCCTTGGGTTTCTGCGTTCGTTACTCAGGTGATGGCAATAGGACGCACCTTTGAGGAAAGTTTCCAGAAAGCCCTCCGAATGTGCCACCCATCAGTAGAGGGCTTTGTGCCTCGTCTTCCAATGAAGAAATCCTGGTCTGAGGACATTGATCTTCAGAAAGATCTGGCTGTTCCTTCTATCAATCGAATCTACTCTCTGGCAAAGGTAATTGATTTTACTAAATACAATGGTCATTTGGCATAAATACTTCTCCTAGCCTGTGTCACAAAGAAACATATGTTAATGCTGCAATTTTACTTTTGTTTTTCATTGATATTTCCTAAAAGTGCCGACCTTTTGTGTACCAATTGCTTGCAAGTTAATACTTTATAAGTAAATATAGGCTCCAGATGTACAGATGCAATTTTTTAAAATTCTATAAAGCTTCACCCTCTTCTCTTGAATTGTGTAATTATCTGATTCCCAGTTTTGCTTCCTGTTCGACTGCTGTTCCAGGTCCACATTATGTCTTGTTGACGTGTGCCTTTTACGTGCCCCAATAGTGCTAATCTAGACTAGTTCCAGTCTTATTCTATTCACTGAATATTTTTTTCTGGGGGGAGGGATGTTAGTATGTGATATGGATATTATTGCTGAAGGCTAACCATTTCTGGATCTTACATTTTTTGAATATAACCATAGAACGGAACTACCATTCAGTAATTTTCACCACACAACTAAACGTTGCATTTAACATAGTACCCTTCGTTTTACCATGAACATCTCAAATTACTTAAACAGGTATGAGACACCTGGTCCAATCATTGCTCTCTTGCTCACTTCCCATACTCTGGGGTAAAGAAGTTATGAGGGTACTGGAAATGTCTTCAACGGATACCCTTGTTCTAGGTTTGTGGTCAATCCAAGTTTATTGTTTTACTTGCGTACCTTGCATAAAGGAAACTTACGGGAGAGGAAGGCTGAATAGAAATTGACCAGGCACCTCTGTGCTGCAATCGTAACTAAATTGGTTACAGAGGACTATGACTATTTTTCAGCATAGGTGAATACACCTTCTCCACTCCTGAAATGTGGTGCTCTTCAAGGAGTTAAGCTCATACTTGTAGACTGGCCACGTTGGCAAGATATTTGAGGACTATCAATACCCATGGATCATAAAGCGCTGTGAGACAGTCTCCAGACATGAAAGACACTATACAGATGTGAATTGTATTGTACTACATAACCAGGCAAGAGTCAGTACCTTTTATTTCTCTCTCACACACTTTTTCCTATTCATTTTCTCCTTTTTTTTCTCCAACATTCTCTTCTGTTTCACTTTATTTTTGTCACATTCGCCCATCTCTCTCTCTCTCTCTCTCACACTCACACATACTATACTGTCTCCTTTCTTTCTCTGAATGCTTTCTCATACTTGCATGCGCACACATATAAAAAACCTTTATGAACAAATGGGTTAGATATTTTTTAGAACACCAAAGAAAATTCTGTACTTATCTGTTTAAAACGCTATATTAAGTATTTAGTTCTATTTGACATTAATGAAGAGTTGCTGTGATAGAATGTTATTTTGACAGCACCATTTGATCAAATGCTTCTTTAATCAATTTTTAATCAGTTTGAATACATTTTAGCTCTAATTAAGTCAATAAAGTTTTTTTTTTATTTTTCCTCCCGCACCCTTCCCTTTCATTAAAGGCTTTAGCCTTTAACACATTCAGGACTGAGTTTCCTTCTGAGTTGCAGCTTTAACATTTTGTCTGTTCGCTGTCTTTCCAAGAGAAAGAATTGTTGCAGGATGTTTAAGATTAACTTGGAAAGGATGGGTGTCAGTGTTCATGCTGCATTTGCAGGTGTAGCAGAGTGATAGGACACAAGCACTCCAGAACTTCACAAGCAGGGCTGGGTATATGGGAAATCAGGAAATTTCCCGAGTGTCTTGTGAATGGCTCCCAATGCCTACCAATTACCCCGCGTAACCTAGTTCAGAAGTTTTATTTAAGCCCAATAAAGTTTCTAAATGCATGCTGGTTTTATTTTTTCTGCCCCCCACAAATCATTTTCCATGACAATCCCAAGTTCTTTCTAGGAGCCAGACCAGCAATGTTCACAAGCCTGTGTGAAGAAATGCTTTCTGACTTCATTACACCACAGACCTGAGAGAAGCTATTGGTCCCTACTGCATTGCAGTCAGCTGGCACAGTGCACAAATGGCATTGGAGCGAATGAGGATTTCTAACAGTTCTTGTTTATTGTAAGAAAATGTTAAGAAAAATTCCAAGGGTAACATTCCCACCCTTACTCGTGTGTTTATATCTAGGGTGTTAGCCTGGCTTAATCAGTAGCAATCTCGCATCTGTGTCAGAAGGTTGTGTTCAAGCCCTACATCAGGACTTTGAGCTTATATTCTAGGTTGACACTCCAGTGCAATGCTTGTGGAGCACTGCAGGCTTGGACGAGAGGTTAACCTGAGGTCCCCTTTGCCTGTTCAGGTGGGCGTTAAAGTTTCCATGATGATTTGAGAATGGAGTTTCTCCCAGTCCTGGCCAACAATCACCCAGATAAAATTGGTCATTCACTTCATGTGTAAATTGACTGCCATGCTTGCCTACAAGTACATAATCAATGCAGTTTAGATTGAAATCCTGTGAAGATTTTTGAGATGCTCTGACAATGTGAAAAGGTGCCATATCAAATGCAAGGATTATTATTCTATGATGAGCTTCTTCCCACCAGGGAAGTTGATGCACTTTCGCAGAACAATGAGTCACTGTGACAGAGGACCGTGTTTGCTGTTTTGAATGCAGGCGCTATATTCCAGGACGTTTCACAGAAAAGATGTTAAAAGTTCAGGGTGATGTTACAAGCTGCATCACTTTATAACACTGAAACGCTTGCCACAGTGCATTTGTCAAAGGGTTTTAACAGTGGGCAATCACATTAGTTTACCAAAGTTGGAAATGGGATGGAATTCAGCAAACACTGGCCTGCTTTTGGTTCCCCTGTCGGATTTGCCCCAACATCAGTGGGCGAGCTGTCAGCCATTTTGTTCACCATCTCTGTAGGACTCTATCCCCAAATCCCTCTGATTCTACCTCTCCCTCCCCACTGTTAAAACCTGTCTTAAGACTAGGGGTTGCAATCCCGGAGTTTTTGGAGCACCATTACCATGCGGGATCCCAGGATGGTATGACATTGGGATCCTGGGATTGTATGGCACTAATGCTCCCAAAATCCTGGGATTGTAACACTTCTTAAGAGCTATCTGTTTGATTGTGCTTTTGGTGATTGTTTTTCTCCACTCTCCTGGTTTGAGGGCATGGCAGACATGAAAGGTGCGTGTATAAATTGAAACGGTATTGTATTGAGCAAGTAAAGTAGTGGTATTTGGCTCAGTGAAATTGCTGATAATGAAATTCTACCTCTAACAATCTTAACAGTTTACAAGCCTTTTTTTCAAAATTAATTCTATAACCTTTCTCCATGATTTTTTTTCAGTTAACTAATGTAGATAGGCTGAGGATCCAGTAGTTTTGTGCTCCCAATTACCCCCGAATGTCCTGCCTCCTGTTCCCAGAATTTGGGCCTTTAACTGGGAGAGGTTGCCCCAGCAGTGTTAGGGTAAGCTAGTGCAACCCTGACAGACAAAGTAATAAATAATTGGCCTCTGGGACCTACGAGAGAGCTGAACCAGGTGACTTGACCTCTTCTAATTCATTCTCTTTTTGTCTCCTTTCCTGGTTTAATGCCTCCTTCCTGACCGCACAGCTGAGGTAAGGAAATTGTTCTGCGGGCAATTATAAATAAATGTGCACACGCACACCCATGTGCTACCACTGCAAAGTATTGTGGGCTGGAGCTTACGAAGGCTTCATAACCTGCTTAATCAGTGCTCTTCATTTCATCTCCTGTCTAATCAGTGCTTTTAATTTCCTTTACAATTAAGGACCCATTGCTCTCAGCTGCCAATATGCCCTTTGTTGTCAGTGGTGCCATTCTCAAATGAAACACTAAAACCCAGGTTCAGATGGATGGTAACCATTTCATGATCTTAGTTGAAAAGAGAAGGGAGGCTCTCTTCTTCCGAAACTCCCACCCAGCTGGTATCCTGATCCTAATCCTACAGATAAATTGATCACTCAATTCCTGGTTGTTTGTGAATCGTGCAGGGCACAGGTTGACTGTCACATCTGCCTACAGTCTCTACACTTGACTGCAATTCCCTGTTCTCAACGTTCTCAAAGCATTTCACAAAATTGATTGGGAGTTTGAGCTGGGGCTGGAGGGGGCTGAGGAAGGAGGAGAGGCAAGAGATAATCAAAAGCGTAGTTATTCAGAGAGCGGGAACAGAATGGCTGAAAGCATGCCCAACAATGATGGGGACAGGTTGAGCAGGGGCCATGAAGTGAGCGAGTTTTCGCATAGAGGCGGATAGGCTGGGGCAGTAAGTTTGCAGAAGTAGCGTGGGGCGAGACTGTGGAGGGTTGTAAAAGCAAGGTCGAGAATCTTCAAGTTGATCCACTGGCATTTAATAATAATAATAATTTGATTCAGCCAGGCATTTGATTCTATTCTACGGAAGTCCTGATCCATGCGCAATCCATCCTCTATTTTTGCGATTACACTGCTCTGTGCTCTGAATGCCGAAGGGTCAGTGCACTCTTCTGGGGACAATCACATCACTTTAGAATTCCAATTGCCTTTGTGCAAAATGGTTTAATGTTTCCTCTCTTGAAAGTGGATAATTGAGTGAGTGGTGTGGAGACTCGAATCCAAAGATTGCAAATACCTTGACATTACTATAGATCTTTCACACGTGGCTTGCAGATATTCAAATCTGGGCAGGATATGGGCGAACAAAGTTTTATTTCTTTGATTTGTTGCTTTGTCGGAAGAAACAGTCTGCCTCCCCCTCCCCCACCATCTTTCCATTCGAAAGGCTTTTAGATAAATTTCCACCCATTTGCATGCCATATTCTTGCCTCAAGTCCTATCACAGCCTTGACTGTGTGTCTTCAAGGGTGAGTGAGCATTTCCTGCAAAGCACTAATGTCCATACCAGTCCCTAGCCATTCTGGAGACAGCTGCAATAGCAGGTGCTTGTGAACAGCCCAAGCTGACTTTGCTTTCTTTTTAATTGAATGCTTTAAAAGTGCAACCTTTTGGTCCCTATGGGTAGCCAGGCTGTGAGTGAGAATTTGCCACACGCCAGTGGTGCAGTGTCACTGCACTGCATGCTTAAAGGCATGCTTCACTACGCGCAAGATTTTAAAGAGATGAAACGCAAAGGGCCATGGTAATAACTGAGCAGTGATGAACTCTGAGGTGCCTGCTAGCTTAAACATTCGCTGGATGAAGGGTGGGGGAGAGAGGAGAGAATACAGCATTTGAGTAAAGTTGCCCATCTCCATTTATAATAGTTATATTTCGGTGGCCGAAAAGAAAAGTTACAGTATTAGAAAATACAGCTGTAAGCATTCCAAAGTGACAGACGCATTTCAGAGCGATGAATGTGTTGAGCATTTTAGCTTTTGAAATGCAGAATGAAAAGAGGCAATGCTACTCTGTTACCAATGCTATTCTGAACATTTGGAATGGTGTGTGACGGGGGAACGAACAATGAGGAAATAATTAATAGCTATGAAAGTCGAGCAAAGTGGGCATTATCTACTTAGGGTCTGTGATGCACGGAATGCATTTTTTTTCTCATTCACATCATTCACTTAGACTAAATCAAGGCCGGTTACTTAATAGCTTTTCACTTCTCATTCAAGTGTGTGCAGCGGGCCTGGGAAGAGTAAATGAGACAGAAATATTTAACCTCCCCCCCACCCGCAGCTTTATCATAGTCATTGCATTATGCTCCTCTTATGCATGTAGGAAATGTGGTGATGTTCACGTGGAATCCTCCCAAGAAATTAGACAGGAGATCAGCCAGGTTATGACTCCAATTTGCAGCAGAGACAGGATTTCTACTTCACAATGACAGGTCGTAAAGGCATTATGACCCTTGGTGCATATCGGACTGTGGTAGGATTTTGTTACTGGTCTCTTGCTTTACTTACGAGGGGAATTGTTACTCTGTTAGGAAGTGAGGGGATGGTTGGAGAAAGGTCTCTTTTTTTAAAAAAAAGCACTGGCATTAAATTTACCCACTTAAAATCTCAACAAGCATTACTGAACTCCCGTGCTTTGTCTCAACACGTTTGAATGAAGGAGCCTGGATTTTAAATAATAAAAATAATCCTTGAATTTGATATAGTACCTTTCACGTCAGGTGGACATCTCAGAGTGCTTAACGTGATTTATTGTAAGGTGCAGTGACTGAATTTGTAGGGGAATTCGATAGTCAATTTGCGACCAACAGTGACCCACAAACAGTCACAAAGTGAATGACCAATTTTATCTGGGGGATTGGACACAGGGAGAAACTTCTACCAAAGGATCTTTAATGTCCTCCTGAACAGGCATTTTAGCAAAGATTGCTGTTATAAAAGATTACTACAATGGAAAAATTAATTGTGTTGGCCCCGTCTCAGTAAACCATCCATATTCCAAATTAATGCTGTCATTCTCTCACCGGGGTTTCAAAGCAAGTCAAGTTGGATTTTTTTCTGAATGATATCTGGATGAAGTGAAGTTTGTTTAGTTGTCTCTCCTTACCCCCTACTCCCTGCCTTCAAAACTCACCTTAAAAGATTAGTCTTCAACCATACTTTTGATTACATTCCCCTCGCTCCTCATCTCCTTCTTTCCCTCAGCTCGTGTTCCCAGTGAGCAATGCGAAATGCTTTGGGATGTGCTCCTGATATTGTTGTTGGGTGCATGGCTACTTATCAGGATTGTATGCCCATAAAACAGTCTCAATGTTCTGAGACCGGTTAACATTTCCCCAGCTTATCCTGCAATCATTTTGCAACACTGAATTTTGAAATTGTCCGTGTTACTGTTTTGTCATTGATAGAGGCTAGGGTTAGCAAGAATGTGTGAATCCAAAATGTTCCTTGTAACAGCATCAAGTGCTCTTAGTCAGATCTGGCTGATTTCTCTGCAGCGCTAGATGGGATAGCATCTCATGAGAGCTACATTACAGTGCCCCTGAACTTGTAATAACTGTAACAGTGGCCCCGTGACCACAAAATATATTGTCAATTCACTTTACAGTATATTGTGTGAAGCGCTTTGAGATGTCTCGAAGATGTGATAAGGCACTGTATCAAATGCAAGGATTATTATTTATTATTAATAAAGATTCAGAACTAGTTATTTTTCTTTAATGGAATTTGATGCTAGTATTGTGAACAAGTGGCCAAGCACTTGATTCAGGCATTCGTGAATTAAAGAGAACGGGTGGGAAGAGGAAGCCAGTTGATTTTTGACTTGCTTTGCCACTTGAAAGGGTTTTGCATGAAAGGGACTGGTATCTGTATGGAAGCAACAAGGTGAGGGGTTTCCCCATGTGTCAGACACCCGGTTGACCAAAAACAAAAATCACAGCTTCTGATCTGGAAGAGCTGACAGTACATCTCTTGCTCTGGATTTATTATTCCATAATGTTCCTTTATTCACTTTCCAATCTTGCACTTGAATTGCATAGAATACAAGGCACTGTGGAGGACAGACTGCAGTTAAGAAACAAAAAAAATCAAAGCAGTGATTTAATTTTATAGAGCTACAGAAACAAAAATTATTATTGTTGCGAGCAATTCACATCACAGCGTATCGGGATCTGAAAAGCTCATGAGATAACTAGCACATGAATTGAGATAAACATGACAAACTTATCACGCTCTGAAGAGCCAAAACACCAGACACTGCAATATTTATACAAACAAATGTGTGCCAGGACTGAGCAGTGAATATTTTATCAGCAGTGAATGCCTTGATGCTCATTGTATTACATTTAAGGCTTTCTAAAATGTTCTCATTGAATATTCAATGTATTCAGAAAATACACCCAACATTTTCTTTAACCTTGTGTTCCCTTTTGTTCCGATGAATGTATCCCCTAATAGTTTTTTATTCCCTCCTTTAATGTTACTGGTTGCACGTGATCTGAATTTTGCAATTAATATTCACAAAGTTATTCATTTTATGGTGTCTACTTTTCTCTTTGCTGCAGGCATTACACAGTGGGATCTCAGTGAATGAGATTTACAAACTGACTGCAATAGACAAGTGGTTCCTTTACAAACTCAAGCGAATAGTGGAGATGGAAATCGAATTGAGCAAGTACACCAGGTAACAATGCTCTGAGGGCATCGTAATTCAAGGAATGATTCATCCTGGACATTCCTGATTTTTTTTCAAACTTATGAATGATGTGGCAAAAATTCTTTAGTAAGTACAATTTCTTACAAAAAGAGAGGACTTTACTGGAATATATATTTTATAAGGGGTGCGGGGGACAAAGGCAAATAAATGTTTTTTTCTTTCAAAGAACCAGTACAGACACAATGGACCGAATGACCTTCTGCTGTGCTGTAAATTTCTATGGTTCTTTATCAGAAAATATAAAAGACAGCATGTATACAATTGTTTTTCCAAAGTGACCTACATGCCAAGGTTGGGAATCCAAGCTTGTGTTAGAATTTTATATCTGGAAAGTGGACATCCTGTTTTATTGATACAACAGGATGTCTTGTATGACTTGACTCGAGGTGCAGCACTGATGGGCAATTTGTCTGTAAAGAAACATTTGTATTATTTCTTCCACTTATGTCATTTACACTTTAGTTTGAACCATCAATTACCTCAAATTATGCATAATGTGTTAAAAGAACTTGCAGAAAAGCAGCTTCAAAATTTAGGCTGTATTTCCTCCAGTGCTGTAAATTTCTATCATTCTATGATTTCAGAAACTTAGAATTTTGTCAAATTCTGGTTTCTGAGGTCATAGAATGATAGAAGTTTACAGCACAGAAGGAGACCATGTGGCCCCTCAGTCTGCCCCAGCTTTCAGAGCAAGATGTCCATTCAGTCGCACTGTCCTGCCTCATCTCCATAGCCCTTCAAGCCTCTACAATATCTTAAAAAAAATAGAAATGCTAAGAAAATATAGTGAGGAATTCCTTCCCCATTGTTTATGGGGCTCCAAAGCTTTCTCCTGCAGTGGGAGAATGGGAAGACCTACACATGGGCTTCTGCCTGACCTTTGCATTACTTCACAAGCAACTAATGAGGGAGACAATTCAAGCTTGGTTGCTGTCAGATGACCATTTTTCCTCATTCCTTGATCACGATCCCCCATCTCAGAAACTCAGAAACTTGCCCAGACATGAATAAATGCTTCTGAGGGATTTTACATGAACTATCTTCAGTATAAAGTTATAAGCCACTCCACCCAGCAGTGTCTATTCTCGTAATTGATGAATAATGTAAACCCTATTCTTCAAAGCGATGTGGCAATCAAGAGCTTGAGCAATGGCACAGCAGTTTTGAATGCCAAGAATTTTCTTTCTCAAACTTGGCTTGTGCTGTATGGTGTGGAAATCCTGTTAAATCACTGTGCTAAATTTCCCGGCGTATTGATGGAAAGTCAAAGCTGTTAAGTAAAAGGCCAGTATTGTAGCTAGTGTGCAAGTTGAGGAGCCCTTGATCTGTGCAGCACAACATGCCGGCTTATATGAGCTATGATAGTCTTCCCACACTGTCGTGAAAGGAGTTCTGCTACTGTCCCTCTCACTCCCCCCTTCTATTTTAATCCGAATACACTTTTAAATGCCTTTTGTCTCCCATTATGCCTTTCCTTCAGTTAAGCAAATAAACAGCTCAATAACACAATCGTCCATTTAAATAATTTGATTAACGAATGGCTCTGTCTTTTAACGACTAGTTTCCGCGTTACAGCAAAAAATCAAATGGGAGACACGCTTAGTGTTAGTTCAGCGTGAGCTGCCGCCGAATAGAAATGAAAGCTAACCAAGTGGAGAATGTAATATGTAAAAAGTTCAGTACCGTGGCTAATTGTTATGCAGCAGACATCTTGCAATGCTGTAATGGATTTCCTAGGTCATCTTCACAGTTGAAATTCCCCTCATTAAATGGAATTTATCCCATTTCCTTTTATCATTTATTATTGAACTGTGTATGATGTGTCATAGATGACGGGCTTGTTCTTCACAATCACAGTGGTGAGGGTATTCAGGGTGGAGGTGATCCCTTTCCCTGAAACTAACGCTGTTTGGGAAATGGGAGACGCGAGCCAAGCAGCCTGTCCACTTAGTGCATACTTAAATGGCAGTAAACAAGATCAGTTTCATTATGTTTCAATAACTTAAGTAAATGCAGTAAAGACAACTTTTTCACAGAGCCAGCAGTTAATATCCTTTTGCTGCATCTGTTTTTTTATTTGCCCAAGTTTTGTTGCCTTTTATTGTGCTAAACACTGAATTCCAAGGTACATTTGGTAAATCTTTAACGTTGTCTCTAGCTTCCTGACAACGGTAAGATACGTTCGTCTGTAAGTTGGTGGCACTGTTCACAGAAAGATTTTGCTTTCTTGTCAATGTTGCTTGCTACATTTAGGATTGTTGGGATTCAAGAAAGAAATGGAGAAGCAAAGGTTTAATCCGTGTGAGCTACCCAACTAGCAATCCTAATGTGCAGTGCATTTTTCCAACTCTGCTATTTGTGCAAAACATCACCTCACTTCTGTGCGATGCTTGAGTCTAGTGCTGATGTTTATCTCTGCTTCTGGCTGTGCAGCCAGGAACTGTTTTATGCCTTGGGGACAATGCCTTTACGGATTCAGTCATGAATTGTCTTCCATGCTAGTATTTAGGATTATATTTTATGTATCATCATTTTGCAGTTGCTGTTGTATGTTGTTCCACCTGCCAAAAGATGTCTTTGTAAGGGAGGAAACTACTTTTTTTTTTGCATTTTTTTTCACACACTCTATAGCTAGGGAACCTTAAGGTAATTTCTGTGCCTCCTTTGTCATCCTAGTTAAGATCAGCTAACTCAGCACAAGAGAAGGTAGATTAGAGTTTGTAGATTCTTTTCTGGGAATGAAAAGCAGGGATGAAGCATAGTTCTACAATGGTATTGTGTTCTCAGCTCGAGCTACAGTAGAGAGTCGCTAAGTAGACAGCGCCTTGGGACGTCCTCACGACGTGGAAAGGCATGGTATAAATGCAAGTTGTTGTTATAACTGGAACTTTCTTGATGTGTATAAACAAATGCTGTTTGGCACATTTACTCGCTCAGCGATCAGAGACCTAATCTGAAATTGCAGAACCAAAGTGGAGGTGTTTGTCTGCTGAGCTCTGTGCAGTACTCGCAGCTTGCCAGAGGGTGGCAGGGGAGTTTTAAGAAAATAATGTAAGCCTCCAAACTGTGTACAGGCCTAAAAATTACTTCAACTGAGATACTATCTATAATAATAATAATAATAATAATCCTTGCATTTGATATAGCGCTTTTCACGTCGGGAGGACGTCCCAAAGCGCTTCACAGCACACACTGTAAAGTGAATTGACTGTATATTTGTGGGCGAACGCGGCAGCCAATTGCGCACAGCAATGTCCCACAAACAGTCTAGCGCCTGTGCTGATCCAGGCTCTGTCTCCAAAATGCACACAGCTCTGTGTAAGCAGAGTTTTGTTCTCTTGTCTGCTGGTTGGCTGGGGTTTGCATATTTTTTTCTAGGAATCAAGAGCAGGGATGAAGCACAGTTCTACAAAAGTATAGTGCGCTCAGCGCATGTTACAGTAGAGAGTGGCTAAGTAGAGGACCTAGCTTGGCTGCAGGGCAGCCCACCCAGCCTGGCTTTTCAGAGCTTACGTAGGGAGAGGCCTGGATCCAGGATGCCTGCCTACACTCACGGCTATAGTTGGTGCATCATAAGGAAAAGGGGATGAAATAGAAGAGCCTATTTGTTGTGCGGACAGTTTTATTGGTGCTCCGGTTTTGCAGTGGTGACCAGTAAGCAATGTGGTACTGTGGAAGACTTATCTGCTTACGTGGAGTCCTGTAGCTCAGTGGTTAGAGCACTCGCTTTGCAAGCGAGAGACCTGAGTTCAATTCCAGGCAGGGAGAAACCTTGGGCCAGTTTCCTTACTCCACATGCTTAATAATAATCCCTCTAAAACCAAAAACAATAATAAAATTGGTCATTTTCAATCTACGATTGTTTGTGGGACATTGCTGTGCGCAATTGGCTGCCGCGTTCGCCCACAAATATACAGTCAATTCACTTTACAGTGTGTTCTGTAAAGCACTTTGGGACGTCCTCCCGACGTGAAAAGCGCTATATCAAATGCAAGGATTATTATTATTATTATTACTGCTGACAGGTTGTTTGCAAAATTGCAATCGCTTCCTCCTGCCTGTCCCTGTCTGAAGAGAGACCCAGTCAGAAAGGAACCCTGACTACACATCCATCACTCACTCTACCTTTCAACCACAGCTGGGGGCATGGCCCAGAGCACGAGAGCCTAACAAACCCTCCCAAAGAAAAACAATTGGATTGTATCTTACTAGACTACTACACTTGTGTAATCAAATACATATATCAATGCAAGATTAGCTTTATCCTCAACAGGGAGGCTTTCTGTTAGTTATTGGGGTTTATGGGAAAGGTAAGTAACTGTGTGAAGCAGTTCGATAACCCATGATGAATCAAGTTGATGGTTTACTAATTTGGATGAGATTTTGTCGGGAATTGCAGCGTTATTAGGAGTATTGTCATGTGTAAACATGATGGCATTTTCATCTCCTCCACCTGGGGCTGTCATTATTTCATATCAATTCTTTGCAAAAGCAGCAGAAACACAAGCGCCCATTCCACTGGCTTACACTGATGTAATGTGCTGACAGTTGGAGCATATTGCACACTTGCTGAACAGCAAATAAGCTTGCAAGCATTGTCGTTGGGACTCTGGAGCACATAGTGACTGACGGCTTGGAGTCTCTGGAATCATTTGCATTACATTGGAGTTGTTTACATGCATAGGATATAACAGCCTCTCCTTACACCATAGGAAAATGCATGTAAGCCCTTCTCATTGATTTATTTCAGTAAGATCTAACTACTATCTGATATGGAGTGAACCATTTACAGTGATCTCTAGTTCAAGTAAGCCTTCTGCAGACAGCCACTATAATTTAGACTATTTACTGCAGCCTTACACCCCTGTAGTGGCGATTTTAGTTTTGGTAACAGAAATTTCACTTGGGCATTTTGGAGGTGGGTGGGTGAGTGGTCAAAGCAAATTGACACGACTCTGTCGGGCTGTCTCATCGCTTGTAGGAGACTGTCTTGCACCATATGCAAAATGAATCCTTTTGTAAATGTAAGGTACTATTTGGAGTATTTTAAGAAGCAAATATGGAAATATAACTTGCTGAGCATAAGAGCATGATGGTGAAGTGGGTTTGAACGTTGATGTTTTTCTGATGGGATCTGGATTTTCAACTCATAGGGTTAAAAAGCTCTTTTGTCTATTAGTTGTAAAGGAACTAGATGAACTGAGATCGAGCAGTCTTGACCCAGTTCATAGGAGCATGGGATCACCGTGCAAAACTGCCTCTATTTTGGCAATCTCACCCTGAAAAGCTAAGATGTCTGGTGGAGGAAAAAGAAATGTCACAGTGGCGCATTAGGGATTCTCCTTGAAGTTGCGGTTGAGTGCTCCGAGATGCTATTCTGCGTGAAAGACATCACGTAAGTGCAAATAGCTGTTGTGGTGAAGGAGTAGTAGGTACAGAAGTGAGAGAACTTTACAGTAGTTAACATGAACACACTCCCAGATTAGGTGAAGTACTGTTAGATTGAAATTTTGGTTTCTCAGCATTTCAAAGCACTAATAATCCTCACTTTGAGTAAAATAACACAACAAAAAAACAAGTTTAAGTGGATTGTGCGGCATGTTAGCAAGAGTGTTGACGTATGGAAGTGTGGTAATTTGTTATAGCTCCTTTCACGTCAGGAGGATGTGTCAAAGTGCTTAACTCAATATACTGTAAATGGTAGTGTATGTTTGTAGGCAAGTGGTACAATGGCATTTTCTTTTGGATCAGCTGGGTGTTTGATAAATGCTGAAACCCATCACCATGCTTAAGAGTATCCAAACCAAACAGAGTTCCATTCATCCCACCTATACAAGGAAATTGAATGTGTACTTTCTCCCTGAAGGAACACATTCTCCTTACCTAATTAGTACGGCAATAAGCCATGGTCACAATATGAGGTGGAGTTCGTAATTCATGCTGAGTAGAGGAATGGTAACCTGCTCATTAGGATCGGAATAGGCCTCATTAGGACAAAGCCACAGACATTGGCAACCAGTTTAAGACTGACATCCCTGAGGCCTAGGATCAGTTCCTCATCTATACTTCTGGTCTGGAATGATGCGTTGCCAGTAGAGATGCACGCAGAGGATAAAGACTTTGTAGAAAAATATATTGTAAAACGCAAAAATTGAACAAACCAGAACAAGAAGTGAACCATATTATTTTCTCACCTCGTATCCACTGTTATTGCTGAACCCTCCCTGTTTTTTGCCCCTTCCCCCTGTAATATTCGCTAACATTATTCAAGGTAACAGAACTGAAATGGATCTTGGTGAGCCAGGCAGTGTCTGTCGAAGCCTGTGTTGCTGAAGTGAAGTAGAAGCTTCAGAGCGTGCTGGCTTGAGAGACTTGTTAATTACACAGCTGCTGTTTGTGCTGCAGTGTCTGTGTAAAGGTTGTGTATGATAACCCACTGTGGACCTTCTTTCATTAGTAAAACAATCCCCGATGAGCTGTTTCTAAAAGCCAAGCAGGATGGATTTTCAGACAAGCAGATCGGGAATTGCATCGGCCTAAATGAGTTAGAAACCCGAGAGCTTCGAATGCAGAAGAATATTTTACCACAAGTTAAACAGGTAAGTCACTTGTAGGAACTATTGGTGTGTTTGTGTGCGTGCCTGTGTTTGTGCACGCACACGTGGTTAAGGGAAGCTTTTAAGAGGGAATTAGATAAGCATCTAAAAGGGTACAGGGCAGTGGTAGCCCAACCTTTATGGTTGGCCAACAAAATAAATGATCTTGGTTAAATATTTCTTGATTTTCTGGCATAAATCAAGAAATACTAATCAAGAAAAAAACTGTAAACACACTCCCAATCGAACACAGATTTACTTAGACTCATGCAAATGTTATATTTTTGGGTGGGTGGGTGTGCTTCCTGACAGGTTGGCCATTTGTATAGGGAAAAGGGCAAGAGAGTAGGACTGAATGGACAACTTTTTCATAGATCCAGCACAGACACAATTAGCTTTATATACGAGAGGGAGTACGTCAGGTATGCAATGCATTTGGCACCATCATTCACAAGGTGCTCCTTAGCCATGTTAACTGCTCTGAGGAAAACACAAATGCAGAGGAAAAGTATTCAATCCATTTGTTTCTCAATGACCTCGTTTTTTTTGTGAGTACAGCTCACCTGACACCCATCTTATTTTGATTGTTTAACAGATTGATACACTGGCTGCAGAGTATCCCGCTATAACCAATTACCTTTATTCTACATACCATGGACTGGTGAGTCTTTGCAATGGAAAACACTTGCTGTTTCCGCTGAACCTTTCCGAACCCAAAAAGCAAATAAATTCTCTTCCTTCTGTTCTAGGAGCATGACTTAAATTTCAATGACCATGGAGTGATGGTGCTTGGATGTGGACCATACCACATTGGTAAATTTACTATATATAAAAAATGTATAATGTTCGGTATATGATTCGTTTCAACTCCGTTACTTTCAGCAGTATTTGGAGTTTTTACCAGTGTGGTGCCTGTTAATCCTGCAAACCAAACTTCAGTGGTCTTAGCTGTACAAGCAGCAGGCAGCTTACCAGTGTAGCTAACGGTAGCCATACTCCATCATAAGTCACTACTTCTAGAAGATAGGGGGGGGAAAAACTATGGAATGAAACTCTCAATCCAATTGAATGAATAGGATCATGCAAGATTTGGATGAGTTAAGATATATTAATTACCATGTTCACATAGGCTTTTGGCACACAAGAGTGGAAAAGGTCAGTCCTTTCAGAATTCAGTGAGGATTTTACAACGAGGAGAGTTGGTTCAGTAACAGTTTTTTTTTAAAAAATGCAGTCAGATAGGGGCCTGCTGTTGAGAGGACCTGCTTTAAAATCACCTCAATCATGGCTACTAGTAGTGGCTTTGCACTTTGGCCACTGCAGCTTGCACTGCAAATGCATAGACAAACATCTGATAATAATAATCCTTGCATTTGATACAGTGCCTTATCACGTCTTTGAGATGTTTCAAAGCGCTTGACAGAATAGACTGTAAAGTGAATTGACTGCATATTTTGTGGGCGAAACGCGGCAGCCAATTAGGCACGGCAGTGTCCCACAAACAGTCGTGGATTGAAGTGACCGGCCAATTTTTTTTTGAAGAAATTATTACCCTCATGGTAGATGGGGCGGCAGGCACAAATACCTTCATTACTTGGTAGTGTAGTGGTCTGAGCTTTGGAAAAAGTGAGCATTTTGTGCTCATAAATTTTAGTAGATATCAGTGATGGAATAGAACAGTTTTGTTTTACTTCTGTACTGGCATCAAGCACTGTTAGATCAGACACAGATAAAGATTGCTTTCTACTCTCTCTCTCTTTCTCTTGCCCACCGTGACTTAGCCCAAGCCCTGAAGAGCATCTCTTACAGCACTCGTGTGTGAAGTTTTTTTTCTTTTGTGACACCCAATACCCTTTTGGCCTCTCTGAGTGAGATTGTCAGTTCCGACCAGTGGCCCGTGCTGTCCCTGACCCAGAATTGCTTGATGCTGACACTGGATGCCAAGAGTGAGAAAATATCCCATTATTCAACACTGACCTCGCTCACCTTCATGAGCACAGACGCTTTCCTTTTCTCATATGTTCAGTGCTGAACTGCACCCATTCACAGAGTGCTTTCATCTGAGTTGACATGAAAATATGAGAAGAGCAGATAATAATTAATTAAAAGCGTGCTGATCTATAAAGTGCAATGGTAAAAAGATTTGCACAAAAAAACCTGCACTGTGCTTTACTGGTTGGCAGCACTGTGCTATGGCTCTTTAACTAATGAAGAACTTGTACTGCAGTACTCTTCACAATACATTGCAACTAACAATTGTTTCTTGGAAGCCATTGCCCTCTAACTGAATTACCCAGCGGGCTTCCTTTAAGTCAGTGTTTACTGTTTTTGTGAGAAGTGCATCAGCTCAACAATGAGAATGTTACAATCTCATCAAATTTTTAATGAGGTTGAACAAGGAAACGCAAAACTTTACGATGCACCAAGACAGTATAACAAGAGGCCATAGGGTTAGAGTTGCAATGGGCAATTTCAGGACTGATACCAGGAAGTTTTTCTTTACCCAAAGGGTAATTAATGACTGGAATAGGTTGTTAGGAAGGATGGTTGAGGCCAGGACACTGAAAAACAGCCTGATGGGAGTACAGGAGGATAGATGTTCTGAAGAAATTAGATCAGATAGACTGAAAGGCCTTCTTCATCTGAAGCAATCTTATGATCTATGAGCAGAGAGTGGAAGAACTGGTCATCTTTTCCCTGAAATAGAGAAGCCTGGCACACTCTTGCCTCCTGAGTCAGAAGGTTTGGGTTCAAGCACCATGTCGGGACTTGGAATCACATAGTCTAAGCAGCCCTCCAATGCAGCACTGGGGATGTGTTGCATTGTCAGAGGTGCCGTGTTTCAGATTAGACGTTACACCAAGGTCCCGTCTGCCTGTTTAGGTGGATGTTAAAAATCCCATGGCATTATTCGAAAAGAGAAAGGTGTTTCTCCCGGTGTCTTGCCAACAAATCTCTCCCGAAAGAATTGGTCACTCACTCCAGAGGTTGTTCGTGGGAAATTTCTGTGCACAAATTAGCTACCGCTATCCCCCACAAAACACATAGTCAATTCACTTTACAGTATAATCCTGTGAAGCGTTTGAGACATCTCGACGATGTGATAAGGCAACGTAACATTGAAGAAAGGCCTGAGAGAGGTCCCTAAATTCGTGAGAGGTTTTGATAGTCAAAATTACCTTCACTGTTCAGCAACTAGAGGAAATTAATTTACGATAATTAGGAAGAGGGTGAGCTTAGGAGGAATTTTTTAATACAATATTTTCAAGATGTGGAATGTCCTGCTTTTAAGAGGGAACTAGATAAGATTTAGGAGTAATTTGCAGGGGTATGGGACAGATAAGTGGAACTGAATGGATTGATCTTTCAAAGAACCAGCACAGATAACCAGACACAATGGGCCAAATGTTCCTTCTTCTGTGGAGTAAATATTCCATGGTTTCACCACTATCTATTTTGAGGACGTGAGCTTGACATGAGAAGATCCAAGTTTCATTGGGCTCATGGAATGAATGGTCCAGCTTCCTTCAAAACTCAGAACACACCAAGCAACAGAAGTACTTGTCCCTGCAGCCCAATCCAACATATATTTGCATAGTACTGAAAGCTGCAGTATCCAGGGTGCACATGCACAATTGAGCCAATTTTAAAGCATACCCCCTCAGGAATGCAAGCTGACTTGTCAGCCCCAATTTGACTGAATTTTTAAAACAACTGCATTATTGAACCGCATCTGTTTGTTGTGCTTTTTATTCATAGAAATCCGTGCGGGGGTCAGCTTTTATTGATTGCACAAGCAAAGCAAATTGCAGTACAAACCTACATGTGAAGTAACAGCATCCTGGGGGTGTTCAGTTCAAAGCTTCCAATCGATTTGTGACACCAAAGGGAGTTGAATGTTTTTTTTTATTTTGCATTTTAATGTGGCCAGAAGAATTTACCAATTTCTTGAGCGGTAGCTTAAGCCCAACTTAATTTCCTCCATTTGTGTTAATCATATACTTGCTTGTACAAATACTTGCTTCTGCACAAACAATTTAGCTATTGAAATACATGGGGATCTTCAGGTAGGTGCCTAAGGTGGGGAAACTGGAACCGGATGAAATATGGACTTAATATTCCCCCTTCCCTAAGGTGCAGAAAGATTCTTCCCTTGTGCTCTTTTCTGGGCTGATTTGATGAATAAGAATCTAATGTCTGGAACAAGGAAAACCCATTCAGTCTAGATCATGCTTGCTCCTTGGTTCCCCCAGGCACCGTGTAGCACATAGTTTGAACTCTCTTAGGACTTTGCCTAAATTTGCTCTGTGAATGAAACCATAGCTAATATCTCCAGAGGCAGACACCTCTACTCTGTGTTGGTCACTGCATTAACTAACTTGAGTGCTTTTATTTGCAAATTCCATTGTCTGGCTGTTAATAGACAAAGTGAAGTAGAATTTAGTCCTGACAGGGAACTCTCAGTAATGGAGTTTATTGGGCATCTCAAATGCTTCATGAGTAGACCGGCACCATGTGCACAGAATGAAATTGAAAGAAAGGATCAGTCAGCAAATGCTAGATGAAGGAACAATTAAAATGAGGGCAGAGAGATGCCAAATGCATGCCCCAGAATAGCCATGTTTGTACAAATATCTATTTTTTTTACAGCTGACAGGGATGGTACCTGCTGCAAATTACTACTGTGTTTTTTTTAGAAACTATGCTATGTCTTTAAAATGGGATTTCCTAATACAGTGACAAGCTATTCCCCCTTGGTTACAAGCTATTCCCCCAGCGGTCTGAGATAGTACCGTAGATTGTGGAAGTAATATAAAGTGCTGTCTCTTCTTGTTTACGAACATCACCGTGGAGAAGATCTGGACAGGGATCCATATTGATGGTCGAGGGGCAAAGCCAGTGTCTACCAGCTAGAGAAAGGTTTGAAGTGTGAAGAAGGTTTACAGCCACCACTACGATTAATTAGAAGAGGAAACGAAAAGCAAAGAATTGGAATAATCACAATCATTTAAAAAGTAAAAATAATAATGAATAATAGCATGGAAGAGGAGTGATCCAATCTGAGTGTGCATTTTCTTTGGAATTCAGAATGGGCAGAATTTGGCAAATTGCAGAATTCAGCCTCAACTATGAAGCAGGTTTGTGGCAGTATTCAAAAAGAGTAACCATGGAGCGAAGTGGAATTTTTCTGTTGACAGTGGCTTGACCCCTTACAAAGATGAGACAGCGAACAACATACACCCCCCCACCCAGCCGAGCTTTGTTTCCTCCAGTGCCTTTCAGATCTGATCATAAAAAAGGAGGAGAGGTCCAACCTGGGTGCCCTTGATGTGGCTGCAATGCTCCCGGTGTAGTGTAAGGTTTGGGAATAGAATGTGACTTGACTACAAGGTAGTGTTCGAACCATGATGCAAATTAGTTGACTTTTTATAAGTAACTTTGGACAAGTCTATATCAATCACATGGCATTTTGCATTGTGTGATATGGGGGGGGTTGGGGAGAAATGGGGAATTTTTAAAGGGTGACCCTTTGGTGTGAGGGTGACCATTGCCACTGAAGTGTGATAGGTTCCCACTGCCTGTATTTTGAAAGGGATTGCTTGCTTTGCCATAAAGACTGGATTGTCTCTGCAGGAAGCAGTGTGGAGTTTGATTGGTGCGCCGTCTCCAGCATTCGAACCCTACGACATCTTCAAAAGAAGACAGTGGTCGTCAACCACAATCCAGAGACAGTAAGCACGGACTTTGATGAGTGCGACAGGCTTTACTTTGAGGAACTCTCGCTGGAAAGGATCCTGGACATTTACCAGCAGGAGGTGAGAAATTCCAGCTCTGAAGAAGAAATTGTTTCTTCTTTCAGACCCTTTCTCACATCACAGTTTTCGTTCCTTTGCTCTTCTCTGACAGCACCATAGCCCCATCTGAAACACAGGACTCCAACTACATTAATGGTATTTACCCTCTGGTAGCAGATTTCTGATTCTGCGTACACAACATGCTTTTCCCATATTCCAGGTTTATTCCCTAGTCAGGTTAGGTGAGAAGGTTAAGTCACTAAAGCAAACGGGAGATTTTTTGATGGAAAGATCAATCTAAATCATTTCAGTTGACTGGCTAGGTGACATTGGGCTCTAGGTTATTACTGATCTCTAAAAATAGGTTTTCCTTTAAAAAGACTTAGCTAAAACAACCACTGTTTTTACTGATCAGGCCTACAGCAGTGTTCCAGTGAAATATTTGTGAAATTAAGACCCATTGACAGAATTCCAGCTTCAATGGGCTTTGAGACTAGGTCTTGAGTTTGGACCTTGGAATAGGAAATCCTCATGTTCCAGCCTCAGTTTCTGGACTGACCACACTGTGGGAATTTCATGCAAAATCCATTGTTTGAAGATTTGAAGAGGATTGGCAGGAGGCATATTCTACTGTACTGTAGGTTTGTTTCTCTGAAGAACCTCTCAGTTGCAGAGCCTCAGCATCTGCAGAGATGTACGTCAATTGGATCCTTGTTCCGCATTGCTTACTTTTAGTTTTTTTTTAAGGAAACTTTCTTTGAAACTTTCAGCTTAATTCCCCACGTTCATTAATTATGTAGCTCCGTTTCCCAAAACTGGCAAACAAGCTAAGAAATTCAAGGACGGGGCTGTTGTTGGTTCAGCCTGAATGTTCACAAATTCACAACATAGCTGGACTTCCCATGAATTATTCAACCTGATTAATAATGTCTAACCCCATAAGGTTGGTAAACCATCTATTAAAGCCTTTTGCTAAATTCATCCAGTTCATTTTTTAAGTTTTTTTGGGTGGTGGGGGAGGATAAATATTTGAGTGACTGCTGAAGACTAAATGACTCATGAGGTTATGTCAACAACAACAACTTGTATTTACATAGCGCCCTCCATGCAGGATGGAGTCTCAGAGTGCTTTACAGTAACAGATCCCGGGACAGAGCCAGGGGGAGGGGGAGGAAGGTGACCAAATGCGCGATCGAAAAGAAAGGTCTACTCTGGGAGATTGGGCTGAACGTTTCAAGCCTAAATTAAACCACTTCTTTTTGGTCAGTTAGGTGTCGTGCAGAAATCAACGTGTTTAAGAGTATCCAAACCAGACTGAGAATTTCACATCAGAGTGGGCTTGTAGCTTTGCTTTTAGTGGGGTAGAACTTTAAAGGAAGGTTTTGGGGTAAAAGATCTTACAAAATTGCTTTGGACATTGAGAATGAAACCGTAACGCTTTGTTGTGAATTCACAAGATCACGAGAGAGGTTTGGATGAAAAAGGGCCTTTAAGCGAATTTGATCTCATCCTTCCAGAATATCCTCCCTACCGTCCTGCCATCACAGCATTAAATGAGTCCCAGCATCCTGGCCTCAACCACCCTTCCCTATTACAGTCACTAACTACTCTCTGGGTAAAGAAGTACTTGCTGATAGCTGTTGTGAAATTGCCCTTTGCAATTCTAAACCTATGTCCTCTTCTTTGATTGTCTCACAATCAAATCTGCATCAACGTTTTTAGTTAACGTGGTGTTAGTGGTGCACTTGCCTTGGAGTATGGCCGTAGAGGGCTGAGTAGTCCTGTATCCTGATGATTTTTACATTAAAGACAATCTGCAGGGCAACAACAGTCCAGCTGGCTGCTCGACTGCCTTTGGTCGGAAGGGCACATTTTCACTGCCTCTCAATTAGCTATTATCCAGATAATAATAATAATAATAATCCTTGCGTTTGATATGGCGCTTTTCATGTCTTCTAGACATCACAAAGTGCTTCACAGAATAGATTGTAAAGTGAATTGACTGTATATTAGTGTGGTTATCACAAATGTTAAAATACCGCTTAATGCTACGGGTGTACATTTCTATCGAGGTTTCAACTCACCCGGTTTGCCTTGTGCCATACATAAATGTGGGTATTAAACCTTCTCCATTCTCTTTAATACATGTGCACTTTAACATTCATTATTGGCTAACTCTGCACCACCTCGAGCCAATAATATATCTGTTGAAATCTACACTCATTCCTGGACAAACCTGCTCCTTGTCTTACTGTAAAGATCAACGTACTCCACTTTTAGTTATCTGTACATTTGAAGCACACAGAATCTTAGATTGAGGCAAATGTGAGGCCCTTCGCTTATGCACCTTGCCTGTATGTGCGGCAGAACTGAACATTTATTGATAGCTGCAATACACTACCCATTAGTTCTGTCCTTCTAGAATTGTACCATTAGTCTTAACCGTTGTCACCTCTAAGCAGACCCTGCTAGTTTGCATCAGTTAATTTGGGATGTTAATTTTTTTTCTCTTTCAGGGCTGCACTGGTTCCATTATCTCTGTGGGCGGACAGATTCCCAACAACCTGGCGGTTCCGTTGTCTAAATGTGGAGTGAATATTCTGGGCACAAATCCTATCCAGATTGACCGGGCGGAGGATCGTTCCGTCTTCTCGGCCGTTCTAGACGAACTGAATATTAACCAGGCACCGTGGACTGCAGTCAACACCTTGGTAAAACAAGCCACAACTTTTGGTAGTGTTTGAACGGGAAAATATGTTGCCCTACTAGGGCTGATTATATTGAAAAAAGGTTATATTAATACAGCCAACTCCCATCTAAATCAATACTTGTATTGATTTAGATCAAATCAAATTTAGATCAAACTTGGAGTCCTGTAGCTCAGTGGTTAGAGCACTCGCCTTGCAAGCGAGAGACCTGAGTTCAATTCCAGGCAGAGGGCGAAACCTTGGGCAAGTTTCCTTACTCCACACGCCTAATAATGATCCCTCCAAAAAAACAAAACAATAATAAATTGGTCATTTTCAATCCATAACCGTTTGTAGGACATTGCTATGCGCAATTGGCTGCCGCGTTCACCCACAAATATACAGTCTTTACTTTACACTTTACAGTGTGTTCTGTGAAGCGCTTTGGGACGTCCTCCTGACGTGAAAAGCGCTATATCAAATTCAAGGATTATTATTATTATTACCTGATCAATGAATATTGATCACCACTTGAATAAAAACGACAAAGGTCAAACCGATTTTCCACGTGGAGTCTGCTGCCAAATTGAGAAAGGTATTCTAATCCGGACCACAACATGGTATCCCTTTACTGTCTGTGTTGTTCTGCTTGCTTTTCAAACTTTTGGTTTGACTGTGCCAAAACTAAGAGACGGGGAATTCTTAGGTTGCTCTTGCTGCCTACAAGTGGAAATTACCTTGTGTCACGAATGGAATATGTACTCTTGCCCTGGAGAGAGACACCTTGCTTATCCAATTCCACAGGGTATTAAGCACAGAATGGCAAGAGCTAAGGCTTGGAGACTTCAGAGTGTGCGTTGTGGGTACTCCTGATATTTAACCAAATAAAACCACGTAGTTTGCCTTAAGAGCATTATTTGGCAAACTTTCCACTGCTTGTCCAGGTGGGCCATTAAGACTTTCAACAAGTACTAATGCACTGGTTGAAAATCCATTAGGACTTTGACTTGCAGGCTTAACAGGAGCTGAGTGGGAAGAATCCAGCTCCCAGTGACTGGTCTGTCCCTCCAAGTCCTGCCGTTGAGCCAGGCTGTTATTAGCAGTGCCCTTGATTTCTCTCTATTTAAACATAGTAATTTTCTGCTACAAATACTTACCTGTAAGGTTTACAGTATCATTCTGATTTAATACCAATAGACAACTTCTGGACAAGTGAGAGATTGAAAATCATTAAGATCTTACTTCTGGCACAACATTTTTAAGCAATTACACACTTATATTTAGAAAACTGATATTTCATGCCTGCTCTTAAACTAAAATCCACCACAGGTAATAGTTGCTGGTGACTTTTTTTTCTTCAATTTGACAATCTTTATCGAAAAACATCAACTTGGATCGCCGAATAGAAGTTGGTGTAGTAGTAATAACAAGAACCACATACAATTTAGTTTGAGTTGAAAATTGCACAATTTTTTATCACCAGCAAGTCATTTTCTCAGGCGTGTTCAATTTATTATTCAAGTAAGCTGTCTCAGAAGCAAGTTAAATTACTATTAATCAACAAAACCTGCCAGTTTGGGAGCATTTTTTAAATCTGTATTTAAAGAAATCTGTGATTGTGATTGAAGTTGCAAAACTGGCCAGGGCAAGAAAAAACACAGTCTTGTTTTACTCCAAACTTTACTAAATTGATTCCTCTTCCGTCATGTTACATTTAGACCAATGGGGTCCTTGTATCTACTGACTGTTTTCTTTTGCTAGGATGATGCCCTGTCGTTTGGAGAGACTGTGGGTTACCCCTGTTTACTGAGGCCTTCTTACGTCCTAAGGTAATGTTTGTGGGACACTGCTGTGCGCAATTAGCTGCTGCGTTTTGCCCACAAATATACAGTCAATTCACTTTACAGTATATTCTGTGAAGCACAATATCGAATGCAAGGATTATTATTATTACATAGTGGAGTAGTGTCTATAAATATAAGGAAACAAATGAGAATCAGAATGTAGCATCTGTATAAGTCGCATTTCATTTTTATCACAGTTTTCTAGTTGCTGAACAGTTTTTCTTCTCTCGCATTAATTGAGAGATTGGCGTCTGAATGCCCTTCTGAATCAGGTGTTACTGATGGAAGTGAGGGAGGGGGGGGGGGCGGGAAGCAGGGATGATCAATTCTGTGCAGAATGCAAGTTGCCGCTTAAGTAATGACTTGCTTGGACGAAACTTCAGGCCAAAGTACTCCATACATTGAAGCGCTGTAAAGTATAAGAAAGGATGGTTTATATTCAAGTAGGACAATCGACAAACGTGATCCCACTTGTACACTGGTGTGATATCTCAGTGTACTTGGTAACTCCTCCTCTGCCTCTAATGCTGGGAAGTAAATTTTATTTGAGCAGTCTCTATGTTGTTCGCTCTTCATTCCTTCTCTTGTGACTTCAATAGCGTCAGTAAGGTGTATGTATAAAGACCACACTCACTGACTGAACCCAGCGACAAGTTTTAGTTCCAGCAGGTGTTCAAAAGGTTGCTATTCATGATCTTTATTTTTTGCCCTCCCCTCCAGTGGTTCAGCCATGAACGTGGCACATGGAGAGGAGGAGATGAAGAGATTCTTGGCTGAGGCAGCCCGTGTTTCTCAGGTATCTTAACGCTTTACTCCATGTTGGTCTTGTGTTTTTGATATTGATTGTTCTTATCGCAATGCTGATCTCTGTAAAGCCATTTCTGCTGTTGTCAGCAGCCGGGAGTCGACTCTTCCTGCAGCTGCTCTATTGATTCTCTCTTCACCAGCAACAAATTGCAGGCTTGCTCTTGTCAGAAGTGCAATCTGAAGCACTTTTGAAATGTATTGGCTAATCATTTTCATCTGCACCTTTTAATACGCATCTTCCAGATTAAATAGTCTACTGCTTGCTTTAGTAAAGCTGTTTTGCTAACTAAAATTCTCTCTCTCTCTCTTACTTTCTTTCTCTTGTAATGCATTTGACAAAAGGAAGAAGCGAGAGGGTGAAAGGTTGAAATCAACCTTTTCCTTCAGACTTTAGGGACCCCATCTAAGATGTGTCCTGTGCAGCTTTTATTTGAGTAAATTCTTGGTTTTGTCAACGCAGTTAATGCAGTAGCTTGGCTAATGTCGACAAATGACCACTCCGCTAGTTGACCATTAATAGCTGGTGGGTTAAAGGCTGTTAGTTGTTACATTCTCAGCAATTAATTTTGCAGATGTGTAAAAGTAATGGCAGGACCTCTAATGATTTGCTTAAATACATGGTGGGTGTGTGGACCTTAAAAGCAGATAAATGTGTACCTGTGTTCCCAGGGAGGAGGGGATTGGGCCTGACTTTGGGACATTCTCCTGACATGAAAGGCACTATACAAAAGTAATTTGTTGCTTTGTTCTTGATTTCAACTCTTGCGGTTTAATAGCTGAATAACACTCACTATTTGTGGTTGCATATGAAGAATGTTCACTTGGATGAGGGATTGGAAGATGATTGATGCCCTTAGAACTGCACGCGATGACTTCAGGAGAGAGGAGGGGGGAGGAAATTGGAATGGTGGGAGGAATGCAATATGATGCTAGCAGTGTGATCGTACCAAGTGAAACTTCCCTAACAGTTAGTGCCAGAGAACAGGGACTAGCTTCACTATCTCTCAGTTCCAATCATAACTGCACTAAAGGAAAGTTCCTAAATTCAAAGCTGATCCAAATTAAGAGGGCATTAAGAATTATACAACATTACGTACAATCGTACCATGGTCATAAGGCTAAGACCATGAGAAATTTTTGGCCCCTGTTATCTGGGTGGGTGACGAATGAGAATAAATTCTTCAGCCCGTCTTGCTTGAAGGCTATTATGTCCAGGACACTGAAGTACATCTTCCAGCAGGTTACTCATTGCAGCCATGTTGTCTGCATTTCAGTGGCGCTGTGGAAAGGCCTGACGCATTGTCCAAACCTAGGACAACAGATGAGAAGTGGGGAAGGAGGAGGAAATGCAACAAAATAAAAATACCCAGAATGGCTTGTTATTCAACCTGCATGTTTGTTAGTGCTGTGCAGAAATGTGCTTATCTGCCCTTCTGATTCATACACATGTTCCTTTCCAGTTTTTTTAAAAAAAATCCAAGAAGAAGAATATGCCCAGAGTTCTCTGTCTGCCAATTGATTCATTGGTAGAGACACGCTTGTCTTGCCCTCCGAGAGCTCTAATTAAGTGCTAGTGTACATTTCACAAACTACTAGCCTTGAAAATGGAGTAAATTAGTCCCCTTGTCTGTATGACAAATTTGGTTTGCTTTATTGCTGTAATAAGGTGCCTCCTGGGCAAAATGATGTACCCATGGAAACGAGTCACCTTGAATTGAGAATGCACCACAACAGGAATTGATCTACAGTCACACACAGCGGGATGGATGCTTTTTGAAGTGCCATCAGCCACGTATGGTTTTAGGAGACGAATGATTGTTTTGTCGTATCGCGAGGAAAGGGGATTTCAATTGGGCCCACACGCACATACAGACAGGACTTCCCATTTGCTATGCTTTCTCTAAGGTCCACCTTTTAAAAATAATGAGTGCTGAACACATAAAGTAAGGCTTCAGACCACAACCAGTTTTAGATTATGTTGATAATAATGCTTTTTATCACCCGATCTTGCTTTGTGCAAAGATTGATTGTACCATCTTGTCCCTAAAGGCTAAAAATGGAAATTTGCTACTTTTCTTTTCTGGGCTTGCCCTTGCAATGCTATTTGGTTCTTTCTTGCAAATTTTCCTCTCTCCTGCCCAGTTTTTCCTTCTCCTTTGCTTCTGGTGTGAGGGATACAGTTTGACAGGCCTTAAACACTCTTCAGCATCTTCCCCGAGTGGCCACTATTTATATATTAGCCTTAACAATGAGTGTCGGCTAGATATTTGATAATTGGGGATATCACTAGCAAGTCAGGTTCCATTTGTTGGCTCTTTTCAGTACTGGTTTCTAACTCTTGCCTCTGACATTGAGCTCAGAGTCTAGGCTGAGGTGAGCAATGAAATGCTTTCCTTCAGATGAAACAAAAAAAACTGATGTCCCATCTTCCAGTTCAGGTGATGTTAAAGATCCCTTTTGAAAAAGAGAAGTGGGTTTCCCCCAGTGTCTACAAATACACAGTCACGACGCTTCACGGAACATTGAGAAGTGCTTTGAGATGTTCTCGGCATAAAAGGCACAATATCAAATACAAGGATTATTATTTTTATTATTAGTTAGCATCAGAAATGGGAACTGTGGCTAGTTTGTCGCTCCCCAACTCGGAGCCACTGAGATTAATTGCAGCAAGTGTCACCACGGTTGAGATTAGTTAAGCAGCAACAACAACAAATTACATTTATATAGCACCTTTCACGTCAGGAGGACGTCCCAAGGCATTGGACACAGAGCAGTCATCAAATCTGGGACTCTGCCAGTCTGTTACAGCTTATTCACTTCCTGGATAAACTTACTGAACTGTCAGAGCTTTTGCCTTTACAATCTTTAAAGCAATAAAGATTTATTTATTTCTCACTGAGAAATGATTTGTCACTTGTGGGGTTTCTGATTCCTCTCTGAGAATTGCTATTGGTGTGAAATATCAGAGAAATTAACTTGCCTTAGACTAACTTGTTTTCTCTTTCATGCAGGAATATCCAGTTGTTATCACCAAATTCATCGAAGGAGCCAGAGAAGTAGAAGTGGATGCAGTGTCGAAGGATGGGAGGGTAGGTGTAATCTTTGATTCAGTAATGTTCTATTTTTGAACACAACCACAGGACAACTGGTTTGGGTGGAATCAAGCAGTGCAACCTCATAACCATATAAATGTGTCCCATCTAGTTTTGAATCTTAGGTTGTTTCATTTACTTTCCTGGGAACTTGAATTGTGTCTTGCATCTTCATGGAGTTACATAAACACAGAAGGAGGCCATTCAGCCCATTGTGTCCATGCTAGCTCTTTGAAAGAGCTATCCAAATCAATCCCACTCCTCTGCTCTCTCCCCATAGCCATGCAAATTTACCCTCCCCAAATATTTATCTACTTCTCTTGAGTTGTTAGCAAATCAGCTTCCACTACCCTTTTAGGCAATGCATTCCAGATCCGAATAACTCGCTGTGTTTTAAAAACAATTATTCTCGCCTCCCCTCTGGTTCTTTTGCCAACTATTTTAAATCTGTGTTCTCTAGTTACCGACCCACCTGCCAGTGGAAACAGTTTCTCTCTGTTTATCCTTTCAAATCCCCTCATAATTTTGAACATCTCTATTAAATTGGCTCCTTAAACTTCTCTGCTCCAAGGAGAATAATTCTAGCTTCTCGAGCCTCTCATAACTGAAGTCCCTCATTCCTGGTACCATCCTGGTAAATCTCCTTTGCACCCTCTCCAAAATTGTGGTGCCCAGAAGTGTGGTCTTCATTCTACTTCAGGTTTTGGGCAACTGTGCTACAAAAATGTTTGAATGACACAATACAGTCCATTTCAGTGGATGATGATGATTCAGTGGAACTGATCACAATTGAAATGCTGTAAGGAGAGGTTTGAGGGATTTGGTGAGATGTTGTTGCCCTGGCTGAGCTGTAGTACACTGACCTCTGAGTCAGTAGTTTGTGGTTCAAGTCCCGTGTTCGGACTTTGAGTTTATAGTCTAGCTTGACATTCCAGCTAAGGGGTGTTGCATTTCACATCAGGAGGCATCTGAAAGCGATTCTCAGAATATACTGTAAAGTGTAGTGGCTGTATATTTTGTAGGTAAATACAGCAGCCAAACCTGCATATGACAATGTCCCCTAAACATTCATGAATTGAATGACCAATTTTATTTGGGGGATTATTGGCCAGGACACCAGGAGACAGTCTCTTTTCAAATAGTAACAGACAGGAACTCGGTTTAAAGTCTCATCTGAAGGACAGTAGTTCTGGCAATGCAGCGCTCCTCCAACACTGTATTGGAGTGTTACCTTATGCTAAACCAAGTGCCCTAGGACATGACCCTGCGTGAGGGGCGCTATATAAATGCATGTTGTTGTTGAGTTGAAACTTCCGATGTGGGGTTTGAATTCACAACCTTCTCACTCGGGGACGAGAGCGATAGTATCTGAGCCAAGCAGACACCCAAACCCACTAGTAATAGCTGTCTGAGATGGGTTGATGCTGAGGCCACTTCTGTAAATTGTAATTGTGAAGCTGTGTCTGCTGATTGTGGGATGGAGGGAAAGGCAGAAAATAAAAGACTGAAAGCTTTATCTCATTGACCAACTAAGTTTCCATGGAAACCATAGGTAATTTAGATAGGACAAAGCAATTTCATTACAAAGCTGGGAAATCTGTCCACAATCAAATGACACAATGAAGGAGCTCAAAAAATCAATTAGTGTTTAGCAAGGCACAAAAGAACAGCTTACATAAGAGACTGAGAGTCCTGCTGTGCAGCAATCTGTGAGAAGCATTTCACTTTTCGTAATGTAAAATCCATATTGTGATCTTTTGTGCAGATTTGTATTTGTTGGTAACTTGGACTTTTTGTTTCCGCATATGCCAGGTTGTGGCTCATGCTATCACAGAACATGTGGAAGATGCTGGTGTTCATTCTGGAGATGCGACACTGATCCTCCCGGCACAGACCATTAGCCAAGGAGCAATAGAGAAGGTCAGGAAACCCATCTCCTTTATTCATCTTTAGGTCATTATTTGGACAGTGTTTTCATGCTAAGGCGATCAGGATTATTTTTGCACAACCCCATCCATATATATATTATTATATATTATTTATATTATGTAATATATATGTGTATATATATTTAAGTGCTCTGGGACTCTAACCTGTGTGAGGAGCGCTATATAAATGCATGTTGTTAAATATTATATTTAAATATTTTAATATATATAAAACAAACACACGCACATAATGACAGCTTGTGGAACTGCTATGCATATTTTGTTGCACTTGAATTGCATTTAAACATTGTACAAGCTTCCAGTTGTCATCTGCAGTTTGTTCCCCTCAGCGATCTGATACTCCTGTTATACTACAGCCGATTTGGTCTGTCAAGACTATTTCATCATTCTCTCGCACATGGTGTACATTTTAATCCCAGTTTCCAACACTTTTTGCAAACATTCCACTCGAATCTGCACCTATCGGAGGCAGTGAATTCTACATTCTCGCAAGCCTTCCCGATTTCATTCATGACAGTCTCAGTTGTACTGTAAAGTTTGTATCCCCTACCTTCGGATCCCACACTGGAGTGAAGGGTCATTTCCTGATCTAACTTGTCAATTCTTATCATTTTTTTCTAAAAATGCCTCAGCCACATTGCTCCTTAACCTCCTCAGCTCTAGGGAATATAATCCATAACCAAGTTATGGCGTAAAGTTGCAAATGTACGCAGTCAACATAACTGGGTTCTGTGGCACATGGTCATCAAGAAGTGGCCTTGTACCTGCACAATAACTGGTGTATGAGATAACCTTGTATCTTTGTAAATGGTATTTTGCTCCATTAACCAATAATAGCCTAACAAATCCTCCAAATTATTTAATCGCCCATTGTTTCAGCAGGTTCTGTTTCAGTAGCTCACAATAAGTTTCCTGGTTTCTGTTGGAAGAAAGTACTGTTCTGCTTTGCTGGTTGGTTACTCTACTTAAGAGCAAGTAGTTTAACAGCAGTTTACTGTAGTACACTCTCCAGTGTTTGGATCAGATCCATCAGCAGCACCGGGAGAGGCAGATTCAGTTAAGAACAGTTTTAGGAGCAACGAACTAGAAATATGTTTGATGCCTGTGTTTTGCATGTGATATGAGTATGTAAACAAATCAAGCCTTATTGAGGGTTGCAGTGGTATTTAACTTTGTACGATATCATAGGTAACGAGAGGAAATCTTTGGAGGTTCATGACAGGACTTTGACTGGTGCAGGCTCCAAAAACAACCTTGATCACCTACAAAATACAACTTATTGGAGGGGGAGGGTGTAGGAGGAAGCATTCCCATTCACTCTGAGCACGGTAGAGCATGTCTGGCATTGGTGAGATCATATCATCTCATCATTACAAACTTCAACCCGCACAGTAAAACAATCTTAAAAACCCAATGATTACAGTGTCACCTTCTCACGCTGCAGTATATTTCAATACAGGTTAGAATTCTGTAGATGAAAATTGGACGTTTATTTAAACGCTCTTCTTGTTCAGGTGAAAATAGCTACGAAGAAAATATCCAAAGCGTTTGAGATTTCTGGCCCATTTAACGTCCAGTTTCTTGTCAAAGGAAACGATGTAATGGTAAGCAACTTTGTGTTGATTATTTATTTGAAAACTCGTAATGTGTCTTATTTTAGTTTGATGTTTAAAAGGATCCAATAACCCAGTTGGTGATCATTCCCTTTGCTTGTGTTACTGGTTTCTGTGTTTTTAGTTATTGTTCAGCTATTCCTACCTCTGATCATAGCATCTTTACTTATTAGTCCATTTGTATTGAATTGTAAAGCTCCCTCTTTACCTTATTTTAAGTCTTAAGTCATGGTGGTCCAACCTTTTGGCTGCTGGGGCCATTTGGCCCATTGTGCCGACTCTTTGAAAGAGCTATCCAATTAGTCCCACTTCCCTGCTCTTTCCCCACAGTCTTGCAATTTTTTCCTTTTCAAGTATATATCCAATTCTCTTTTGAAAGTCATTATTAAAACAATATGACAGGAAAGAAAATTGAACATGATATTTTAAAAAAAACTGATGTTCCATTGAAGCGCATTACACAAGATTACAAATTTCTCTGTTGCATCTTTTCCCTCACAATTCACAATAAATGAAATACCTCGACAACCCAGGTGTTTGGAAGAAAGTGAGCACTGTGAGCTCCTATCAGGTGACTATGAAAGAAGAGAGAAACATTCACAGCAATTAAAACGAGCGGTGAAAGAGTAATGCAGTGAAAGAAATAATATGACTATTTGGGATCAGCTTTTTTATTTTCAGTACTGATGTTCCTGTGATAGTTGCAATTTACTGCCTTTTTGTACCTACTTTTTCTAGCCTGATCAAGGCTTGGATCTAGCTCACAGGTCATCAACAGCACACAATAACCAATTTTCCCGTCAGTCGCGTTTTTTTAAAATCTGAAACGCTGAGATTAAATATTCCATCTGCACTTCATGTTGCAGACTGGTGAGAGGCTGTGTTTCTATATCTGGCTTCTAATGTTTCTGTCTGATCTTCAGTTTTCATGTTTGGTGACTTTACACAACCCGATAAAGCGGTGGTTTGATGCAAAGGCTGCAATAAATCATTCTTGTCAGGCCTTGAAACGCTTCAGGCAGTTTTAACTGAAGCTCTGTTGCTCAGTATGAAATGTGTAAGTGACATTTCATGAGTGACTGTGCAGTGATCGAATAGCTGGGAGAATGGCCGCTTCCACTAGCTCACACGCACAATGCTCAGAGATGAAATGCTAATTTGGTTTAACAAAGTGACATCAGTTTACACACAGAATAACTGGTGGTGGGGGGGGGAGTGGGTTGGGGGAGGAGATCAATTTGTACCATTCGGTAAAGTTACTGACCTTCCCAGTGTGGCTTTATAATGGGGGAAATCGCTCTCGGCACACCGCTGAGATCAATGATTGTACCAACTAGACGAAATGTGCACTTTCGATCCCTATAACATGGTTTTACTGACTGCGGAGTATGGAATTCAAATCGACAATGTTTGAATACAAATTATATATAAATAAAATCCCTGACTGGCAATACAGTGTTTCTGTTGCCAGCTTGATTCTCACACATGGTTTCCTGGCTGAGAGGCAGTCAAGCAAACCCAGAGCCCTGCCTGCCCTGCTCTCTCTCTGTGTGTCTCTCTCGCTTGCTCTACAACCACTGAGTGTAGAGGAGCAGTGCTGGGTTGTTCATCCTCCGATCTTCCTCTCCTTCCTTTCCCAGAGGAGACTGCCTCGCCTCTGCTCATTCTGGAAAGGATGGCCGAGACTGAGAACATCCTATCTGGGGAAATCACCAGTGCAAATGCACATCCTGCTACACCACGCTACTATGATCTAATAATAGTTAATATTTAATGGCAAACATACAGACTTTATACAGGGCTCAAAACATTGGATCTCTGAACCCTTAAATTAAAATTCAGTGAAAACTCAACGGTGGTGCGCTTTTGACGTACTTGACTGTTACTAATACAAATCACCTGTTTGATATATTCATGGGATCTGTGATCATATAGCTATTAAATAACCTCTTTCAAGGTAAATGGCTGAACACATACTTGTAACTGAAAAATATGATCAGTGGAGCAACACTGTATAACTAGGTATTTACAGGCACCCATCAGTCTTTCTGAAACCAGCATTATTAGCAATTTATTAGCAAACACAGGCCTGCTTCATGTCCCCCTGCCTTTTGCGCCCCTTCCCAGTTCTGTGGAACTCGATTCCAGAGTGCCTCCATCACACTTCCTCCCCTCTTTCAAGTCGCATGTCTTTGACAGCTAATTCTGTCATCTTTCTCCCCCCACCCCCTTAGCTTTCATTTCCAGCTTGATTACCCGTCCTTCACTGTGAGGCTCTTTGAGAAGTCCTCCCGACACCCACACACACACACTGGAAGTGAAGATCTCTGTTTGCTGCAAAAATTCAAAAGGCAATGAGTCTGGATAATTGGATACTCGGTGACATTACATTGTCAGTTTTAATCAGCGAGTTTTCAAAAATGAGTAATTTGGGAAGTTAATGTCAGAATCATCAGGAGGCAGTAAACCTCTTCTGTATTTGGGGTTAATGTATTGTTGTAGTAGATTAGTAGAATCTAATCCATGCTATATTGACTATGAAACATAAGCACTCGATTACATATAAAAAGTGCTCTAGTCACCCAGAACTGACAATCCTCAACTTGATGAACACAAAAAAATAATGGTTATAACTTTTGGGCTTCTTGTGAGGTTCAGATTGAATTGCTTGTTCAGATGTGACAGTTCTTCTGACTAGCATTTAAATCATTAAGTATACACATCAATCCCAAATACATCCAGAGCAGTGCACAGTGAAGCCCAAATAATTGAAACTTTCTTTGACTAAATAGTGAAATCAGTGTTTTGAGTGTGACTGCAATTCAGAATTAGTTTTTTTTTGGAACTGTAAAAGTTTTGCATAGAATTGACCGAATTGCACAGCTGCTTTGTAGAATGTGATCTGTGTTCCATCGGGAAGTACATCTCCCATCATCCTAACTTAATAAATCTGGGACAGATTTCTCCCTAGCCCCTCCCCTTTTGATATAATTGGGAGAATCTGACTCATAGAATCCCGGTGATTGCACATCTCTCATCGTTCTGCACTTGTTAGTCAGGCTAAAAGACTGTACAGTGTATCCATCCAGTGAGGTTCAACATCCAAGGGGTCACTTGTGTGTCTAGCCTTTGAAAACATGAAATCATGCTGAGTTAAGTCTAGTTACTACTAATTTGTTACTAACTTCTGCATGTGTTGTGGTTGTCAGGTGATCGAGTGTAACCTCAGGGCATCCAGGTCCTGTCCCTTCGTCTCAAAGACTATTGGTGTCGATCTCATCAACGTGGCCACAAGAGTGATGGTCGGAGAAAGCCTGGATGAGTCCTGCCTGCCATCACTGGAGAACCCTTTTATTCCTACAGACTACGTGGGCATCAAGGTATCCTGAATTGTTGATCATGTTAATGTAACAGAGAATTAACCATTAATATACAATAAAAAAGGTTCAAATGGCAAGTCCATCACCAACCTCTAATCTATCACTAACCTCTTAAAAAAATATCTTTGCATTTGGTATAGCACTTTTCATGTCAGGAGGATGTCTCAAAGTGTTTCAGAGGATTTACTGTGAAGTGGACTGTATTTGTAGGTAGCTCATTTGTGCATAGCAATATCCCACAAATAGTCATGAAACAAATTATCTTTTTTTTACGTGGGAGCATTGTTGGCCAGGACACCCTTTTCAAGTGTTGTGTGTGTATATATATATATAAAAAAAAGTCTTTAAGAAAACAAACCAAGTTTAAGAAATTTCCACAATTCTGCACAATTTTGCATTTTAAAGCAAAACAGACTTGCCGGCTAGTGGAATCTCGGAATTTCTCAGGGCCGGTTTATAATATGCCCTGGTCTGTCCATTTAAAAATACAGCAGCCGTTAATGATAGCTGTGTTTTTTTTTTAAGCGATATTTGGACTTCAGGAGGCTTGTGTTGGATGGAGGTTATGTAACTAGCAGTGTGATGAAGCCAGTGGTGCTTTATCACTTGGTATGACATTTGATATGACAAGTCAGTAAAGCTGATGAGAATGCTGTGTTGAATCATGATAAAGAAATGCAAAAATATCTCATCGTGACCAGCTTCACGGACTGCTCAATTGACCTTGACTATGACAGAAACATTGTCATGTGTCTGACAAATATGCATCCATACTACAATCCCATTTACTTTCTCAGGATAGGTCTCTCGGTGATTGAGACTGATGAGTTATTAATGCAACTTCATTATGACTCTGTTTGCACTATATAAACGTAGATTGAATAGAGTCGATCTCCTTTTTATTGAGTGCATCTCCACCTTCTGTAAGATTTGGCCTCAGGCCAGCATTGCAAAGCAGGAAGTTAAAGCATCTGCCTTGTTCAGATTTTGTGTTGAGGTGTCCAGGTTATTTTCATGGTATTGCATGTTACTTTTGTCTTCAATATATATTATATATATTATAGTATATTACATATATTATTGTGTGTATATATATTACATAGTATATGTAGTATGTGTGTGTGTGTATATATATATATGCCATTTGGATTTGCAAACTGCTGAATTCACCTTTGTGTGAGCAGGTTATGGGAGCTAAAAAAAATTATTCTTGCGTTTGATATAGTGACTTTCATATTGGGAGGATGATTCAAAGCTCTTCATGGAATTTAATGCAATGTGTAGTGAGTGTATTTTGATGGGTGGCACATCAGCCAATTTGTGCACAGCAATGTTCCTCAACCAGCCTTGAAGTGAATGACTAATTTTAACTGGGAGCTTGTTGAACAGGACACCAGGGGAAACTCCTTAAGCTTTTGAAATGTTATGGGATCTTTAACACCATCTGAATAGGCGATAAAACAGCAACTTTTAAGGTGTTCAAGCTGCTCAAGAGCGATAAGATTGGTTCTTCACTTCATGGCTGATGTTGGGACATTCCTGTGTACAAATTGTCTGCTGTTTTTGCCTACAAATGCACAGAAACCATACATTACAGTAAATCCTGTGAAGTGCTTGGAGATGTCTTCCTGATGTGCTAAATCAAATACAAGGATTATTATTTGCTTTTAAGTCCAGAGTAACAATTGATTTCAACTGAAATAAAATGTAATTTAGATTTACTCTTATTTTCTTACAATTTTAGAGCATGCGGATTGGCAAGTTGTTGAATTCAGTCTTATTTTTGAAGTCAGTAGTTCTTGAAAGAAGTTTTAAAAAAAACAACTTTAAGATATCAGATTGCATTTAAGGATTTGCTAAATCCTGGACACTCTGAAATGCTAAGAAAATACAGTAAATCTAGATCCAGGTAAAATATCTACCCCATGGAAAGCTAAACTAAGTTAAGTGACATCAGAAAGCAATGCTTTTTTGAGTTGGTTTGATTTTCCAGATTTCCTTTCATAGATGGTATCATGACAGTATGGGCTTCCCCCACTGATTAGTGAGATACCATGTTGATGTTGTATGTACTGTAACTAAATTGCGATGGAATCCCTGTCCCCATAACCTTGATGCCAGAGGGCAGTTTCTTCCACTTACTGTGTCAAAGGTTTTCTTGGGATCAAGAGGATCTCAGTTGCTGCATTAATGACCAAGTCATTAACGTGTGATTAGGCAGGTGTGAGTTACAGACTGCTTCCGACTGAGCAAGAAAGACCTTGCTATGAGAAGGATAAATTGTTTCTGAACTTTTGAGTTCAAGTATCGGCCAAGAATAGAGCCTGACCTCAGTACTGATGCTTGTCTCAGCTGCATTCACTTCTTGTCCATCCCCAGAGTAATATTGTTTTGGAGTTTGTGTTTCAAGTGAGATTTTGCATTTTGCTTTTATATTTATTTATGAAGGGCATTTCTCATGGTGTCCTGGCCAACAAACGATCCCCCAAATAAAATTAGTCACTCACTCCATGGCTGTTTGTGGGACATTACTGCACACAAATTGGCTGCCGAGTTTGCCCACATAATAAACCGAGTCACACCACTTTACGGAATATGCTGTGAAGCGCTTTGAGACATCTCAATGACGTAATAAGGTGCTATATCAAATGGAAGGATTGTTATTCACTATAAAGCACGCTTGATTTCAGAAGGATTTGAGCTCTTAGGAAGAACACCTATTGAGATGGGAGGGCCAACACCAGAATGAATTCAGTGAATGCAATATTGCATCCTTGTTCCCATCGACTATCATCTTAATTATCAAGCTGAATCGCGGGTCGAACGCAATTAACATTATTGTCAAGTAGCAGATGGGCTAGTGACCGTAAAATTGCCCAAGCAGTGGGGAATTCTACAGGGACAAATGGTCAAGTGGAACCTACAGATTTCACTGTGAGTCATTCGTCTTTGTTGATGTACTTGGAAGGATGGAACGAACAATCCTTTGCACGTCTGCTCTTCCTTTCTGTCGGAACCTATTGATTAAAGGCCGACAGCGATTCTTAAGTTACACCTTCTGTTGAGGACATGGGGTTCATTTTCCCATTTAATACATGTCACTGACTTCCAAAGGTTAACTAGTTTTTAATCGTAAGCCAGTTGATGGTCTCCAGCAGATCTTCATTTGTATACAAATAGTGAGGGTGTACACAAGAGCCAGTGTCCTCCTTGCTCTTTTGAGACATTTAGTCAGTATAGGTTCAGGAAGGTGTTAACAGCATTGCCGCATACACTGTCTATTGTCTGGAATCAGGGTGTCAGCCTGGCTCAGTCAATTGCATTCTCATCTCATTTAAAACATTGTTATTAAGCCCTATGTTGGAACTTTAAACTCAGTCTATGCTAACACTCCAGTGTAGTGCTGCGTTATTAACAGTGTTGTCCTTTGGATGAGACAATAAACTGAGATCCTGTCTACCTATTCAGGTGGAAGTTAACAATCCCATGGTGCTATTTGAAAAGAGAAGGGAGTTTCTCCTGTTGTACTGGCCAACAATCCCCCCCCCCCAAATAAAATTCACTTTACAGTTACCTACAAAATACACAGTAAATCCTCTGAAATGCTTCAAGTCATCGTCCTGATGTTAAAGGCTGTATTTCAAATGCAAGGATTATCGTTAATATTGTAATTTCTGGAAAAAAATCTCCCCCTGCCTCCCTCTCCACTGCCTTGGAGTCAACTCCCCCCACAATGACCAATCCTCCTCGGTCACTCTCCTCCACACTCCCTCTCCATCACTCTCAATTCCCTTGCTCCCCTCACTTCCTGAACTGTCTCCTACTTGTGAAAGGCACCTCCTCTCCCTTAAAGCACAGGTCCGTGCTGCTGAATGCACCTGGCTTAAATCAAGCTTAACGGTCCATCGGCAGTTCTGGCTGGACCTTATCAAATCTTACCACTCCGCCCTCGCCTCTGCTAAATCATCGTTCTAGTCCAAGACAATCTTGGAGGCCAAGGACAACCCCAGGCTCCTCTTCTCCATCACCAACCGGCTCCTCCGGCCACCCTCTCACACCTCGCTAGTCCTCACCTCCAATGCCAACTGTGAGGCGATGCTGACCTTCCTTGAATCCAAAGTCAAGGGGATCTACTCAGCTGCCTCTGCCCTTCCATCTACTACCCCTCCACATCTCCCCCTCACACCCTGGCCCCTATCCATCCCTCCCTCCACATCTTCGAACCTGTCTCCAACTCCTCTCTCACCACCACTATAACCCGCATGAAACTGACCAACTGCTCCCTTGACCCCTCCCTACCCCTCTCCTTACCTCTCAGCTATACCTCCTTGCCCCTCTACTCACAGACATCATAAATCTCTCTCTGTCCACTGGTACCATTCCCACCCCTTTTAAAAATGTCCGTCATCACTCCTATCCTCAAAAAAAAAACCCTCCCTGGACCTATTCCTGCCCTCAAACTACTGCCCCATCTCCAACCTCCCTTTCCTCTCCAAGGTCCTGGAATGAGTCGTTGCTTTCCAGTTTCGCTCCTTCCTCTCCCACCTCTCCCTTCACGAACCCCTCCAATCAGGTTTCCGTGCCCCCCACAGCACAGAAACAGCCCTGGTCTAAGTGACAAATGACATTCTGTCCATCTGCGACCAGGGCTCCCTCTGTCTCCTTGTACTCCTTGCCTTGACAGGCTCCGTGACAGTATCACCCCCATCCTCACCCAACTCTACTGGCTATCACACAGAAGATACAGTTCAAGATCCTGGTCCTCATCTTCAAAACCCTCTGTGGCCTCGCTCCCCCCTACCTCTGCAAACTCCTAACCCCCTACCATCCTGCCCGCTCCCTCCGCTCAGCGGGCTCCGGCCTGCTTCACATTCTCCTCTTCACCCACCCCAACATTGGTGGATGGACGCTCTGTCACTCCATCCCGCAATCTCTCAGCTTTGCCTCCTCCCTTACCTCCTTCATGACCCATCTCAAGACCCTCCTCTTCGATCGTGTTTTTGATCACCTTCTGCTGCTAGTTTAATCTGTCACTTTTCTCAACTAAAGTTTCAATCTAAAACTATATCCAGCTCCTGTTTGTTCCTGGTAGACTATGTAGGGGACTGCTGCATCGATGAGTGTATACATTATCTATTCTTTGTGATGGACGTATAAATGTATAGGGTGTAATTGTCAGCAAACAAACTAATAATGGAAAAGAAAACTAATCACAAGACAAGAAAAAGCAAAGGAAATTATCTGCCCTTAAATTAGATCTAGGGGGGAATTTCTCTTCCGCGCTGTAATTCAATGTTTTCCTTTTTACCAGTAAGTTTTACTGAAGAGTTGGTAGCTTTGTTGATTTGCTTTTATTACAGCATAATCGAACAAGGGGAAAAAAATTGCATAGTGCAGTAGTGAACGCAAACTAAATTAAAGAACGGACTTAGCAAACCATTGATTGAAATGGCTGTTTAGCAAAGAGTATAATAACAAAGATTCTAACAGTGGAAAATAATCAATCCTCTAACACTTGAAGCCACAGCATAAATCATAAATTCAGGTTATAAAAGTGCAAAGTATTTTTCCATTTTTCATGCTCTGTATAGTGATGTTATCATGAGCGCTTTACGCTGCAGTGAAGCAAATGTAATAGCGAGGCCAGAAAGGATTTGCTGCTGAAGTGACTAGGACTGTCAGCCTGTAGCACTTTGCCTGTGATTGAGACTGATAACACCTGCAGTGTCTGATCTACACAGATGAATCTGGTGAAGTGTTCGATTGGGGGGGATGACAAAAATTCAAGGAGTCTCGACCGTAATGAATCAAAATGATTAATGGCAAAACAATTTTTAAAAGTTTCAGTATTCGATGCAGAAAGTGGAGGTGATAAGAAAACTGAATTGCTGTCACCTGACTGACTAACATTTATAGTTAGAATAGTGTTTCATTCAGTTGGGTTTGGGGTGAGTCAACTTGCATGTGCGTGGAATAGTGTCCTACTGCAACTTTAGTGCTTTCACTATGTTTGAGGCCTTTGCAGTCATTTTTAAATATAATTTATATTTAGGGAGCACTCCATTTTAAATCATCTTGTAAATGGTTCTAACTGCTCATGATCGTTTCTCACCTCCCCACCCCCGCCCCTTCCCAGAAATGTGTCTCGTCAGGAAATTGTGTAGATCTAGAGAAAAAAATAAATGTGTGAGAGACACATACACAGATGGACAGAGATTTCTGTTTCTAACCCACAGAGGGCACTGCTGTTTAAGAATCTGTTCCTGTTTGTAAATACCTCTGCACGCATCTCCTTTTCGAAATGTTTTATACCAATTAAATTCTTTAGAAATCTTTGCAAATGCATTCTAAAAGTGCCTTTTTTGTGTGTTGGCAGGCTCCCATGTTCTCCTGGCCACGACTGAGGGATGCAGACCCCATTCTACGCTGCGAGATGGCATCCACTGGAGAGGTGCCAACCTCTTGACACTCCATTAATCTCCATAGAGACAATTGCCCTTTTGCTTATTAGCCTGAAAGCAATTGGAAAAAACAAACATGCTGTTCCAAACATTTGCTATGATCTGCTCCCCAAGGGAACTGGACAGAATACAATTAGCCATTGTATTTTTTTAAAAAAAAGTTGTTGATGTGTTTAATATATTAAATTGCAGCAAGTGTAACAAATTTGTCTGCTTTTATTTTTCTTTCAGGTTGCGTGTTTTGGGCCAAATATTTATTCTGCTTTCCTGAAGGCAATGCTGTCCACCGGTTTCAAGTTACCTCAGAAAGGAATTCTGATCGGAATTCAGGTACCATAACAAATCTGCTAACTCGATTGGTTAACGACTGACCAGACAGTGGGTTTTTTGGGTGGGGATCAGGCGTCAAAAGAATATTTAGAAAACTTCATTGCCCTCCTTTCGACTGCCTTCAGACTTAAATGTTTGACCATGCTTTCGGTCATCTTTCTGATCTCCCCTCCCCACCCAAAGCTAGGGAAGGTTCCTAACTCCTGATCCTGGATCAAGCACCATTCTCACCAACTTAGATCCATGATCATAGCCAGGAAACTCGACATTGACAAGTCCTCATGAGACTTTTTGCATCAAGTTGGCAGAAAATATTGCCCCTCAGGGAGGAGACATTTACATAGCTTTATGTTGCACATGATTTATTGGCGTAGTAATTTTAAAATTACCACCCCCACACCATTTAACGTTTGACTTTAAGAGAGTCATTTATTTAATCCACTTTATTCTCAGCAGGGTTTTACAGGAACATTGGTAATAATTTTCTCTTGCATAGGTTCTTTCTGCTTTTGATTTTACTGGAACAAGTTCCCAGAAGATTAAGCATTTATTATTTAATTCACGATAATTTGGTACAGTTGTTGAAATAGCAGAGGTTTTGTGGCAGGTAACAGCAATTTTAAACTGGAAACCTAGTCTAGACAACTGTGCACTTGAAAGGACTTGAACCATTAAGAACGATTTCCGTTTGGTGAATTGTCCCACGCAGGATTGTGACCAAAAGGGTCTCGTTTGAGCCATTCATTTTAAATATTGGGCAAAATTTGCAGTTGGATGAGATTAATATGAACAATTCCGCACAAATGTGTTTGGAAAGGTCATCAGTAGATTAGAAAAACAGAGACATCCTCCTATTACAACTGAACCATAGCTAGAACTGACTACCATTGTGGAGGTGAACGTACAGAGAGAAAGTGAATCAAAATGAGATCAAGAAGACATTGTCAGACAGGAAGATGTAAAAGCCTATTGGGTAAAGAGCAGGGATTAGATAGCTTCAGTGGGGAGCTAGCATGGCAAAGGCACTGTAGTTCAAGTGATTCAGCCTTTGTGCAGGAATTTCCATGATGGGTTTCTTTCGAGGAGCAGTTTTGAAGGAAGGCTGGAAGTCCAATGGATTTGAGCACAATCCTTTCACCTGTAGCCTTGGTTTGAGTCCAAGCTGGATTGAATGGTTGAAAATCACATCTCTGCTGACTGAAAGGCTCCTGTGTGAAATCAGTTGTACATTATCAATTCCACATTTTATTGTACACAAGGCACTGAGACAAAAGACCATAATTATGATATTAATTGTTCTTGAGCAGTAACGGTTGAATGTGACTAGGATGGTAATTGTGGGAAATGTTGAAGAATATTACTGAGATGGGGTGTAGAGAGCTTCACGCAACATGGCCTGACCTGGGAGTATGTTGTGCTGACATTGGATGGAACACATTCCACGCTCTATCATTGCCATCACTTAATGAGCTCAAGAATTTTCTGAAAATGTATTTAGAAAGTAGAAGAGAAATTTGCACCTTTGACCAAAACAAAATTTTCAATCCTAAATTCATCACAATAGATACGGCAGCTGCAGGAGATTCAAACTGACACATTAAAACCTTCGACTGTGCTCATTATTGGTTGCATTGTTTCATTTCCATTATCAAACAGTAATTATTGAATTATAATACTAATCCTTGCAATTGGTTATAGTGCCTTTCATGTCGACAGGATGCCTCGAAACTCTTCATAGGATTTTACTTACAGTAGGCGAATGAGACAGCCCAATTGTGCGTAGCAATGTATCACAAACAGCCATGAAGCGAGTAACCAATTTTATTTTATCTCCTGGCCAATATAAAAATATTTTTATATTGGCCAGGAGATGGTGAGAAACTCTCTTCTCTTCAAGTAATGCCATGGGATCTTTAAAATCTGAACAGGCAGATGGGACTTCAGTTTAACATCTCATCCAAAATACAGCACCTCCAACAATGCAGCACATAGGAGTGTCAGCCTAGCCTCCGTGAGCTTAAAGCCCTGCTGTGGGACTTGAATCCACTGCCTTCTGACATAGAGGTGACAATGCTTCCACCCTGAGCCAGGCTGAAACAATGGCCTAGAATACTAAAGTTTGGATAATGTCCTGCCTCAGCGGCAAGCAAGGTGCTGCCGTTCTGATGACACTGTAAGCTGCATGACCATCTCTCTTGGAGGAGGATTAGAGTCGCAGTTTGTTCTCGTGCTCCAAGCCAGGTGTTTTTTCTATTTATAATGCGTTCTGTGCTGAGAGTTACTCAGTCACCATCTGAAGCTGTGATCTGCTGCCAGCGTTCAGTGTCTGGTGCACTCGCTGCAGGTGGAACATCCTCTAATTTCTAATATAGATGGTGGCCATGGTGGAAAATAACGAGAGAATGTAACCAAATAGGAAATTCAAAAGTTCCCACTGCAGGCTTCCCTTATGTGGGAAAACCTGCAGTTTTGTGTGTGACACTGGATAGATACAGCTCACAAACCTAGCTGGTACGAAGCCATCAAAATTCACAGTCGTCACACCTGACAGTAAATCCAGTGAAGTGCCAGTTCATGGGCTCCAGACGTGAAAGGTTCTGTGTCAGTTGCAAGTTTTTTTAGTGTAACTTTCAAAAGATTATATTTTATATGAGGGGCCAAGTGATATGAATTACTGTGTAGGAGAATATTTGCCTGCAAGCAGAATCCTTTTTTTTTTAGCATTGGGTTAAACCCCTCACACAGAAAAGCATCAGCACCTTGTTTATTGCTAATGTGTGTGAATAAGTGAAACAACATGGTAAGAGTGGATTGAGCTTCGGATCCCCTTAGATGAGGGACAACAACAGCAGCATCTTGTATTTCTATAGCATCCTTCATGCTGCATTGCAGAGCTCTGTACAGTGGTGGTGTTGGACTCCGTGCAAGGAGCGTGGGGGAGGTGACTTTTGGCACACTTGGAGAAGTATGTCTTCAAACCTAAAGAGACATAAAGAATGCATGTATACCTGGAAGCTTCAGTCAGTTAGACTGCCTTTAGCATTGTGGAAGGAAAGAACGCTCACTTTGCTCAGCGAGCCACCAGACTGCTTTCGGTCCCCCACCCTACGTGCTCCACCATCAGTGGCAGGCTTTCAGCCTAACTGCATCCATTCTCTGGAACTCCATCCGATTCCCTTCCTCCCTCGCCTCTTTCAAGGTCTGTCTCACAACCTATCTCTGAGCATGCTTCAGTCATTTTTCCCCTCCCCATCCCCTCAGCTCCCATCCCTGGCTTGAATGCCAAGGTGCTGCTTTTTTTTACTAATGTTCTTGCAACACATCCTTGACATAGCTTTCAACCCCCCTTTGATGTTCCATTTGTAACCAGACTGACAGCGGTAATTTCTTATAAGAAACTTGTTTGAAGATTCATTGTGAATGTCATACTGCCTCATCATTTGTTAATAGAAATATATAACCCCAAAGCATGAAGTGCTACAGCTTAGAAAGTGAACCATTTGTTCAATCACAAATGCCAATACTCATCTGTGTTCCCTTCCTCTATCATGAGCAGTACTGCAGATGATATTTCCCTGCATTTTCTTTTTTCTTCCCAATTCTGTACATTGTGTCTCTTGTAGGTGTAGCATACACAGGCACTCACATTTATCTGGTACGTCTGTCCTGGGTGGAACCCTGTGCCCCAGAAAGCTGTAGAGCCAGAATCAATAGGAATGTTTAACAGAGAGACAGACAGACTTGGATAATAGTCATATTAAAGGGGTTTCGCGAAAGGGTCTGCCAAGATTCAATAAGTTGGTGGAATAGGCTTGATGGGCTGAATGGCCTCCATGTTCCTGTTTTACTATTTTCCTAAGTAGCCATTTGTAACGTGTATCTAGTGTTGACAAGCTATTCAACTACAGGGGGAATCACAGCCCACCCTGATCTTGATCTTGTCCTGCATCCACACACATGCTTTTTCCAGCGCTGGACACTGGGCAGTCACATGGCCAATTGTGTGTGTTAGATATCTTTCTGACGTGAAGGGGCTACAGAAGTGTAATTTGTTTTTTATTCTCTGTAGTCCAGGGGCTCTGAGGCTAATTGTAACTAGTCCCACTTCTGCCCTAGTTGAGTTCACCAAACTCAGCACGTCCCAGGATGAAACCTGAGAGCTCAATGGATAGTGTCTGTGTAAAACGATTGGGACTTGGAACCTTGGGTTATAAACAGCTGTACAAATGGTGGCAGTGGCTGGATTCCTTGGACAGAGTTAAATCACACAGCAAGAGTTAAAATCTTTTACTGCAAAACAAGCTGACCTTTATTAAGTGCCATTTATTTTTGTAAAACAAAGGCCATTAGCTTTGTATGATGAAGTGCTTTCACATCCTCTCTCCCTGTGGATGGAGGTGTACTGCCCTCCCCTTTTATTTGTTTATTTGAGAAATGATTCTCTGCCTTGGTCAGATGCAATAATCTGCTGTGAGAGTCACTGGGCTGTAATATGCGATGATTTCTAACAGGGTTCATAATAATAGTGGTAATAATAATCCTTACATTTGATATATATCCAAGTGATGGAATGTCACTCTGATGTGATCTTTCTGAGCTATAGGGCTGCCTGACTCATTTTTTGTTGCTGGAAGAAGTCCCCACTCAATTTCTCCTTCAGGAAATCCCATTAGAAATACCACTTATTAGCCACCTATATAGTATCTCTGTAGTGAAGTTGTTAATAGGAGCAATGTACTTCAATTGAAGCATTTAGCTGGATGCCTGGAACCCTTTGAACACACGAGTCTGACAGATACAAAAGTGAATCATTACTGGAATAGGAGATGCTGTACAGTGCAGCGTTCCTAATTACACTCTATTCCAGTGCAGAAGCAACTGCAGGAAGAGATATTTATAGGCTGATCCTTTAGACTCAAAATATGCAGGATGTTAACATTTAGCTCATTTGCAATTACAATGTTTATAAACCAACAGAAAGCTATTCAGCATTAGAGGAATGTTTCACCTAATCGCAAAGTACCTCTTAACACATAAGTGTGCATCCACTGACGCCCTTACACATTTATTCTAAGAAAGTCTCCCATCCTAGTGGAACCTGCTTTTACTACTTGTCAGTAACCTTTTACTGACAAATTCCAAAGCTCTTGCCTGAATATTGAATGCCATCGTAACTTGAGACTTTCCTTTCGACCGTGCTTATGGTCACTTCTCCTTTCTCCCCAGCTCGGCGTCAAACTCTGCTATTGTTCAGCGCTCCGAGATTAGGGGTAGCAATTTCAGGAACACCATTACTGTATAAATTGGGTGTCATTGGTGTAAATTAGGTTCTCATGTTGCATTTCTGTTCTTTTCCAGAATTCATTCCGAGCAAAATTCCTCGACAGTGCTCAGCAGTTGCATGAGCAGGGATATAAGGTAAGTCTTGATTCCCTTTTCTAAAATGAAATGGGCAGTTCAGCTTCTTAACACACGGTCTGGGGTTTTACACAACACATGCTGTGGATCAATCGGGATGACTCCTTCTTCACTGACACGGCATTTAGGTGACATTTACACAACCTGTGCATGTTATGCAAACAAATCAATAACTCCTGACTCAGACTAGGTAAAGCGCATGGGCTGTGGGAGCAATGGAGCTACTTATTATTCATTAATCTGTACTTTAACACTGTTCATGTATATTTCCTGTAAGCAGTGCCCTTCCCTCAATACTATTCACCCTATAATTACTGTAGGTAAGCCACTGTTACAACCACCTGTACCAATATATGTGCATTTTACAGACAAAGGCTATGATATTCCAATGGCCATACAATCTGTCTTCCCTTCAAGACCAAACCCTTTGCTCATAGACCTGTCGCTAATACAGAATGTTTGCCAACCTACGGTATAATGTTAGGGGAGTGAGCCTGGTGGCTGCCAGTCATTCAGATTCACTTGTCTCACTGGGTTGGCGTGTGTGCATGTATGTGATCTGCGGGGTCTCTGGATAGAAGGACATGAGCTGCTAAATCTTGGGCAGCAAGAGAGAACACGGTCTGGTTCCCAGCCACTGATGACACAGTTGACAGTCACGGACGAATTCCGGGCACTAATTGGCACTTTTATCTTGAAGAGCAGGGATCGCAGTGAATAGGCTGGCATCAGAGAAGGGAGGAGTAAAGAGAGATACCTTGAGAAGCTGTAAAAAAAAACTCATGACAAGCAGATAGTCTTATAACAAATCCATTTGTATGGTCTAAATAAAATCAAAAGTGTTTGACACTCTCTAACCTATGCATCTTGTTCGTTAAAGCTTTTTGCTACAGAAGGCACAGCTGCCTGGTTGAATGCCAATGATGTGCCAACAGCCCCGGTATCCTGGCCAACTACAGATGATCATAGCTCCGCAGCTCCTTCCATTAGAAAGTAAGTGCTGGTCAGCTTCTGTCAATCCCAGTGATTCTATCTGGTAAGGTACAAATAATGCAACTCGCAGGATGCTGGTGCTATAACTGGTATGTAGTAGAACTCAACATTGAGAGGGTGAGTTACACCCATGATACTGCAAGTAAATATGGCGTGGAGACTGTGTAGTTGATGGGTTGGATGTTCCTTGGCTGCTTGAGTGGTCACCCAGTTGTTGGATACAGTGTGGCAATGATGAAAGGGTCTGGGGGTGGTGAGACAGGTCTGGGGGTGGGAAACGTGTGACACGTCACTGTTCTTGGGGGACAGTGTGGCCTCAGTTATGCAATTAACCAAACGAGAAGGGAGTACAGAATCATTGGTTGTTCACTACATAACTGAGGGCACCAGTAATTCACTTGATGGTTGTTTGTGGGACATTGTTGTGCAAAAATTAGCTGCTAAATTCACCTACAAATTACAACCACTACATTTTACAGTAACTCCTGTGAAGTATTATTATTAAGAGTTGCTGGACATGGTGGCTGTGTTCTCTCATTCCACTGGGCAGTGTCCCAGCTCCGCAGGGTGGGATGTTGCTGTTACTATTGGATAGCCTATGCTTTGATAGTATGTATCGTTAATGTATAGATAGAACAGTTCTTCCCAGACTCCAGCAGCTCCTTTCAACGTCGAGTTTTGCTGAAATGAGACAATAATGTAAATGTATTTTCTTTATGAAATAATTTCGAGGATTAGTCCAGGGCAGTGCCTCATTAGATCCGCCACTTGGGAGCCAGCCAAAAAGGTTTGCTCAAACAAAGAGTGCTGTATAAATAAAGGTCTTGCCTAGCAATTGTAATGACGCTGATAGCAATAGGCAAGCATGTAATGATACTGCACTCAGTACAGCTCCTGATTCTGAAAGCTAGCTGTGCAACCCACTTTCCCGCTCTCACCGGGGGCTGTTCGCCAGGCCTGCTCTCACCAGGAACACTGGTCAGCTTGAACAGAAAAGTGGATTCCAAATTAAAACTGTATTAAGAATTTCGGCAATTCTACACCACCTTATATTTTAAGACACAATGGTCTCTGTGAAGCCCTCCAGGATGCTACTGAGTGTGAAGGGTGCTATATAAACACAAGTTGTTGCTATATGATCATGTGCGGGTAATATAGCAATGCTATGTGATTTATACTCTATCCCTCTTAAAATGTTTGCCTTCCTTGTGGCTATCTCACCAAAGCTGAAGTTTTCAGCATTAAATATCATTATGTTAGTGGAACCTTCATTTACAACTGTAGCCGCCCACCAGAGCTATATGGCAGCAGTAACAATAAAAGTGATACTAAAATGACTTGAATGTACGGCTCACAGCCCCTCTGATGTGTTGTGCTGCTATCAATCAAAGACCATCTTGTCTCTCAGCGCCAAAATGTTACATAAGCTTCTAGGGACAGGCTGCAAGACTTAAAAGTCCAACCATGCATGGCTCAGAAATAAACTAAAATGACTTTACTTAAGGTGTGCAATCTTGCCTGCAAAATAAATTAAACACTCAGATGTACATACATTTTGATACAATTTTAAAATGGTTATTTTTATTGCCATGTTTTCCATTGGTTTTTTTCCCGCCTAAAGATGCTCACTGTTGGAAAAGTTCTCCATGCGCTGGGCACCCTCTATCGACCTTCCCCATCTAAGGATTTAAGATTGTGCAGAAAAGGGCCAGAATATGAGACTGAGAATAGGGACCAAGATGGGCACTCCTGTGGAGAATAAACACTGGCTGGACTGGAAGGGCCAAATGGCCTGTTTCTGATTTTGAAACATTTTCGAATTCAGTCGTCATTTGGTTTAATTAAGACTGAATTATTTTTTCAAAATTCTGAGTAGTTAAAATTCATGGGCAATGGTCACCCCTAATCTCCGGAACTCCCTGCCTCAATCCCTCTGCCTTGCCCACTCTTTAGTTGATTTTTAAATTCCATTTCTAAATTTCAGCATCTATCATCACCTTCCCTTTCTTGGCATTTAACCCCTCCACTGTGCAGCGCTCTGAAACACTATCCTGTTGTTAATAAGGCTAAGACCACAAGAAAAGACTAACCTCAGGAACACTGACACTAGAGAATAACTCCAGCTTTGAATTCATGATTTTAGCACCATCAGACCCTCCTTTGAGCAGATTGCTGCTTTGAATCAGCACTGTCTAATGTCTGAAATGCCAATAATGTTTTGTTTGAGGTGGAGCATTTGAAACAATTTGCAATCCCTCCCCCTCCCCGCCCCCCTCCCTCCAATAAATAACTCTGGGACCATTGGGTTTTAAGAAATGATTATTGTGATCAGATCGAAGTGAATGTTGTCATGGCTTCACTTCCATCACTAAACCATAGCACTCGCAGTTGAGGCTAGTCTTTTGCTGTGAGTGTATTCAGGAAATCCGAGGAAATGAGTAGTTATTCTACAGAGCACTGTAATGGTGCCAGTTGCTGTCAGATCTGCCTTGTAACTTCCAGGATGAGAGACGTTTTAATAACTGTAAACTATTATGTCTTCTTGCCCCTCCAAGAATAAGTTGTCGAAGTTACTTTGTTGAGTGTAGGAGGCAGATCCTTTCTTTGTGTGTATTTGATTCAATTTAAAGTACACTCCTGATCCAAGAAAGCTTCCTTCTCTTTTATCATTTTCAATGTCAATCATTGTGCTCCCTGTTATTTCAACTAAAGTGAAAGACAGGAGCATCTCTCTGCCAGAAATGCTGCCTTTTCTCCGTATAACATCAAGGAAAAATTATTTATTTTTGCTCAAAGGTGTGCGTTGCTTTCATTTGGAATTTCACCATTTCGGTTTTTTTTCCTGTAAACATGTGATTAGTTGGGGAACTGACATTATAGGGGTTGGAAAGCGAAACTGATTCATGTCTGAATTGGTGTTCTGTGCATCGGAATGTATTTTGAGGGCTATTTGCTGTACTGCCAGGAGCTTTACTCCCGCACGCTCCCTCCCCCTTCATGTAAAGAAAATATTTAGTCACAATGAATTCCATGGCTTTCACTCTTGTAAAAGATCATTGTAAGTAAGCTCCCCTCATTCCTGTGCCAAGTGTGAGCGATGGGTCTTTCATATCTACGCATAGAACATCGTAACTCACTGTCACCCACGACATATTTATCCGGAGAATGCTGGCATATTGCGGTGAGATACTGTACTTAGCTGGAGCGGTTCACGTTGGATGGGAATGCAAAGGAAATGGACAAGCTGCTCCTGTCATACAGGCTGAGGGTAGTGCCCTTATTGCTCAGGAAATGCTGCTGCTCAGCCTCCAGATGAATGGTAAATGAGGATGGCTGAATACAGTCAGCCTCTACTGTCACGTTGTATTTGTCGGAAATGCTGAATGAGGAAGAACTGTTGCACCTGACAGAAGCGCACGACTGAGCTAAGCTCAAGGCACCAATGCCTTTCTGTGCCCCACACCCACTCGTCCTACAAGGTAAAATGGGACATGTCGCAACCGTGGACCTATTAAGAAATAGAGGTGATGGACACAGATAATGTGGAAAATGATGCCTACATGTTACTGAAATCCTTAAACTATTGCTGGGAACTACGATGTGTGCTTTCTCCATCATGTAAACCCAATGAACATACAACAACAACAAAATTACATTTGTATAACGCCTTTCACATCGGGAGGACATCCCAAGGCACTGGACAGTCAGCGTTTTGGACCTGAGCTTTAAACGGGAAGTCACACCTTTGACAAAGTTGCAAAGAATTATGGTTAAAGGCATTGGTCTGGGAGGATTCCTGAGCCTGACTAGGCTAGAGGTTGTGGTCTCCTTGATTGATGCTGAAGCATCCCTGAGATTATGATTGTATCATTAGATAATAATAATATTACACTAGAATATACAGCACAGAAACAGACCATTCAGCCTAACTGATCTATACCGTGTTTATGCTCCACATGAGCCTCCGCCTGCCCTTCCTCAACTAAGCCTTCAAGCATAACCTTCTATTCCTTTCTCCTTCATGTACCTATCTCACTTTCCCTTAATTACATCTATGCTATTTGGTTCAACAACTCCTTGTGGTAGCATGTTCCACATTCCCACTACTCTCTGTGTAAAGACATTTCTTCCAACTTCCCCTTTTGATCTATTTGTGATTATTTTATATTGTTGGCCCCTGGTTTTGGTCTCCCCCACAAGTGGAAACGTCTTCCCTATGTCTACCCTATCAAAACCCTTCATCATTTTAAAGACCTCTAGCAGGTCACCCCTTAACCTCCTCTTTTCAAGAGAAGAGTCCAAGCATGTTCAGCCTTTCCTGATTATAATTATTCTTAATAATGAGATAATAAGTATTGTTATTATACTTAAGTATTATTTTTATAGATCACAAAAACTGTCCATTAACTTGATTTCAGACTGGAAGTCATTAACTAATCTCTACCATAACTCGTCACTCTGAGAAGCTACCCCATATGAAAGGCGTTACGTTAATCCAAGCTGCTGCGGTTGTTTTTGAAATAGGTTGTGTTTCCACCTGAGGTTCAGAGGAAGAGGCTAGAGTACTCGCCTTGCAAGCGAGACACCTGGGTTCAATCCCAGGCAGGGCAAAACCTTGAGCAAGTTTCCTTATTCCACACACCTAATAATAATCCCTCCAAAAGAACAAAACAATAATAAATTGGTCATTTTCAATCCACGACTGTTTGCGGGATGCTGCTGTGCGCAATTGGCTGCTGTGTTTCGCCCACAAATATACAGTCAATTCACTTTACAGCGTATTCTGTGAAGTGCTTTGAGAGGTCTAGAAGACGTGAAACGCGCTATATCAAATGCAAGGATTATTATTATTTGCATCTCCTGTGTTTGATGTTAACATGTTGAGTCAGGTTATTTCACCAGTCAAGGCACTGTATCAAATGCAAAGATTATATATTAACCATATACTTATGGGACTTAGGATAAGTAGTTGTTTATCTTATTTATTGTTTGTTTGAGGATCAGCAAATGGAAGAGGAATCTTTTAAAACTATAAAATTAGCTTAGAGTAAACTGAAAATAGTAAGACAATTGCCATCATTAAGCTGAATGTGCGGCAAGTGTACAGTCATTGGTTTCATTATATGTATGTATAAATACTGAGCCACGTTGAGTAATTCTCAGTGTTTACATGTACTTTTAGAGGCCTGAATTCCTTCTAGTGTTAAGTTTTCAGACAAAATATTTTTAAGATTGTGGAATTTGGGGTAAATAAATTGTGGAAAATTCCTTAATCCTGCCTTAATTGGGAAGCAGGTTCTTTTCTAACTGGAGAAAACTATCTTCCAAATTAAGACTGGATATAAGAATTATCCAAAATTCTGCTTGTTTTAAATTTTGAGACAAAATTGACTTACAGGCTAAGGCCAGATGGAATTTCAGGGGTCTGATCTTGACTGTATTTCTGTGAAACACACAGTACATGAGAGTCTATTGGTAAAATGGCCATAGATCTGCTCTTTCACTGCAGTACAAGTCAGCAGAACCAAACTCTTGCTTTTTATGTGTTTAAATAACAGCATAAATCCGTCTCGTTCACTTGGAAATTAACTTTACCGGGGAGAGAATACATGCTCGCATTTTTATAGACGCCAAAGCTAGGCATACTTACTCATTCTCAATGTACACAACAACCTCCTTCTACTGCTGTGAACTGCAGTGGAACGCTGGCTTCCTCTATGGGTTTTTATCCTTAACGTATGGTGCCCACTTAATTGGTTTTAACGAATGTCTATGTACGATTAAGTAAACTTTGTAATACTTTTCTTGTAGTACTTATTCCAAGTCTTAATTATTTAACAATTCAGTAACACATTTACCACAGTACAGTATAGTCTCCCACATTGATAATTAGTGTTAAAATATGGATACGTATGCATACAGTGTATGTGCATATAATAATGTTTACATTTACATTGCGATATCAGCCTTATCATGCAATTCTGAACATTTGAATTCTTCTCTCTTCACTCTTCACTGTCCCTTTTACCCCCTTTGCCAACTCCTTGACACCTACACAACCTCAAGTGGTAGCTTAAGTATCTTAAGTGCCACATGCACCTCTGCTCTCTGGCCTTGGATCAGTGTGCTGCTTGTTACCAATTGACCCTGAGCTGGTGTCAAACATCTGCTCAGTTCCCAGATCTGGCTTCTTCCATCCCTGGGATGTTGGCTGCTTACACCTCTTCATGACCACCTTCTGAAACTCATCCATTTCTTCATCATCTCTGGGATAAAGTTCTCCAATCTTCTCATCCCTGGACTTAATCTACACAAACCAACCTTTCCAGAACTCTGTGGCCTGAAACTCTGTCCCGCACAAGCTCCAACACAGCTATTGCCCTTCGAGCTCCACTGGTTCCCAGCACCTCAGTTAATTAATTTTAAGGTTGTCACTATTGAATATCTCCACAGTCACATGTACTGTATAATTTTGTGTGGTCCTATGTCCCAGCCTGAACCCTCCATGCTTCTGAGCTGGGTTTACTGCTTGTCCCATATTCCCTTTGCTTTATTAAAGAGTAAAAGAAGGATGGCTATTTTTGCTGATTAGCATCTGGTAACTCCTTTCCAAATATTTTAATACATTTTCTGTAGCAGGTTTTTTTAAAATATGTATGATGTCCGCTGATTCCTTTCCACTCCCTTTGCAGACTAATCCACGATGGAGACATTGACCTTGTGGTAAACCTACCCAATAACAACACCAAGTTTGTGAGAGAAAATTACTTGATCAGAAGAATGGCCATAGATCACGGAGTGCCGCTCATTACCAATTTCCAGGTAAAAGCATTTGTTATACTCTTCTGATAACCGGTATCATCCTGGCTTAGTTGTTAGTCCTTTCATCTCTGAGTCAAAAGGTTGTGGGTTCAAGCCCCATGTCCTGACTTAGAACTCACAGTCCTGGCTAACAGTCCAGCTGAGGACATGCTGCATTGTCAGAGGTGCGGACCTACACTTGTTCAGGTGGATGTCAAAGATCCCATGGCACGATTCAAGAAGAGAAGGGAATTTCTCCCAATGTCCTTACCAACAATCCCCCAGATACAATGTTTCTAATTTGCTTTATGGCTGATATCTTCCTGACGTAAAAGATGCTTTACAAATGCAAGGATGGTTAATAGTATTATTATATATCAAATGCAAGTATTATTCTGAGATCAACATAATAAAAATTCAGCTAAACTCCAGCTATTGCCAGATTGAAGTGTAGAAATGCTGTGGAGCACATCACCTTTCGATCAACCCCCCTGCAAAGACTGAAGATTACCCTTTACTTTGTAATCCTGTTCCCAACCAGAAGATTATCCACAGTTGCACAGATGTTCAGTGCTTTGCGCGGGGACTATTGGGAATCCAAAATACAGAATTACAGAAAATGCTGCAAATCCAGAGCGGGTCAATCAGCAGCTGTNAAAAAAAAACATAAGCTTATGTTTTCATCGAAATTATGCAGAAATTGTGCCCATGAACTTCCCTTACACGTCATACCCCCAACCCCCATATCGCAATAAGACTTTTGAGTATGGTTACTGGATAACTATCTGGAGTATGAACCCTGCCTGGTTCCCCCACTCCCCACCTCCCTCTTCTTCCCATTCCAAAGGCACAAAATAGTTATATTGCTGCTCCCATTTACTCATTGATATCAGTAACACAAAAGATGATCATACAAGGAACATCTCCTAGTCTATACACTTAGTTTCACTCTAAATGGGATGTTTACTTACAGAGTCATAAGGCACGCTCTCCACCTTTCTGAATGAGCTTGACCTGAGTGGCATTACCTTTTTAAAAAGAAGTTTGTGGATTTTTATGAGCAATTTTTGCCAACTGTAAGATCTGAGAACGATTCTCAAAAACACAGCATTTTGCCCGAATTGAAAACCATTCTGTTTTCACAAAGAAAAATAATTGAGGATGCTGCACACAGGAATCAAGTCTGAAATCATGATTCCTTGTGATTCATTCTCTGACCATGGACATCAGTTTGATGTCAAGCACCTTAATTTCAGGGGGAGGAATAGTGCATCCAAGAATTTATTCTTCTTCCAAAATAGGTTTGTGTAGCTGACAACAGCCTAGCTCAGACTTGCCTCCAAGTCAGAAGGTTGTGGGTTCAAGCCCCACGTTGAGACTGTGAACTCACAGTCTGGGCTGACACTTCAATGCAATGCTGAGGAGAGATATGCATTGTTGGAGGTGCTGTCCTCTAGATGCGATGTTAAACTGAGGTCCCATCTAGCTGTTCAGGTTGATATTAAAGATCCTATGGCACTATGTAACAAGAGAAGGAACTTTCTAGGTGGCTAATAATCCCCAGACAAAATTGGCCACTTCATGGCTGTTTGTGCGACATTGCTGTATGCATATTGATTAGTGGAGTCCTGTAGCTCAGTGGTTAGAGCACTCGCTTTGCAAGCGAGAGACCGGAGTTCAATTCCAGGCAGAGGGCGAAACCTTGGGCAAGTTTCCTTATTCCACACAGAGCCTAATAATAATCCCTCCAAAAACAATAATAAATTGGTCATTTTCAATCTACGACTGTTTGTGGGACATTGCTGTGTGCAATTGGCTGCCGTGTTCGCCCACAAATATACAGTCAATTCACTTTACAGTGTGTTCTGTGAAGCGCTTTGGGACGTCCTCCTGACGTGAAAAGCGCTATATCAAAATGCAAGGATTATTACTACTGTGTTTGCCGACAAAATTGTCATCACACTTCACAGTAAAAGTGCTTTGAGACGTCACTTTGACTTTAAAGGTGCCATATCAAATGCAATGATGATTATTATTCTTATTTTGTTTTCAGGTGGTTAAACTCTTTGCTGAAGCTGTTAAACAGTGTGGAAAGCTGGACTCAACCAGTCTGTATCATTATCGGGAGAACAGAGTGATAGGAGAGTCATCATGAAGACCAGTGAGTGTCCAGTTTGTGCAGATCTGCACTCCAACAAGTGTACAAAGTGGTTCTGAGATACAAAAAAAAAGTTTCGTTTGTAACAGTTTAATAAAATGACATACACTGCTGTGGACTCAAGTTGTCACCTTATTCGGCCCAGTTTTTTTGAGGTTTGAAGCAATATGTAAATAACTTTCTTTTTTCTCACTTATTCTGTTGTCCCATCTTGTTAGTAAACAAAAGGTGCTGTCATTCCTGCTGCTGTGAAGAATGGGGATGAGCCACTAAGCTGAACACATGAAGTTACTTACCTCGGTTGCTACCAGTTGGGGTGGCAGTAGACGCCAGACTGCTCTGCTTGTTTCAATAACTCTGCCTTTCCAAGTCTTTAAACGTGACTTTTTCACACTGCATCTTCCGAACTTAAGACCTCGCTGTCACAACTCTTAAAGAATAACTTTATTCAAAGGTTTTGGTGGACGCAAGCTGTTGTCGTATTGAATTCTACTGAGTGGACAGTTTGTTTCCAACAGGATTTTACAACTTGCAAACCAGTTTTATGGTTACTTTCCAGCTTTCAAAATAACTTTCTAAGGCATGCTGTGTGTGGATCATGTTGTAGATTGGTTACTCGCCACCTTGTCCTTGATGTGAATGGCTGGCAGGTGATGTGTAATTGTTTCCCTGTCTCCTGTGTGGTGCCGGGGAACTCAATGCAAAGAATCGTCGTCATCTGGCATCGTCCCCTAAAACATCCCCTAATGCACGAGTCTGATTTGTTTCATTTGTGACTGGCATTAAATACTCACAATGGTCTCTGTTAGCGAAGAGTTCTTCAAAGCCCTTCTTGTCGTGGCAAACAAAGTTTTGATTCATCCTGAAATACAGTGTATAGGTTCTATTCCAAACAGTCCAGGGGAATGGCATCAATGTGAAACTGACCCACCTCAGAGGGGTGTGTTTTCTAATTTTAATTGGATTGCATGCCAGTAAATGAGCAAATGTGGGTCCCCTGCCTTCCCATACACACACTAGCTTCTTCCTTCCTCTCCTGCTTCCAGGCTACAGTGTCCTCTTGTAGTTATTCAATCAAACAATAATCTTGAATTGTCCCTTCAAGGCCACATAAGTTGTGTGCACATGTCCAGATCCATTAATCTGCAAATGCCATGGAGCTGTTTGGAGGTACAGAAGCGCTCAATTTAGTCCACCAACATGATTACTGAGCCTTGTTTCCAGCACTTAATAGAGGGCCAATTTCATAAGAAAACTTGACTCTGCCTATTCTAGTTCAGCCTATGCTTTGATAAATACCAGTTAAGTTAACTGTATCAAACCTTACAACGTAAGGAATGTATTACAGCAACAATTCAAAGAATTTTATTTCATGGAAATAATTCTATCAATGATCGACCCTCTCTTTTTTTCTCTCTCTCTCTCCCTCCTCCCCACCCCCAAACGTGTGAATGACAAATTGGTGCAACTAAACGCAGCATTCAGATGAGGAAGGTCAGAATATGATAACCTATCCAGTTCTTTTCTGCAGTGCATTGTGTTACATTTTCATTCCTCTGTTATGAACCTTTGTAATTCCTACATCATTTAAACTTAAAGCATAAATAAATAATTGTCTATTGAAACTCGAACCCAGCAGAATTGTGCAATTTGTGAGCAATTTGAGTTTAACCATAAGCAATTTAACATGGGGAATGTGAGCACTTCCTGAATTTTCGCTTCAATTATTATTCAGCATGGTTTCTCGTTCAGCAGGAATGCACCAGCTGCACACTAATGTGAACAGGCCTCTCCAGGGATATCTACCTGCCACAAGCATTCAGTTGGCCAAGGTGGATCCATTCTGAGATCTTCCGCATCCTTGTAGAGTCCTATAGCATATTAATTAGAGGCCTTGCAAGCGAGAGGACCTGGGTTCGATTCCTGGTTATGGTGAAATGTTAGGCAAGATTCCTTACTCCACATGCCTCTCTGTACCTAGCAGTAAGTAGAAACCCAGTTGTTAGTCAAATTGCTTTGCTAAGGATAATAAGCCCTTTTTAAAAAAATATTAGTAACTCAATCCACGACTGTTTGTGGGATACTGCTGTATGCAATTGGCTGCTGCGTTTTGCTCACAAAATATACAGTCAATTCACTTTTCAGTATATTAGGTGAAGTGTTTTGAGATGTCTCGAAGATGTGATTAGGCACTACGTCAAATGCAAGAACCATTATTACTATTATCATTATCTCGTTTCCTCGATCAACGGGTGCCTGAATGAAAAGGAAACTGTGTGTTAAATACATTTGATGTGTTGTAAAGTAAGCCCCTAGCAATACTTTCAGATACACCGTGTCAGTAGAACATAAGAGGGGACACAGGTTTGAATTACAAAGGGGAATTACAGGACAGACACCAGGAAGTTTTTCTTTACCCAATAATTGGAACAGGTTACCCAACCCTAGATTCTCTTGCAAAAAAAAATAGCTTGATGTGAGGATTGTGGGAAGGGTATTTTGGAAGGATGAGATCAGATGAGCCAAAGGGCGTTCTTTATCCCAGCTGATCTTGTGAGAATCATCACACAACTGACCAACAGCTCGCCTACAATATCGTAACACTTTCAAATGTTTACACTTTTCCTTTTTTTTGTCATGTTATCCTTGCCAAAGGAGTAACGCTGAATTGCCTTTTTTAATTAAAAATGTTGTGGCGAGGGTGTTATAATAAACAGACTTATGTGGAAATGCATTAGACAAAGAAGTGAATGCACTTCACATCGTGTGAAACTCATCCTCAATTAATAATACAAGCAAATCAAAGGAGTTCTGAGACGTTCCTTCACAATGGCACGAAGTGCTATGTTACATTTTCCACACTTTGTTTCTATTTTCTGGTGTGTCATCTTGACTTAACTCAGCAGTTATCTTTTGTTATGAATTATGCTTGTGAGGTAATAGATATCTAGCAGATTGTTTCAATGCAGCGTTAAATTGAAGGAGACTGATAGCATCCTTGTTCCACAGAGCTCAGCTCGAGTGGTTTACAAATGCATCAGAATATCGAATTAGATCAGTCTTTTGAAACGTACTTGTTTATTTATCATAAAGAGGAGATACTTTGGTATCGTGAAGTATTTTGGGACGTCCTCCTGATATGAACGGGACTATATCAAATGCAAGTATTATTATGTATAATGCTCAAAATATAAAATTTTATTACAAAAACTGCTTATATATATATAGCACCCTTCATGTATATAGTGTCTCAAAGTGTTTATTATGCACAAGGCCCCAATCCACGTGTGTTATTAAGTAACACTCTGATATTCCAAGCCCTTTAGTTACCTGTAGTTCTTCTCTACATCTGACATCTCCTACATCTGACATCTCTTAAATCATCTGGCATATAATACTGTATCTTTGAAGAAAAAATCCTTTGGTGCTGCACAATTATAATGGGGCCAATTTCAACAGTGACTAACATTGTCTTAGGCATTGTCTGTGTCACTCATTGGATTTTTTCTTACAGCTATTAGCCTGGTCTGCCTGTCCCTTTGATTATCATATATATTAATATTTTAAATATTCCTGGGTTTAATATTTTTCACATTAGAAATGGTTATTTGGTACTCCTACAAATTCGTCCAAAGAAAAGCCTTTAATAATAATAATAATAATCCTTGCATTTGATATAGCGCTTTTCACGTCTTCTAGATGTCTCAAAGTGCTTCACAGAATATGCTCTAAAGTAAATTGACTGCATATTTGTGGACGAAATGTGGCAGCCAATTGCACACAGCAGTGTCCCACAAACAGTCGTAGATTGAAAATAATCAATTTATTATTGTTTTGTTTGAATATTTTTGAATACTTTTAAATTAACAACTTGCACTGAATTCTATTTATATCTTTGAGAGGCTCAAATTGTGTTAAGAATAATAATACTCCTTACATTTGGAACAACCTTTGACGTCCGGAGGATGTCCCAAAGTGCTTCACAGGATATACTGTAAAGTGCAGTGACCGTGCATTGTGTTGCTCTCAGTAACAAATTGCAATAGTTGGCTATCTTCCCCGGACTGATAGTTGGATATCTTTCGCAGAAGCAAAATAAAGGAACAATTGAAACAGATTTTAAAAACCGAAAAGCAAATGAACAAATGTGTTGGACAATAACGTAACCTTTCATTATATGACTGGAGACTATGGATCAATTCCATAACAAATCAATTCCATAACATTCCCTAATAGGGGAGAGAGAGAGAATGCAAGTAATTTGAGTTAATATACTTTAATTACATGAGAAAGTGTCAAATGCTTGCAATGTTCAGATCTGAGAGTGATGGTCACCCACGCTAACACATAGTCCCAGGTGTTCAGTCCTCAAACTGTTAATGGGGCTTAATTACCCACCTTCTTTTCATTTCTGATGTTTGCAGTAATTGATTTCTACAGTAGAAATGCTCATGATGTATTGTTTGAATAAAACCCAAAGTAAAATGCTGTCCAAGTAACCTACTTACTACACCGTAATTAAGTGCAATTATACCACGTCTTGTTCAGATCTTTCAACATCAGTTCCCTTCAGAGCATGTTTTAAAATTAAATTGGGTATTTGCCAATTTCTGCCCCTCCCCCCCCCACTTTTTCTCCCCATCTCTGTTCGTGGAGACTGCTAACTCTTGCTGTTTTACAGTTACACAGGCTCCCTCTGGTCCCTTGCCCAGACAGACAATCTCTGACCATGACCATGGCCACTTGTGGCTAATCTGAAATAATGAGATGGCCATTCCATAACCATGAAAGGTATCACAAGCGAGCCTGATTTAATGTTCTTTGTATTTGATATAACATCTTATATTTACATTTAATATCTTAGCCTCATTTTGCTCATCCTATTTAGAAAGTTATTTTTCTTTGGATCATTAGGTTGTGTTTTGTAAGAAACTCAACCTGATGCGCAGACAGCCTCTTCCTTACCCTTGGCTTCTCTTTAAAACCAGATTTGAGTTGCTGCACAGAGTTAAGTTCTAAGCTTAATTTCTGTCAGACCCCTCACCTGACTTCAGGAACTTACTATAGTTTGTGGGGACAACAGTTATGGATATCATCCTGGTCCTGAGTGCGCCTGTCAAGGACATCTCAAAGAGATAATACATTGATTCAGGATTTCAGTTGGCCAATATTCTCGACACTGATCAAACCATCTGCCGGTATAACGGAATAATACCTCTAGGGTGTGAAAGCTTATAATGTATGGCAGACCTGTTATATAATTCTCTGATTCTAATTAGTTCTCTATGAATATTAATAAATATATTTGCAGATTGCTTTAAGGTGATATGCGTGTTGTTTGATAGGCTTTTCCCGTCACAGAGGAAAACCCTCAAAGGGAATGTGAATTTGTTTGAATTGCTCCATAATATTATAAAAAGCATTTGTACTCTTACTGGTAATCTTCTTAGATTTTTCTGCCTGTTTTCAGGTGATATTTAACTGAGCAGGCAGATAACATCTTGATTTAATGGCTCATCCAAAGGACAGCACCTGCAACAATGACTCCCCCAGGATTGCACGAGAGTGTCAGCTGAGACGGTGAGCTCAAAGGTCCAGCATGAGGCTTGAACCCACAACCTTCTAATTCCAGAGGTGAGAATGCTAGCAACCGAGCCAGGCTAACTAACACCTGATCAAACCTATGATAAACTTGCATGAAACTGTTCCAATTACACACCAATTTAGTCAGAGGAATCATAACGAGGATTGCAACACTCACTTAAAAGGAATATACTCAGTCACCAATTTGTTCTTTTGGGGCAATTGGATAAAATAACTATTTTTCTTTTCACTGGGATGCATCATTAAGAATCATCTACTGAATTATGCTTTGCAATCAGATCAATGTAAGCACAAATGCCTGGCATCCGTCACATGTTTAATAAACTTTCAGGTTTGAAAAAATCTTTTATTGCATTTTTAATCAAAGAGAGAGATTGCAGAGAAAATGTTTCTGTTGAATGTTCAGACTTACCTTTCATTAACATGTCAATTGGAGAATGTCATAATTTACCAATGTTGGCTACTAAATGGGAGTATACAATGCCAGTTCAGCACTGGATTAGCCCTTGAAATACCACAAATAGTGACAAAATTGATCTGTAAAGTGATTTATAATAATAATATTCCTAACATTTGATGTTCCACCTTTCAGATCAGAAATGGTATCTCACAGTGCTTCACAGGATATACTGTAAATTACAGAGATTGTGTATTTTGTAAACGAACGGGGCAGCTAATTTATGAACAGTGACGTCCCACAAACATCCATGGTGTGATTTTATTTGGTGGATTCTTGGCCAGAACACCAGGAGAGACTCCTTTTTCTTTTCAAGAAGCGCCATGGGATCGTTAACAGTCACCTGTACAGGTAGATGGGTTCTCAGTTTTGAGGTCTCATCCGAAGTACAGCACCTCCAACAATACAAATGCACACCAGCACTACATTGGAGTGTCAACTTAAACTCTGTGAGTTCAAAATCTCGGCAGAGGTCTTGAACCCACAACCTTGATGACCCAGAAGTGAGATTGCTACCAACTGAGCCAGGCTGACACACAAGGCGTGTTTCAGGAACACTCTATTAGAGTT